TCCGTCTCCCCCATCACCATCCTCGCGGCCATTGTCTCCTCCTTTTTTTCCCTTTCTCTCGTGTGTTTTCTTTCTTCACGTCACTCTCTTAATCTTCGGCCATTTCGGTTCCCGTCACTCTTTCCGGGACCATTCCATTCTTTCGGCTTCATATCCAAGGCCTGTCAATCGTTGCTGGGTAGACTCCGCTATTTCCATTCAACCATCGCCTTTGTTCCTTGCAAGGGTCCCAGACCACATTCTTTCTTTCTGGAACTCGACGCCGTTTTCTTTTTTGGTTATACTCCCTGTCCTTGCCTACTTGTAGCATCAACACCAACCATACTTGTATACGATCCCCTCGAGCGCCCATCGCCGCCGCTTTCTCACCTCATTCCTTTTGAACCCCCAAACGCTCCTCAGCCCTGATCCCATCGAGAGGGTTTGGCAACCGCGTTAGTGCGCCTAGTCTCATTGGCAGCAACCATCTGTCCAAAGCAAAACAACTCGAACACGCCATCGACCATCGGCTACGGGCGATATACGACTTTGACGCGTACTCATCGTCATGGCCACGGAGATTGAGCAGCCGCTGGCTTTGACGGCCACGGTGGTTACACCAACCGCTCCCAGCCCAACTGGATCTGCCATTCATCACTCCGCGACAGGTTCCTCAGATGGCACTCCTGGATCTGCCTCCAGGCCCCTTCCTTCCCCTACCAGCGCCAATGGCCAGGCTAATGCCTCTCGGCGCCCACCGCGCAAAAGCACTCTCACGCAGCAGCAGAAGAACCAAAAGAGACAAAGGGCCACACAGGACCAATTGACAACTCTCGAAATGGAGTTCAACAAAAACCCGACTCCCACGGCTAGCGTTCGTGACAGAATAGCCGAGGAGATTAATATGACGGAGCGCTCTGTGCAGATTTGGTTCCAAAACAGGTATTCATGACTCCATGGGATCGGAATGGGGCTTCAGGGGCTGACATTTCTATAGGCGAGCCAAGATCAAGATGCTGGCCAAGAAGAGCCTCGAAACCGGTGAAGACATTGATTCGATTCCCGAGTCGATGCGACAATATCTCGCGATGCAGGCCATGGAATCCGGTAAAGGGTTTGCTGGCAGCTATATGGGCCGCACTGGCCTCCTCCCTTTTGGTGGCGGCAACATGCTCTTTGGTGGCGACCAGAGCGCGCAGGGCAAAGTTTGTACGTCTGCCATGAGTTTTCCTCGTCTATTTGGGGCTCAACGTACTAACCATGTTTCCAGTGATTCACCATCTTACTTGTCGCTCCCTCAGCATCGGCAAATGGACGCGAGTTGGACAAAACACCATGGATCTCATTATCTTTTATTCGCCGGATAAATGTACCATGACCTACTACATTAATAACGAGCAGGCTGGGTACAAGATCGAATATCCTTTCTCTCACATCAAGAACATTTGGCTGGAGAACGCAGACAATGACATGAACAAATTGGCCGGTATTTTCATTGAGCTCAACCAGCCACCCTACTTCATGATGGATGCAACCTCGTCGACTACAGGCTTTGACTATGTTAGTGACTTCACTGAGGATCAACAGGCCTCCCAGTGCTTGCTTCATCATCTTGGGGGTAACCCCAAGGTACTGGCCAACCAGTTGGCCAAGCTGGTCTCTTTGGAGTCTTTCATGAACCGCCACAACCCCCACAGCATTCGACAGGTTCACGCATATGCAGACCCTCATGCAATCTCTGCCTCGGCGCCGGTGTCTCCCACAGCTCGACCCTCATCGCAGCCCAGCTTTGGTGCACCGCCGATGGCCATGGCTCAGCAACAGTGGGGAATGGCCAATATGCACTCTGCTGCCAATATGCGGCCTCAGGGCCACAAGCGACAGCGTAGTCGCTCTGTTCCTGGCCCCATTGATTTTGCCATGTTCCAGAACCAGCCTATGCCATCCTTCTACATCCAGCCTCCTGGTGATATGGCTGCTCAGCACAATCCAAACATTTATGCGCCGGTGCCACAGCAGCCCAATGTGGCGCACAATTTGAGGATTGACACACAGGCAGGCTTTGGTTTGGACATGCGGCAATATCCAATGTCGGCGACGACTGCTTCGCCATCCGAGTTCCCCCCGAGCCCTGGCTTTTTCCCTCCTGGACAAGAGACTGGCCCCTTGGCTCCCTCGAATTACAGCACCCCCTATGGTAACGCTTTTTTGTCGCCCATGGTCACTGCTGAAGCCAACATGCCCACAGCCATTTCTCCCCTGCCCTTCAATGGCCCTACTGAGCCTTCAATTGTCGAGCAATCCCCTCCCATGTCCATGATGGGCCGCCCTGGTTCCTCCGAAATGTACATGGGCCAAGATGGCTCATGCGCTGTGTCGGATGATGGCGTTAGCTTGAACGAGATGTACTCCAAACATTCCATTAACATGCCATTGCACGAGCATTCGCCTGGGAGCTATGTTCAGCACTCACAGGCAGATATTGACATGGATCAGCTGGTTCATTTTGACGCCGTTGATCCATCCAGTCTATCGCCTGAGACGATGCATCGGTAATTGGAAGAATGATTTGGTGACATTTCTAGCTGCGTGCTGCTTTTGGCCCTTCATTGCCCTGGGTGTTGTTTGGAATCATCATATCAGCGAAAGGGCGTTCTACGGTAATCTTATACCATGGGGAAAGTACATGATATCTTTTCTGCAAGACATCTTGGAGCTCATCTCACCACACAACTTTTGTTCGCCCATCTTTTTTTTTGTTAGCTGCCACCGGCGGTATAATACGTTTGGCTTGACCTACCCACCTGCCATCACAAAATGCGGCCATGACGAATCTGCATGACGGTATCATTCTTTAACATCGGTCATGCATGTCCGGTACAGCGATCGTACGAGTTATTTCTGCGCGTGGAGATTTTGCTCAGCCATATTTTTTTTATCTACCGCCCGCGCATTTATCTCTTTGCTTGGTGATCTTAGTCGCTGGATGTATCTCATCCATCCACTCCATTATCTGCTTCTTTCTTCTTTTTCTTCTTTATTTACTGCCTTCCGCCTTTTCTTTGGCCACCTGACGCGTAATTGCTCGGGGGAATGCACATCTATTTCGCATCCTAAGGAGCCTAATTTTCTTTTGGCGCATATCATTAGTTAGGGGAGTTATCTTTTTTGTGTGTTTCGATGCCTTCAATTGGTTTGCAGCCCCGGAGGCGGTGACCCAGTCAGTTGTTTTTTGTTTATTTTTTTTTGTTTTCTTGGATTTTTAATGGAAAAACCGAGAGGTCAAAGGGATATATAGTGTAAGAGGTGGGAGACTTGTTTAAAAGTATAGTGGTGCGGGGAGTGTGAGGGAAGCGAGGAGGTAAATAGCTCCTCAACGTGGCTGGCGATGGCGATGGCGAAAGCATCGCACTTTGAACTATTGGGTAACTTTAGAGTTACTAGGAATATGGCATCTCGTGATTGCCAACCGTGAGCCTTGCAATAGTACTTTTTTGACGTTCAACCTCTCGCGCTGGCCTTTGTGTGTTTAGAACCTTGAGTATATGCTGTTGCTATTGGTGAGGTCGCCACTTTGATTTTGTCTTGTAGCTTGGAGAAGAATTACACATACACAACACTGCCTGGTATAAATACAGCCAATCACTGCATCTGCTTTACAAAGATGCTATTATTATCTGTTGTGCGGAATAAGTGGCGTACATGTAAACACAGCCTTGGGCTCGTGTACTTCGTAATGTCCTTTGGTGATCTCGTGGGTTACTCAAGCACAGAGCCTCGCGCTCCGCCGCCATCGTGTACGAGCACTGCTGGATGTATGGGATTGCGGATTAGTGGCTGAGGGCCAAAGTATGTGCGACATTAATATTACCATTGGACACTGTTTCCATCCTTCTATCGAGCGATGTGTTTCCAGAGAAATTCCACAGACGTCAAAGCAAGTCGGTAACTACTGTACTGATTTACAACCAACTACATACCTTGGAGACGGATCATTTCCATCCCCAACTTAAACTCGGCTAGAGTGGAGGGGCCCCAATCGACATCTGATCGCTGGAGGTGACATCCATTCAATATATTTTTAACTTTGCTTCGGATAGGGCATCTGATTGATGGCGCTCTACTTAGCTCTCTCGGGCAGTTTCGAGGTGGGGCGTTGGAGATGTGAGATCAGGCTAAGCAGCAGCTCAGAGGCTGTGGTGAGGCAAAGCCTCGTTGGGCCTCGTAATGCGGGTGCGTCATATAAAGTATGGCTCGTTTCAGAGGCCGAATCAGGATGCAGGGCACGCCGGCAGAGGATGAAGCGCTGCTGTGCTTTGCATGTGCCGGACACCAAGCACAAGCGCAAGCCTCCGGGTATCAGGCGTGACGTCCTGCCAGGTTGAGGTTGAGTCTTGTGCCCATCTGCATCGCCAAATCCAGCATCCTTCATCTTTTGCTGTGGCTCATTACCACTGCATCTGGATATATTATTTGGCATCTCTATTGATATGGCACGCTCCCTGTTTCCATGTTGAAACTCTTCGGGGCCAATGCTTTGACAGCCGTCAGCACTAGACGTCATCACGATGCCTCTTCCTCGGCACCAGCCGCTTCTGCCGGACGAGCACAGCCACGCAGACGACACGGAGCAAGAGACTCTGGTCCAGGAGACAGGTCGAGATGGCACTGACTCTGATGCTTTGCTGCTCGATGAGAACACTGCGCGTAGAGTTGCTGGTCCTAGACGCTCTCAGACGGACCCTATAGCCCCAGGCCCTCTGTCGCAGACGCCAGGGAGGTCATTGGCAGAACCGATACCGAGACCACAATTCAGCGAGCATTTCCACTCGCCGCCTGAAGGGAGAATGGCCCATGGAACGTCACCGAGAGATGGGCTTCTGTTCACCGAACCGACGCCCGTCAAGCCATCCCCATCCACCGTTATCAAGGAATTCGGGCGAAGCAGAGTCCCCAAGGCCAAGGCAAAAAAGAAGCATGGGATGCTTAGCTCTGAATGGAAAGATCATGCTGGAGCTTCCATGCAGAAGTTTTTCTTGGAGACTATTCTTCGGCGAAAGCCACTCCAGCCTTCCAAAGATGGACGTCATATCCCTCTCAATCCTACGGGCGTTGATCCCGGCGGTCTGATAGACGAACGCAGCAGCAAACCCTATATAAGCAATTTCATTCGTTCCAGTCGATACACAGTCTACGACTTTGTCCCGAAGCAGCTTGTTTTTCAGTTCAGTAAGCTCGGAAACTTCTATCTCCTTATCATGGGTATTCTTCAGGTAATTCCTGGTCTGAGCACGGTTGGGAGGTACACGACCATCGCTCCGCTCGCTGGCTTCGTAGCCTTTAGCATGGCCAAGGAAGGATACGATGACTACAGGCGATACCAGCTCGATAAGGCGGAGAATCGCAGCATGACCTGGGTTTTGACACACGGTGTGAGAAAGGGGAGAGAGAGGCCACGAATGTCGGGGTGGAGAAATGCAATGAGGAGAAAACGAAAGGGCAGTAAGAAAAGACTCGGAGCGGATGAAGAGGACGTTATACTACAAGACATTGAAGAGGGAGCCCTCGCTAGATTGGACGAGACGAACGATTGGATGAATGTGCAATGGCAGCATGTGCAAGTTGGAGATGTAGTGCGCCTCCGCCGCGACGAATCGGTGCCTGCAGACATTGTTATGCTTCATGCCACGGGACCAAACGGCGTTGCATACATCGAAACGATGGCGCTAGATGGCGAAACAAACCTCAAAGCCAAGCAGGCCTGTCCTCTCCTTGCGGAGAGGTGCGGCACGGTAGAGGGGCTTCGGTCGACTCAGGCTACAGTGGTATCCGAGGATCCCAATCTCGATTTATACAGCTATGTCGGAAGAGTCACTGTTGATGGAGGCGAAACCGTACCTCTATCGATGAACAATGTCGTCTATCGAGGCTCTACGTTGCGAAATACCACAATGGCGATTGGACTTGTGATCAATTCAGGCGAGGAGTGCAAGATTCGAATGAATGCCAATAAAAACGTCCATGCCAAAAAGCCGGCCATGCAGTCGACAATTAACAAGATGGTGCTTTTCCAAATTACAATCGTCCTCTCCCTGGCAATCGGGTTTACCATTGGATACTTCACGTGGGAAAATGGAACAGAGGACAAGTCCTTCTATCTTGTCCAGAGCGGCGTCTATGACGCAAGCGTGCCGTTCAAGCAGATTTTCTTCGGATTCCTGATCATGTTCAACACGTTGATTCCACTGTCACTATACATCAGCTTGGAGATTGTCAAGATCGGACAGCTCTTCTTACTGCAAGACGTGGACATGTACGACCCAGTCACGGACACCCCCATGGTGGCCAACACTACGACCATTTTGGAGAATCTTGGGCAGGTTAGCTATGTGTTTTCGGACAAGACGGGGACGTTGACGGAGAACTTGATGCGCTTTCGGAAGTTGAGCGTTGCTGGTGTCGTCTGTCTCCATGACATGGATATTCCAGAGGACGAGGTGGCTAAATTGAAAAAGGGAAAGCAACCCATGTCAATGAATGCTGCTCCGGACATGAGAACCGAAGAGCTGCTTGATTATATTCGCCGTCGACCAAATACCCCCTTTTCTCAGAAAGCTAAACAATTTTTGCTTTGCATCGCCCTTTGTCATACCTGCTTGCCAGAGACCAATGAAAGCGGAGAAATCGAATATCAGGCCGCATCTCCTGATGAACTGGCCCTGGTTGAGGCAGCACGGGATCTGGGATATATACTCATCGACCGACCGGCTCAGTCTATCAAATTGCAGATGCAAGATGCACATGGCGTGCTGCAAACAGAAACTTACCAAGTGCTGGACGTGATCGAGTTCAGTAGCAAAAGGAAGCGAATGACTATCATCGTTAGAATGCCTGACAGCCGGATCTGCGTCTTTTGTAAAGGCGCAGACAATATCGTCATGTCCCGTCTTAGGCTTCGTCAAGTAGCTGCGCAGAAGGCAAAAGATGTCACTCGTAGAGCGAGCGTGAGAAAGACATTCGAGCAGGACAAAGCAATCAAACGCATGAGCACTCAGATTAGCAGAAAGAATTCGACTCGGAATAGCTTTGGCTTGGCACGAAGCGGATCAACCGCTGGACTTGAAGGGTTGAGAACCAACATTGTTAGGCGCTCCACAGATCTTAACCGGCTATCACAGGCCGAAGAAATGGCTTCGTGGCTTCATAGGAGGAACACAGAAGAGATTGTGACTCCTCGACCTTCGACCGACATTCTGCGGAGTCCTAGACAAAGCCTGGGTCGTATGCCATCTTGGGACCACAGGGATTATGCTGGCGATGACGATGACAGAATAGACGAATTGGTGGCTGCAGATGAGGCAGCGATTTTTGAAAAGTGCTTCCAACATGTCGACGACTTTGCTGCCGAGGGACTACGGACTCTAATGTACGCATATCGCTACATCGATGAAGACACCTATGTGCAATGGAAAGATTCATATAGGGAGGCCGAAACGAGCCTGGTTGACCGCCAAGAGCGCATCGAAATAGCTGGCGAGCAAATCGAACAAGGGTTCGAGCTTGCAGGCGCCACAGCTATAGAAGACAAGCTCCAAGAGGGAGTTCCGGAAACAATTGACAAGCTTAGGCGTGCAAATATCAAAGTGTGGATGCTCACTGGTGACAAGAGAGAAACTGCCATTAACATTGGGCACTCGGCACGAGTGTGCAAGCCGTTTTCGGAGATTTACATCTTGGATTCCTCCAAGGGCAAACTGCAAGACGCCCTGATGACAACGCTCACTGAAGTTGGGCGAGGGATGGTGCCTCACTCGGTTGTGGTGGTCGATGGACAAACCTTGGCCGTGATTGATGCTGATGAAGACCTTGCCGCCTTGTTTTACGACCTAATCGTACGAGTCGACTCGGTCATCTGCTGCAGGGCATCTCCCTCACAGAAAGCCAACTTGGTCAAATCCATAAGGAAGTTTGTCCCCAAGAGCATGACTCTGGCCATTGGTGACGGTGCCAACGACATTGGCATGATTCAAGCCTCACACGTGGGCATTGGCATCTCTGGCCGCGAAGGCCTGCAGGCAGCGAGAATAGCCGATTATTCGATTGCCCAATTTCGATTCCTTCAGAAATTGCTGTTTGTACATGGTCGATGGAACTACATCCGGACGGGCAAGTATGTCTTGGCTACGTTTTGGAAAGAGACTTTCTTTTTCCTTATACAAGCGCAATTCCAGCGGTTCAACGGCTATACGGGCACCTCTCTCTACGAGTCGTGGAGTCTCACGCTCTTCAACGGAGCGTTTACTTCGCTACCGGTTGTTCTGTTGGGCATTTTTGATAGGGACTTGCAGCCGGCGACGCTGCTGTCTGTGCCGGAACTGTATACCTTTGGACAGCAGAGAAAGGGGTTTAACCTGCTGCAGTATATGGGATGGATGGCTATGGCTGTTGCGGAAAGCGTTGTTACGTTCTACTTCATGCTGGAGGCGTTTCAAAGCATTCTGTTTACGGAGGATAATGGGCTCTATGCGATGGGAACTATATGCTTCAGTGTTGGCGTTATTTTCATCAATGTGAAGCTGCTGTAAGTGATATACGCCCTCTCTTTCCTCAACATTGGAACATGTTCAAGGGATTTGAGACTGACTTGAGCGACTCTTTAGGCTTTTGGAGTTTCACAGCAAGACACTGATTCCACTTCTTGGCCTTGCTGTAGAAATCACCGGATGGTTCCTATGGAACCTGATTCTGTCCACAATATACCAAAGAACCGTCGGTCCAATAATAGTGAGAGACGAGTTCATCCACAATTTCGGGCCTCGGCTCTCTTGGTGGACGTCGCTGGTCCTCGGATTGGTCACCCCTATTATCATGGAGTTGGTCGTGCAGGCGGTCCGTCGGGTATACTGGCCAACGGACCAAGATTTGATGCAGCGGATAGAGAAGGATGCCAACTCCAAGGAAATATTGAAGAAATACGCCGCAGATGGAGGTGGAGATCTAGAAGCGGGAGATACACAGGGCATTGAGCTGGAAGAGATGGGATTGCAAACTGACCAGAGGGAAGAAGGTGTCACGCTGCTGGCGGATCACGATAGAAGCCAGAGTCCCCAGCCGGTGAGCGCAGTTTCGAGGAGGAGCTTTCACGATTTGGGACAGAGGAGGTCGCTGAGGGTGAGCCACGACGATTATCGGCCGCCGGGCTTTACTCCGTTGACGGAAGAGAGGGAATATCCGCTTGAAGAGGTTGATACGAGAAGAGAGAGAGAGTGAATGCCTCTCAAAGGAGGACGGATTTTTTACTATCTTGTTATTTGATGATGTTGGTATAAAGCATATTGGAACTCTTGGCATAGCGGGTTCAGGGTTTGGTTTGTTGAGGGGGGGGGGGGGGTTTGGTACGACATGAGACATGACAGCATGATTAAATTGGTTACTAGCTCTAGTAGAATAGTCATTTTACTTTTATAATTACGATTGAGAATTGAGAATCAGATTTGACATTAGCGTACAAAAAACAGGAGCGGTGAGGAGTCTTTACGAAGTTGTACCAGATATGGAGGACCTCGCTTTGGATGAAACGGCTGGTAGCCCATCGAACCCACACACGAACACGAACACGAAGCAGCGAGACAACGTCTTAGCACTCATCATCGCCCACTGTCTCATCCACTCGCACCAAGACCTTGCCGCTCGCATGCAGGGCGCCCAGCTTAGCGTATGCCTCCTTGGCATCCTCGAAACGCCAGATGCTGTCTCTGACGACGCGGATCTGGCCCGCGCCCAGCATGTCGGCGATGCGCTGGCGGTCCTCGAGTGTGGGCTCCATCATCGAGACGCCCCGCCAGAGACGGCCTATGCCGCCGAGCCAGCGGCTGACGGGCCACCATTCGTTGAGCTTCATCTGCCAGACGGCGCGCAGGAAGTTGGGGACGGAGAAGTCAGGGGGTTTGATGCCGACGGATGAGTACGTGCCCGAGGGAACGAGGTAGGCAGGGGAGTGCACGTAAAGGGACTGGTGGCCCAGCGTGTCAATGATGGCGTTGAAGGGTTTGGAGCGGAAGCGAGATGCGAGGTAGGCCGGGAGGTTGTCGTGCTGGGTGTAGTCGATGACCTCGTCGGCTCCGAGGCTTTCGACTAGCCGGGCATTTCGGCCACTGCAGATGCCAATTACCACGCCATCGGGACCGACGACCTGACGAGCCATCTGGACAACCAACGTACCGATGCCGCCGCTGGCAGCGTTGACGAGGACGCGGTCGCCGGGCTTGGCGCCGGACTCGACAACCTGCTGATGAGCTGTCATGCCGGTGAGAAGGCAGCCGGCTGCGTCGGCGAAGGGGGCCGAGGTGGGTTTATGGACGGCGAAGCTGGCCGGGATGGCGACATATTCGGCCAGGGCACCAGTGCCCGTTGGGAGGGCGTGGCTGGCCGATAGCATGGCCATAACCTTGTCACCTTTACGGAAGCGAGTCTGGGTGCTGTTCTCGGTGCTGTCAGAACTCACAGGACCAGCACTTGTAGTGGCACTTCTGGCCTCATCGCCATCGCCAATGTTGGCATGAGGATGCCAGACGTCCTGGACGACTCCGGATAGGTCCATTTCCGGGATGCATGTCTTGTTGCGCAGGAAAGCAGGGATGAGAGTCATTTGGAAGATGGCGCCGACGTTGAGTCCTGCAAAGGCCACTTTGACGAGGATCCATTCCTCCGGGCGAGCGGCTTCGGGGGGAAAAGTAGGTATAGGTCGAGATGTCGAGAGGGATAGGACATCTGAAGGGGAGCCGCGCTGGGAGAATGTCCAGGCTCGCGATGTTGTGGCCATTGTGTACACTAGCAACAATAGTTGTTGCCGCTGCTCGATATAAGGCTGATGAGTATATGGAAATCACCGGGGCTTCACTTTGAACTTTTGGCCTCTGATCGAGGAAATCATGTCCATGGCTGGAGATGCAAATGGAGCGAGAGATAAAAAACGACCTCTGGTTCACGTTATGTTGTTAGCTTGGGTTTCTCTACGGCTGAGGCTGAGGCTGAATGAAGCTTATTTGTGAGGATGCAGCCTCTGGTTCACTTGAAGTGGGGTTTCACAGAAGGACGAGCTTCCAAAATGCCACCTGTTCTTCTTCTTCTGGTTCTTCTCTCCATCCTTTTCAGCTTCAGCTGCAGCATAAAGGTCTGGAACCAGAAAAGTCGAGGCTACCGGCGTGTGGTGGCTTTGAAAATCTTGGATTAGGCTTGGCGGACTGCTGCGAAGGGCGCAAAGGGGGCGGTACAAGCCACGCGTATGCAGCTGTTAGTCAAAGCAACGTTGGCTGTCACAGTCAGTAGCATTCAGCTAGATTACGTGCCGCTGAAGCCACCGGGGGCTTGCTTATAGTAATAGGGGATGAACCGCAACGGCATGTTAAGCTTAAACTGAGGTCATCGAGAAACCTGGTAGAAGAACAACGCTTCGGTAGGGAGTTGCATTACCGGGCGCTCTGCATCCATGTTAAAGTTCTCGCTTCTGTACTCACCGCACACTCTGCCTATAATAGGAGGTTGATTTTCTGTGGATCATCTGCTTCGACATTCGGTGTGTGCTTGGGAAAATAGGCTCCAGAATTGAAGCCTGAATTGCCGTTTGTCAATTTTGAAGAGGGGGTTCGAAACGGAATCTGAAACTTCACTAGGCGCAATGAATAGATGCCTGTCAGGTATCCAAAGCTACCGTTATGGATTCGAACGTGCCTAACAGGCACCAAAATTACGTTGCAGGTTCGGATCTGATATACATCTCGCCAAAGCGGTTGAAGTGCGTATGTGTTCAAGCTTTGAAACTCCGCCGCGATGCCCAAGAGGGAAAAAATAGGTAAGCGATGGCTCAAGCACGGAGTTGATTCAATATCAAGATTCTAAAGCGGATCGGAATGTCGTCTGAATGTTCCAGAATACTCGAGCCGTATCGTTTGCATCATGCCGCACTTGGAGAACTAAAAAAAGGCCAGCCAATTTCGGCTGCAGAGTTCCTATCGGGGCCGCTGCCGTATCTCGAGCTGTCACAGACGTCATCGGGTTACTCGCATCAGTGCCAAATACCAGGCCAAGCCTGCAATAATGCTGGTAATATTGGCATGTGCTCGGCCACGATTCTAGCTTGTGCTGCGGCAGTTCATGGTTCCGGGCGTTTGTGCGTCGACAAAGCCCAAATGGAGCAACACCTCACCACACTCCATGTACAAAGGGCTGCACATGATGTATCGGTGGTGCCAGAGCTACTTGTAGAAGCAGCACATCGAATGGACGCCCAACTCCGTGCGCCATGTCTGGCCCGGATGAGCTGGAGGTTGTGCAAAAACTAACGCATTAGCCCAGTCTGGTGATTGATCCAGCCCTCCGCAGGCCCTGGGGACCGGGGTGCGGACTTGCGAAGCGGATTCGTGTGGGTTTATCCGACTCTCGGACGACGGCAAGGACCCGAACCCCGGGACGAGTCAATGGGAGACAAGCAGCCGCGCGCCCACAAGCAGCTCTAACCTCATGGGTCTGTGATTCGAGGTCGTTGGCGTGCTTCCTGGAGGAGCGCCGGCGCGACGCCGCTTTCTGAGAGGCGTCCATGGAGGGGTCACAGAAGAGGGCGCGGGCGATTTGCTGCCAATGCGACGTCAAGCCGGACAGGACGAGAGTTGGAGAGGACTAAAGAGGCCAATCGGAATCGCCTCCAAGGCTCGACCGGCGCCAAAGCATCGCAGAGTCATCCCGCGCTGATCTCGGCCGATGTCACCAATTGTGCAAATTCTGCAAACGATGAAAACGAGCGCTGGGACAAGAGTCACTCGGTCACACGCCAGGCCAAGATTTCGGCTGGACAAGGCTGCGGCCCAGCGCCGGGCTTAATCGCAGTCTTTTTGGGGGTTTCGGATCCGATCCGGCTCCTGAAGATTCCGATGTGGTTTTCAATCATCATGCCCGTAAACGAGATGAGCACAGCGTCGCCGAGCACAAGCAGAGTATGACGGCCAAGCATTCCGCAATAGGGTTAATTGGAGGCCTTGTTGGAAATGAGAGCCTTCCCTTTTGGTTCCCCTTTGGAAGGCCATTTTCTAGAAATGGAAATGGTACTGACAAAGCCACGTATTCCGCGTAACGCCATTGATTTGATTCGCACGGTACCGCCCAGCAGACAGAAGACGAAGCTCCATCGATACGCGGCCTGGCCAATATCAAACGTAGCAAAGCCGCTGTATTGCCCGTCTAACACTAGCACGGCCGCATCTAAACCGTATTTCTCCTGAAATGGATGCCGTTTAAATCACGCCTGAGTCATCAGTGTTGTAGCCTAGCCTTCAGCCGCTGCGCACTGCCACGTCTTGGGTTTCGCCAATCCTGTGTCCCCCTGCTGGGCTCGGGACTTTTCGAAGCTCGCTGATAATTTCTCGGGTGAGTTGAGCACGATACGTCAGAAAGCGCCAGCCAGGAGAAATGAGCATGACGAAGACAGGATTTTAGACTTTGTTGCTGACCTTTTATCGCTCTTCCTGTTTTGCTCAGTCAGGAAAAGAAAGGCCTGGAAGAGGTTTGGTCGAGTCACCCTTGCACCACAAAAACAGCTCCACCTGTAGTTGCGATTGAAAATTATACGACTGGTCGTATGGAGCAATGACCAAAGGTACACGATTCGGACGTACTGGGTACCTGCCGCAGAGAGCAGTGATACTGTATTGCCTAGTGAAAGCCAATTCGCCGGTGGGAGCTTCAGGGACGTGCGAGAATGACTACCTAGGTATATGTATATAGTGGCCTCGTACCTGCTGTCCACGGGAACGAAAGCGAGCAGAGGCGCTGAGAAGGAAGGAGGAAGATAGAAAAACTCAATTCCGCTTCCTTCCCTTCCTAAATCATACCAATTTAGTACTTCATTGTATTCAATACCTTATTTTTTTTTCTTCTCTTCTCTCTTTCTTTTCTCATCTCAAACTTGCATCTTTTCCCTTCTCTCTCTTATTTCTATTCAGGCCCCGAGGCGTCGATTCTGTTCCCCGCTGCCAAGTTCGCCGCTGGCCAACCAGCTTAAGCTCCAAGCTACTACTTGGAATTTTTCTCTCCGCGGCCTCCGTTCTAGGGACGACGGCAGCGATAGCCGAGTACGCGAACCTTGATTTTGTCTCTGGAGCTGAAAGGAATTGACAGCATTGATCCTGACTGCTGCAGGCCAACAAGCCACTGGAAGCTTACATCACGCCCTGTCCTGCAGCTACGAATACACAAGGCGCAAGGTCAACCCAACTCACGCACGCGATCACACGCACTCTGCAGCGTCCCTCCTACCAGCTCGGTATAATCCACCGCTGTATTATAAATTGTCTGGTACCTGGCGCGAGAAACCGCTAGGCCCTGGCGTCGGGCGCACACTCGAACGGAATAACGGACATACGGAGGAGATTCCACGGCCCTTTGACACCTCACACCTAGCCCAACGTTGCTTCATCATCTTATATCTACCTAGGCCAACAACTTTTCTCTCCGCAATTGACACCGTCCCAGCGCTGCGGAATACTTTAGCAGACGGCGGAAAGAGTCCACGGCTGAGAGGGTCTGGTTAGTAAGGCTGCGGGAAAAGGGCCCACGGCTGCGGAAGACTTTCGATAAGAAGCTGAGCATCTTCCCGTCGCCGTTGCCGTCTCCGCCGTCCGTATTGTTGGCCGGACATACTGTCGTCTATTTTGCCTGTGCCATTGAATACTATTTCTGGCTCACGGCATCTTGCCTTGTATCCGGCAGCGCACGGGATCCCAGCCTGGCATTTCATTTCTCGGCCCCAACGTCATCTCCACCGCCTATACCTCTCTTAATACGCGTATCTAGAACGGCCGTTTCGTCCGTTTTCCGGCTCCCTGGCTTGTCCGGACACAAGAGAACTCTCCGGTACTTTGTTAAGCAGGGTTTAGGTGGTCTCCCGCCCCCCATAACCTCAGATTCTCAAAGAGGGACTGCCCGCCAGCAGCTTTCATTCTTCGTCAATTACAGCGACTCCGTGCCTCCGACCTGCTGCACGCACACAGCCTCTTGCCCCTGTCTCGCGAAAAGTAGCTGTGTCAGGCAATATCATCTCTTCTACTTGGCCGGCTTTTAAGATTTTGTTCACGCGCCATTAGAACCTCTTCCTCTTTTTCTTTTTCACTGTTTTGTGCCTGGCGCACTTGATTCGTACTGTCCACTTTTGCATTCTCTTGTGGTCCTTGTTTTTTTTTGCCTTGCTTCTCTCGTGGGCTTTGTTTCTTTTACCGCTCTCATCGCCAGACTTCGGGGTTTGGCTTTGGCCCGACATCACACCCCACGTCCTCCCCGCTGGTGACATGTGAAATCACCGGCGCAAACTTGGACATGTCGTCAAACGCTTCACCCGGACCTCACAAGCATCCCAGAATACTGGCTTGTGTCCTGTGCCAGCATCGCAAGATCAAGTGCGACAGGAATTCGCCATGTTCCAACTGCATCAAGGTGCGCGATCTATTTCTCCCTGACCCGGTCCGGTAGCTTCCAGGTCTTGTCCAAACGTGCTGTCTCCCGCTCCGTTTCTCGGCTCCCGAACTCAGGCTCCCCCTTGCCGGGAACATGTTCGCGATGGAAAGGAAAGGGATACAGACCCTTCCAGCTCGCTGCCTGGTCTTTGATTTGAAAGAAGCTTACATTGCCTCAGGCCAATGTCACCTGCACGCCTAGCACACCAGCGCCAGCCCGCAAACGCCGGCGCCCGAACCAAGATCTCCAGGAACGCCTTGCTCGATGTGAGGAGCTTCTCAAGCAATATGCAAGCGGATCTGTGCCGATTCCTGCTCCTCCTGCCCCTTCTACTGCCCAGCGCCCACTGCCATCGTTGCCAGCAACGCCATCTAACCCAAACTTGCCAACCTCCGACGCCCCCGTCGCCACGCCGGCCAGTATCGATTCTACCCAGTCTCGGAATCCAGGCTCTCTCATGGTTAAGGAAGATGGCAACGTCCGATTTATGGATAGTTACATTTGGGCCAGTGTCTACGATGAGGTTAGTGGAAGTCATGACATAGGCGTTGGTCAATCTGGAACCATAACCTGAGCCGGAGTCTCGGACCATGAAATTGCCCCTTCTCCAAAAATCCCCCCCCCTTCTTCATTGGTTCAACTCTGCAACGGATGCTGACTTGAAGTGTACAAACAGCTTCAAAAAATGCGAGATATCGTAGAGACGGATGATCCAGAAGAATCTAGTCTCCTCGGCTCAGATGAGCTCACCCCCGACAATAACGCAGACCTCGTTCTTTCCGCCGACCTGTTCAATACGAATGTTGAAGATCTGCAACCCGACCCCATTCATATTTTCCGGCTCTGGCAACTCTATCTTGATCGTGTCAACCCCCTTTTCAAAATTCTCCACGTACCGTCTGTGCAGCCCTTAATCATGGAAGCAGTGAATAACATGAGTACTATGCCGCTACACAATCAAGCCCTTCTTTTCTCCATCTTTGGCATGGCAAGTGTTTCCATGTCGGCTGCCGAGTGCATACAATCACTTGGCATGTCTCGCGACGCCGCTATCCAGAAATTCAATACCGGCACCAAGGCGGCCTTGATCAAGTACAGCTTTCTTAAAAATTATAATATGACTACGCTGCAAGCCATTATTCTCTATCTGGTAAGTCTGACCTTACGCAATAGACGTGTTGCTACCCTTGTCTCCCGCCCATCTTTTCTCTTGAGATTTTTATTTGAAATGTGCCATCATTAACAAGCCTTCAGCTTTCTCTTGAGGGACGCTATGATAGACATGCTCAATGGATCATTAGCGGGGTCATTATGCGGATAGCTCAGAAAATGGGCTACCATCGAGATGGCTCCCAGCTTAACTTGACCCCCTTCGAAACCGAGATGCGCAGACGCATTTGGTGGCAGATTATGATGCTCGATGCCAAATGTGCCATGATGTCTGGTCTAAGCCAGTCATGGGTGAATATTAACTGGGATACTAAGAAGCCTCTGAATCTGAACGATGCAGACCTTTTCCCCGGCTCAACCGAGCCGGTCGTGGAGCGTGATGGCCCTACAGAAATGGCTTTCAGCATTGTCATCGGAGAAATATTCCGATTCAAAATAGAGACTGATGGATCTAACGAATCTCGTGCCTTTGAAGCTGCCATGATGGGCCAGACGCTCGATGACAGTGCAGACGCTGAGAACAACACGAAAGCCATTTTTGACAAGTTTCGGAAAAAGGCCGAAGCGCTAGAAGAGAGGCTGTTGGAGATTGAGAAAAATATGATTGACATAAGAGCGGGCAATGCGCATGCCGCAGCGCTTGCTATTCGACCAATGCTCACCCACAGGTTGCAGGAGATGCTCGTTCCAATTCAAGAGCAGCCAGAGTGGGGAACCGAGATCTTCGGTCCGAAGGACAATTTCTTCAAGGTTCTTCTGATGATGATGGAGCACAAGACGGAGGCTCACGAGCAGATGGTCGCCGCCGGCTTCCAGTGGTTTATGCGGTTTCACTTTCAGCTTGATGCATTTGCAGTCTTCACAGGGTTGCTCCACGACCGTCCGGTGGGAAGTCTGTCGGACCGCGCTTGGGAGGTAATGCGCAAGATTTATTCTGACCACCTCGAATTCTCTGACATGACCATCAAACCCCACGTCGCCCAAGCACAATTCGTACTTAAAGCCTGGCGGGCGCGGGAGCTTGCATATGCCCAGAATGGCCAGCGGATTGATACACCAAACTTTATCAATCGACTTAGGGATTTGGTGCCATGCAACGATTCCAGGTCTTCTGGCCAGGGATCTGTGACATCTCCCACCACGACGGTAACACCTCAACAGCAGCCACTGACAGGCTTCAACCAGTTTCTCGGTGGGTATCTCGATGTTTCCACAGTCAATTGGGAAATATTTGGAGAATTTCTGCCGAATAGCGGAGAGCAACTCTCAGCCTCCATGTTTGACGGATATACCATGGGCAATCTCAATATGAACAATATGGGCTAGAAGCTTCATTTCTCTCTATGAGATACACACTAGGACCAGGCAACAGAAAGAGATGGAAAAAAGAAGGAAAAAGAATAAAAGGGAGAGAAACAAAAAAAAAAAACCGTCTGTGCACATGAGAGCTGGGAGTTGGCCGGAATGCAAGGTGTATGTTTGATTGAGGGGAACAAGTTTGGATGGACCAGAGTCGACGGACCTCTACATGGGAAGCGTTTTTTTTTTTTCTCTTCTTTTTCTACCCTCCCATTTTTTATTACTTTTTTCTCCTCTACATGCTTTTACCAAGGGCGTTTTGGGTCGACATAGAGTTGGTCTCCTCTCTGCAATGGGCACGAGCTGCCACAAACTTAATTCTTTTCTCGTGTCGAGTATAGGTGAATGTCGACACGATTGCTTGTACGATTGAAATGGAACCACTCCTACGCTTGTTTATCTTTTTATTTTTTTATTTTTTTTATTTCTTGCATATTCTCTTCAGCTCAACGGCACAATGTATCAGGTACTTGGATGAGTTTCAGACTCATCGAGTATGCGATTGGACAAGGCAAATCACAAGATGTGATTATGTACAACATGGAGGGGACTTGCATGAAGTGTATATAAAACTCTTATCGGTATATATCTGAGATATCTTTATGCTTTAATCGACCTCATCCTGCTCGTTGAGGCTGAGATTTGATGTTTAGCTTTCTCTAGCTGCGATCCCAGAGGTAACTTATTGGTTGCCAAGTAATGCTCGAATAGCTGAGAGCTGCCAAGCCCATGATCGATGCAATACCGTGCGTAGCGCAGGTGTCTCTACACCGTGTCGTAATGCTTGGTGGGTTGAATCGATTCTGTCGAAGTGAAACGGTTAAGCGAAATGCTTTTGGGGAGACAGGGGGAAGGGGGGAAGGACTGAGTTTTATGCCACGTACCATATTGTAGGGCTAACGAAGCTTGCCACTCTTATCAGAAAGAGATCGCGGTCTACCGCCGGCCTTTTTCTTGCCTTTGTTCAGTGGAATCCAGTTGGTTGGCAACCATTGGATAGCTGGCCTGATAGCTGGCATGACCAAGTCGCGGAGAGGCTGTATAACTCTACCCATGCCATGGGCGAATGCTCGAAATGCAAAGGCGAACACGGAGAAGATGTATGGCTGAACGAAGGCGGCGAAGATGTTGATGCAGAACCCGAGTAGGAATAGAGGCCAAAAGAACTGGAAGATGGCGATTGCGTCGCGGAAGAAGTCGGCTATGGCGGCCAGAGAGGAGCGGATGAAGGGAAAAGAGGGAGGAGGAGAGCGAGAGAAGATGGAGGTGAGGGTGAAGGGATTCCAGAGAGGGGTGGTTAAGCGGATAAAGTAGCCGCCGACGAACATTTTGGAGATGAGAATTGGTTTTGCTTTTGATTTGGCGATGTTTGGTCTGTGGTCTGAGTCGTTGAGAGCTTAGGAAACTTGGGATGGAATGGTGGAGGCTGGGAGATTTATGGGATGGGATGATATATCTGCTGCTGGAATATTATTGGTACAGATGAAAGAGGCATGAACAGCCACGATCTTGTTAACAGTTTAATTTTAGAAATGGAGCTTGCTGTGGGAGTTGTTGAACAGCTAATGGCCGAACCTTTATCTCGCGAAGCAAAACAATGAAATACCACAAAACAGCGAAAGCAGTTCAGACAAAGATACGCGTTCTTGTTTACAAATAGGAACATAAATTATGGACAGTCACTTTAAAGGATGAAAACCATAGGATGCAATGAATCAAGGGTGCATTTCTTTTGTTCGAAGAACACTCACGTTGATGGTGAAGAATCTGACACCCTATGAAATAAAATAACGTCTTTTCCCATGACGTGATACCCCTTTGTTAAACCAGTAATCGGTCCCATTTTCGTAAGCCCTATTAAGAAAGGCAATTCATTCTTCGAAATACATCAGCCATCAGATTCTCGTCGAGATGATTTTCGCCGCGGCTTTGCTTGGCTCAAGTCGGCTAGTTCTCCTTGTCAAGTGGTTTCTGCTCGGTGGCGGCCACCTCCTGGGTTTCCTGGGAATCCTGGGAGCCCTGAGACTCTTTGATGTCTTCTTGCTTGTCCTCTTCCTGCTTGTCACCTTCCTGCTTGTCACCTTCCTGCTTGTCGCCTTCTTGCTTGTCGCCTTCTTGCTTGTCGCTGAGCTGCTCAGAGACCTCGGGGAGGTCCTCCTGGAAGCGACCGACGGGGCGGGCATGAGGAGAGGCGACGCCCTTTCCCTTGGTGGACTCGGGCTTGCGAACTTCGATGTGGCCATCGTCATGGTGGACAAGAGTAGCTTCTTGGTAGAGAGGAGCGCTTTGGAGATGGTCGCCTTGCTGCTAGCCGGAGCCTTCGCCAATCTCGTCGACGCGGTACACAGGGATGTGTCCCTCGGGGATGGGGAACGCGGTCTCGTCGCCCTGGGCTTCTTCGAGCTCGCGGGCGCGGGCGTCACGGGCCTCTTGACGCTTCTCGCGGCAACGGGCGACGGCCATTGCGATGATGCATGGCACGATGAGGAGTAGGAAGAGGGCTAGGATGCCAAAGCCAATGGCAAGATAGAACCTCTTGTTGTTGGGATTGGCGTCACTCATGATGATGATGAGGATGCTTGTTGAGAAAAGATTTAGTTTGGGGAGACTGGGGAAAGGAAGAGGAAGATGTTGTTGATGATGAAGAGGAGGATGGAGGAGGAGGAGGATGGAGATGGAGATGGAGATGGAGATGCAACTGAGTGACGAGGAAAATAAGGAGGTAATTTTTAACATACCTTGATGCAGATGCTTTTCTTGGGAGAAATGATGGGATTAATGATGAAGCGTTGATGAAGAAACCTTCAAAATGATATCAAATGATGGAATGTGTGGTAACTTTTGAAGGTGAAAATTGTCTCTTTGGGAGAAGGAAGGTGAAGAGGATGGAATTTCCGAGAGGGGGGAAAAGATTTTCCCTTCTGGCAGTTTGGCAGAAAGTGATTAGGGGGGAAGCCAGAAGAGAGTGCGAGTGATTCTGCAAGTGCTGGCAGCTGTTGCGGTCGACTGTCCACGCATAGGTAGTCTGTCTGTCTTTTTTGGCCTCCCCCTTTTTTGTACTTTCGTCTCTGTCATGTCTTTGTGTAGAGTTAATGCAGCCTGGAGGGCGAGCAGAGAGAAGTGAATTACTTCTGATAGTACCGGGGGATTTGATGGGAGAAGGAAGGGCGTGTGTTTTCTGGCAGTGGTATATATTTGCTTTGTAACTGTTTACTTTGGGGAGACTGTTGGGAAGACTGACTATTTCCTCTCTTTATCTATCTAGGATTCCTGGACTACAGTTGTTCGAAGAGAAAGCGACTGTTTGCCGACCATCTTTCGTCCTTGAAGAAGGCGTGCAGGTTACCAAGGAAAGTCACTTCATTATCGCGATAGAGGGTCTCCTGCTCCATGCTCTAGGATACCAATTCGAAAAGAGAGAGTCAAATTCAGCTGGCTAATTCTCACCCTCACTACGGGGTACATTTGTTTACTTTCTTTGAGCCAAGATGATATGCCTGTCGTCTCTTCTATTCAATAGCTGCGAATTACGGCGGCCCATCCTTGATGCACGAAGCTACCAAACTCTGAGGCAAGTCAACGGATTTGTACGGATATGGATAGTTTCTATATCTTTGAGTCATCTACATATTTCTAATTATTAAGCACCAGGTCGTTCACCTTCTCGCTGATCCCGTTCCCATTCACGCTCTTCTCCTTCGCAAGCCGCTCAGCCCTCTCCGACAAGCTCTCGCTGTTCTCAGGGTCATAGAACGGTCGCTCGCCATGGACGGCCGTGCGCTTCCCTTCTCTCAACTCCGTGTCATAGCCGCCAGGCACGGCCCTGTGAGCAATAATTCTGTTGTCCCAGAATGCGACCGCGCCAGGAGTCCATTTCCACCGAGCCGTCAAATCATCGGCGTTGGAGAGGTGCTCGCGGAGAAAAGCGAGAATGTGGTGAGACTCCTGGGCGTTGAGCTCCTGGATGCGCTCTATGAATGATGGGTTGTAAAAGAGAGACTTGAGGCGAGTTACTGGATGAGTTCGAACTAGAGGATGGGCCGTGGCGATGGGGGCTCTGTGCGGTGTTCCTCCCCCGTTGATCGAAGCCAGATAGGCCCTCTACAGTTTCCCACGTTAGTTTGATTGCTAGCAGCTTTTACGACGACAAGGATGTTTAACCATACATCTGAAGAGTGGATGGCGTGGAGGCCTTCGATGGCCCTCTGGAAAGCGGGACTCAGTTTGTCAAACAAGCCGGTTTGACTGGTGAAGATGGTGTCTCCACCGCTTGGAGGAGTCTTGACTAGGCGCAGGAGTGTATAAGAAGGCGGGTTCACCTCGAAAGTGTGATCTCCATGCCATTCTGCAGTGTAGTTGCCGTGAGCTCGGATGTTTCTGCAGAGAAGAGGGTGAGATACTGAACTGGTTGATGGGTTAATCGACTGGATATTCTATCTCGCACATACCCGCCTCGACCAATGATGGTTACGTGTCTCGGATCTTGCTGGTTAGGGTCTCTGTCTTGCTAAAAGCATTTCAATTTGTGTTAGATGCCATGTGTGAGTAAATATCTGATTCTACATGTACGCACAATGCCATAGTATGATGCCAGTGCGTGTTGCTGCTCGAGAGTGATATCCTGGTCACGGAAGAAGACGACGCCTCGCTAGCATAAACCTGTCAGTCACATCTCTCCCGTTTTACAACTCCGGTGCCGCCATTATTTAACACGGCAGAGCACTTCATTTTGTGCACACCTCGGCTACAAGCAACGCAAGCTCGTCTTTTTGCTGGTCGGTGAGTTTGCTTAGCTGGACGCCCTTGAGTTCCGTCCCGATAATTGGAGTGACTTCTTCGACGGCCGTCGCTAGGCCCAGCAATGAAGCCTTTGCCGGGTCTGCGAAAAATGCGCGATCGCGATCTGGGACAAATTCCTTGAGCTCGGGGTGAGGAGGCTTGTAGGCTAATACGGCCGGAGTAATTGTGGTGGAGACAGTGGCCATTGTGCGATTCTGACTCTGAGATTGGTTTTTGTTCTATCCTGGTTTGTCCTTTGTTATCCGATCTCGATCTTTCGTTCTTATCAAAGAACAAGGAACAAAGGCAATATTTAAGGATTCGATGCGAATAATGATTTGTGATGGTTCAGCCATGATTTGTGATCTCCCAGTGGGCTCAATAAACTGAAGTGAAGCTATACTCGTCTGCTTATTCCGAAATACGGACAATCTCTCAGCCACAAATCTATCGCCATGCCAACTGGCGATGACGACACTTCGTCCTATCTACAGATTAAGCACCAACATGCGTCTCGATAACTCCGCGGATCGTGTATGCAGTCAATCATTTCCAATCTGCGACGCCCTGCGATCTTCGGATAAGAGATGTCGTGCTAACGGCAGCCTTGACGCGGGGAAGCAGCCTGTAAGTAGCATCACGATATGGAATCAAAGATACGCATTCGTCAGATGTCTCCCCTCTAGCCAGACAAGGGCAATGGTACCATTATAATGTAGCAAACGCCATCACCACGCAGCCAAATTGCGATGCGAGTCGGGAAATAGACAGGCGGCAACTATTTGCGGTTTGACAGCCATTATGTGCGACGCTATACGGCGGCTGCAGCGCTTGGCCACGCAGCGGTTCGCATATGATACCATTTCCAAGTCGAAGACGTGATTTTTAGAAACTGTATCGCATCTTTAGATCGATGCGCGCAGCTTTTTCGTGTAGCCCGAATGGATTTCTCTCTGGAGGCAGTGGTGCAAGGGGAGGCCCAGAGAGTGGACGTTTGGTGCGAGTCGGGTTCAATGTTATATATATACGAACGATGAACTGGTTTCGAAATGCAAGATTACATATTGCTTCGGCTTCTTTTCCGTCTTCATCGTCTTGTGTGTACCCACAGTTATGGCGTCTGAAACAACACCAACAACAGCGGCAACGCTGGGGTTGAGCGAGAAGGGATCGCCGTATGATGGCGCGAGCTCCAAATCCAACTCCAATTCCAACGACGACAACAACGAGAAATCTGCGGTCGTTGTCAGCTCTCAAGATGACCAAGACGAAGCGTCTTCTAGTTCTATTAGCGATGTCTTGGAGGTTAAGCTGTTTGACCCTGTCTTGGCTAGGAAGATGGCGCTTGTCAACAACGCAATTGACGAGATTGGCATGACTGGCTTCCAATGGAAACTGTTTTGGCTCAATGGATTTGGATATACAGTTGATTCGGTATGCAGTTCCCATTTCACTGCGTTGTGCTCTGGAAGTATTGTTGCAAACTGACATGTGGAATACGTTTCTCTCGCGCAGCTTCTTGTTCTTTGCCAGTCCATCTCAAATCCTGCCGTCCAGCAAGAGTATGGAAATCCCAGTGCCCACGTTTCCGGCATCCCCATGGCTTCGCAGATTGGTCTTCTAGTCGGCGCTGGTCTCTGGGGTTTCACTGCCGATATCATCGGCAGGAAGCTGGCCTTTAACACAAGTCTCTTGTCGTGCGCCATCTTTGTCCTCATTGCCGGTGCCATGCCCTCCTACATCTCCTTCGCTGCCCTGTGAGTTCCCCCCCTTCCTTTGTATTTGATGGCCGTGACTAACAAGGGATTGTGTCCTGTGAATCAGTGTGGCCCTCTATTCAGCAGGTGCTGGTGGCAACTACATCCTCGACGCAACAAACCTTCTCGAGTTCCTCCCAACTAGCCATACCTGGCTCGTTACATTCATGGCCGTTTGGTGGGCTGTTGGATATACAATCACAGGTCTCCTTGCCTGGGCTTTCATGGGCAACTTTAGCTGCGCCCCCGATGCTACGCCTGAGACATGCAGTCGAGCCGATAACATGGGATGGCGATACCTTCACTTTACTTGCGGTGGCCTTGTCTTGGTTATGGCTATTGCTCGCATTGCCTTTATCCGGATGGTGCAAACACCGCGATGGCTCATTGCTCAGAACAACGATGAGCAGGTCATCAAGACGCTTAACGACATTTCTCTAATGGCCGGAAGATCACACAGCCTGACGCTGGAGCAGCTGCAGGCAGAGGGCATTGTTTTGCACACTGAGGAATCCGCCTGGTCTGCTACACGGCTCAAGATGCACTTCAAGGGCCTCTTCCAGACGCGGCAGCTCGCCTGGTCCACCAGCGTCATCATTGCTAACTGGTTCGTCATCGGAATGGTGTCTCCCCTGTACAGCGTCTTCTTGCCATTCTACCTCGCCTCTCGTGGTGCCGATTTTGGCGAAACCACAACTTATACTACGTGGAGAGATTACGCCATCAACCAGATTGCAGGGCTCATCGGCCCAATTATAGCCGCTATTCTGGTCGAAACAAAGTTCTTTGGTCACAGAGGCACCCTCGCCGTTGGAGCCCTGGTAACAATGGTGCTCCAGTTTGGCTATACACAGGTCAAGAATGAAGCGCAGAATGTCGGCGTGTCAGCTGCCATTTCAGCGGCATCGTGAGTCTTCTCCTTAGCACCTATAATTCGTCTTTGTTTTCGGTGAGTAAACGCTGACATTTTGCCGTTGCAGCAATATTTACTATGGCACCATCTATGCGTATACCCCGGAGATCTTGCCAGCTGCCCATCGCGCAACAGGTTACGGCGTCTGCGTTGTTCTCAACAGAGTCGGCGGCATTCTGGGAGTTTTGGTTGGAAGCTATGCAAACGTGGAGACGACGGCTCCTTTGTTTGTCTGCGCAGCATTATTTGGGCTGCTTGTTATTTTGAGTCTTATTCTTCCGTTTGAGTCCAGGGGAAAGCGAAGCGTGTAGATTAATTGATTTGACTTTTTGTTCTTCTCTCTCACACAGAATGAGATAGAGATGCATTGCATTGCATAAATAACCGTCTGCAGCCGCGGCAGAACAGAGATTTCCAGGATTCATGCATCTGAATCGAGTCAAGTTGCTGTAACTGTTTTCTTACGATTTCGTATCGCCAGGTTCAGGATCCGTTGTTCCGTTAGGAATTGTATTTATCGCTGGCTATCCTCGGGCAAAAAGATCAACGGCCCTCCGGAACCGGATACCTTGAGTGAACCGGCAACGAACCGGAGACGCCTGAAATAGATGCATCTCGGCTTATAAGATTGCGGGGATGGCACTGACTTCTGACTCGGGCCCAGAAGATTTCGGCGTCCAAGCTCCCGGGCCGGACACCGGAGGAGACAACGAAGAAAGCCCCGTGACGGGCTTCGAATTTCGTTCAGCTAATGTAAACAACATTGTTACCGATCTGGGGTTTAGTGCGCGAATTTGGATGCGGCATGATCAAACCATTACGTGGTGGCAATATTCCCCCACACGCTCGCGCAATGAAATCTCGGCACAGGGGTTTCGTTATCTAGGCTGACTCGTGGGAGAGAGATAGAGGCTCTTGCAGGCCATGAGGTCATCAGATAGGGACGTAAGAAAAGTTTTACTGGCATCATCATGAAAAGTTGAGAGACTTGGATATCTTGTTCAAATAGAGACACTCAGTAATGCAATGCGAATGAGGCACATTAATATGTAAAACGTAAAATTATTCAATTTTTTCAGCCCTATTTTCCAACCCGAATTATGATGCCAGCCAATCCCTATCCTACAAAGCCCAGCTAAAATGAAATGTCGCTTCTCTTATTCAAACAACGCCCAGAAAATGTTTCAATCTTTTTTTCCACTCTATGCTGATCCAAGAGCCTTGTCCAACGCCGAGATCAGGAAGGGAACTATAGAACCATTAGTCACTAGAACGATGAAAATTTTCTTCTCGATCGATCGACTTACTGTGAGCTTCCTCAAAGATAAGCATGGGACGGAGTCGCACTGTCTGGGTGCCGCAGGTGCCAATGTTGACGCCCAGGCTCTTCATCGTCTTGACGAGGCTAGCGGGATCCGCCGTATCGAAGGCAATGTATGTTCTGGACAATCTGCATTAGCAAGGATACGATTATCCTAATTGATTTGTTCTGTTGGACTCACCCTTGTCCCTTGCCGCGCAGGTTCTTAACAAGCTGTGGGTACTTGGTAGCGAGGCGCTCGAGTTCGCCATAGAGCGCCACACCAACGCGAGCCTGGCAATCGAGTTAGTCTTTGGAGTGGCTTGGATGGAGAAATATTTGCTGGACTCACGCATTGGTTGACGAGATCATTGGCAAGAATCTCCTCGACGACGGCCTTGCTCATGAGAACACGAGCTGGGTCACCGATCCAACTAGTTTTAGAGTTAGCACATGCATTCAATGTCGTCACAACGGCTTTCAAATCCACGGGGGACAAAACTAACGTGTTGAACTGGCGGTAAGCCTTGTCAGGAACCAGTCTGGGGTTGCCAAAGTAGTAACCGGCAGTCTGGGCCTTCTTGGAGAAAGTAACAATATCGGGAGGTGAGGTCAGGTTCCAGTGCTGGTGGCCCCAGAATTTGCCGGTGGCGCCGAATCCTGTGCACGATGCATTAGCGACGTCGTATTTGGGGCGGCAGGTTTGAATCTTGTTTTCCTGCCCATGTAGATTAGATCGACATACCAGTCTGGACTTCGTCCACGATCATGGTGACATTGTGCTTCTGGGTAATGTCGCGAAGGCCCTGGAAGAAGGCAGGGGAAGCGTGGTTATCACCACCCTCACTCTGAATGGGCTCAACGATCAAACCAGCGACGGGGAATTGCCTATGTGAAAATGTGTCAGTGGAAACTAGTACCGTCTCTGCTGACAGTAGCTTAAACGCACCAGGTGGTGATGAGCTCTTCGACCTTCTCGAGGCATCGCTTCTCCTCGGCGGCATTCTCAGCAGCGAACTTGTCAAGGGGATACTTCAAAGCCGGGAAGGGGGCCTGAGGCCAGTTGAATGAAGGAATGTCGAGCTTGTGGACAGCCTTTGATCGGGTGGCAGACAGACTACCGAATCCTCGTCCGTGGAACGAGTTGGCAAAGCTGAGGATGGCGAGATCAGGGGAGCCGGGCTTTGCGTTGTTGAGGCATGAGCTGATTTCGTTGCTGGACCAATCAACGCCCTCGCCTCGCTCCTTGCGGCGGTACAGCATAAAGGCAGCCTTGAAGGCAAGCTCGTTGGCCTCGGAACCGGACTGAGCAGTGAAGATCTTGTCGCATCCGGGAGGGGCGACCTTGAGAAGACCGTTCTTGAGTGAGTCGTGCCAGTGGCTGGAGGGGAAGTTGCCCAGAGCAGGACGGTTGACCAGGGCAGAGATCATCTCAGGGGACTGGGCGGCCTTGATGAGTCCTGCGTTGTTGTAACCAACAGGAATGGAGGCAATCTGAGAGTAGCTGTTGGAGTTGTTAGACATGACATGAAATGAGCGTGTTCTTGATTAAGAGGCCTCAAACATACACATCAAGATACTGGTTGCCGTCAACATCGACAATGCTTCACATATAAGTCAGCCTCCACGTTTCCTCCAAATGTATAAGGAGAATGAGCATACTAGTTGCCTGAGCTCTTGTCGTAATCAGCAACAAAGTAGAAAGCTCGGTTATCAAAGAATGAGCCCAGCTTCTCGGCCTCAGCCTTAGAAAGAGGTCCAGGGACCTCAGTGGTCACTTTCACTTCACGAACGGAAGACATTGTAAATGGAACTTGATGTGATGAGCTTCAGGTTCGTTAAAGTATGAGCTGGCGATACTTTTGGAGAAGAAAAAAAAAAGAAGGTTTGGAAGATAGACTCTTATATAGTCAAATTCCTGATACCCCGGAACTACGATTGCCGGTTGACGAAGTGGCGGATGCGGGGAATCCAGGCTAGAAGAGAGCGTGCAAAGAGAGATTGAAGAGATGGAGGAGAGTCGACCGGCCCGGTTCCGGTCCCGTGCCGGACCCACGTGAACAACTTCCGGTTGCCCAAAGCCGAGATTAACGACGTAAAGACGATATCGGAATCGACGGGGAATGGAAATGTAGAATATCGTATCATATGAGATGTAGAATTGATAATCAAATACTGTCTGACTCCTGCGATAAGGAATGCGGAATGATTCGCGTATAAAAGGTATTTTGAGCGGGCCGTGTCAACTATTCAACACGGCTGATGAAGCATCCATTTTATACCCAAAGATAAGAAAAATCACAGAAAACACGGCGGTGCTCTGTTAACGGAAAGTTTCTTCAATGATACGATGGCTAATAAATGTTTATACATGCATCTCCTGAAGAATGTCAACGAGCTGATTCACAGAGACCTCGACTGGAAACGAAAGTCGCCAATGCCCAGAGTAGACACTGCAAATACCGGAATCGCCATCGCTGCAGCTCACAGTCATCTCCAAACGAACAATCTCAAGTAATGCATCGCCTTATTCGATGCTACTATGAGCTCGTGCGTGATGTTTGGCCAGAGCCTTGGTTGAAGAGCACGCCAGAGCCTTGGAAGCTGCCAGAGCGAAAGTCACTCACGCCATAGATACTCGAGCGGTTCTCGAGAAACAACCCGGTCCATGGCGACATATCTCATTTAATAGCCCAAACTGCCGTGTTATCAGATGAGAAAGTGAATTGATGTCTTCGGCAAGACTACGACTTAACAACTCCAGCGGATATGAAGCCGAACATGCCCATATTCTTCTTGATGATGAGATCGAACTGTATCCGTCTATTGTTCAGGAATAAATCAAATTAGTAATAAAGCGCTAAAAAAGAAAAAGCCAAGGTATCCGTAGAATAAATATGGCAGCCATCCAGTGTCTGCTCGAAAGAATCCAAGATGAAATAAAAACCCTGGCTGGATCTGACGATCAATCCAGTCCTAATCGCAACAGTGGACCCGTAACCCGCAACGGCAAACTCCAATACGCCTTTCCATTTTCCACTAATATTTCGCTTCCAAAATGTAGATCAAATCGCCAACTTGTAGAACATGTGCGCGCGTTGTCGGCTTGTTGAGCTGGCTCGCAGGAATGGCTCGTCGCGTGGGCAGCCAATTAACCACTCGTTCGTCCGGTGTTCAGATTCTCGTGGGGATAAGTAGTGCTTTATGGCAACACCAAGGCTGCCTTCTTTTTTCGTATCCAGCTTTCTTTCTCGTCGCTTTATCTTGTACAGAAGATTCAAGACAGAAGTTACTGTCAGAACTTGTATCGCGACTCATTCCTTCTCATCTTCTCCCGAATATCATACGTAAACGATCGCGCCGCCTTTGTTTCTGTGCAGCAGTTTGCTCAATGCCGTAAGCTGCCAGTTCGAATGGATCAGACGCATCTTCGAGTTTGTCAATCTGCCTCCGTCTCAGGTGCAGCCATACTAGAACGAACAGTGCCGATCCGAAGAGAAGAAGACTGCAACACGGCCAAGAAAGAGAAAAAGTCAGTGAGGTTGCTATTGAAGTGGAATATTGCCACTCGAGGCTTCATGAGAATGGAGGGAGCCCACCCTGTTGTAACGACGACTGCAACCACAATCTGCGTGTGCGCGGCGGGCTTTTCACATGTGTTGTTTTCTTGGGTGTCTACACAACGCGTCGTGAGGAGTTTGGTGAAGCTGTCTAATTGCTCAATTGAGCGTCTGAATGCGGTTGCCATTGTCTCGCGCGTCATCTCGATGCTTCTGCTGCTTTCCATCATTGATTGGGGGTAAAAGCGACGGAAAACTTGCAGCTACAAAACAAACCACATCCCTTGAGCCACCACCTCGAGCCATGTATATACCTCGCCCTCACATAATCACCGTTGGTCCGTTTCTGGTCGCCAAGGTCCGCATATCTGCTACCAGTAGCTATATTAAGCGCATCACCATTCCGCACGGCCAAGAGGCTGTGCAGCGGAGGTTTCAGATTTGCATTCCCCGCAGTCCTGGGAAATGAAACGAAGTCGCCAGGCCAATAGAAGGCTGTGCGTGCCTGGTTTCACCCCGCGTTGGCGTACGGTTTTGGAGTAGCTTCACAAGTGGCTGATCGTTCTGGTATGGCGATTCCAGGCTGAGGCGCCAATGAGACGCTCTCTAGCCGCCTTATCCTGGGCATCGTATCCTTCAAACGCCCTGCACAGACGGCGCGGGATTGGCCTGTCGCAGGTTTTTACGATTGGCGAAGAAACGTGCGCATGCCTCTATCCTATACAAGTAAGTCATTGTTGCAAGAGATGCCAGAGGAAGGCCAAATGATGCATTGCCAAATACGAGGCATTACCATTTCGAACAGGCAACACTGATCCGAGTTTGCAAGGTTGTCACACCAGGACATGGTGGCATTGACCTGCTATTAATACGAGTTCCGGCCCTTTTCCGGAGGGTCATATCAGACCAAGAGATATTTTCAGAAGGATCCCTGTATGTCACGTTTGCAAACACATTGACGTAGCAGATCATATAATATATTAGTTTCTTGTATAAGTTTCGTTCAGTGGCCGTTGGCGAAAGACAAAAATATCTTGTCTTCCTAATTTCGCTTGAATAAAATAAATCGACTGGCGAGAAATCTTGCAATTGTCAAAAACAACCATGACGCCCCATAGATCGACAGACTTGCCCTTCTTTGCCTTGCAAGAGTCCGTAAAATAAATGCAATATCGGGGTTTTGTTGGCCCCCGAGAATATCTCGGCGGAGGACCTCATCTCTCAAAATACACAGCCTTGTGCTGCTGTGGGTTCAGTAGCTGCACCTTGGACCAAGGAGCAGGCTGGCTGCCTCTGATAGAACCAGGACATAGTGCTTGCCGTCTGGTCCATCATCCTTTCACCGAAAGAATGTGGGCGACACGATAAGGGGTTTGCCTTTATCGTCCATTAGGGTCAAGCCTTTTCTTGCTGGTATACTACACCTTTCAACCCTGTCCAGAGTCAACATTCGACCCAAACTCATTTCCAAAGAAGGCCGAAAATTCGTCCAGACTTTGCGGAAATGATGCAAAATGTCCATCCACACCGAAAAACGGGGTACTTGACGGCATCATCATGGTATCGTCTTTCGGGGCATCTCCTATTTGTTTCGGCGGCTCTAGCGCTGGGGGTGCCATTGGCGCTTGTTTGCCTTGAGTGCTTCCATCTGCTGTTTCTGATGTAGGCGAGTCGTTCTTCCACAGCTGCTCCCATTTTTTGAATTTGGCATATTCAGACTCGCTCACCGTGGCACTGGTTGTCTGCTCCTGCGCGCTCATGTTGGCGATGGCTTGTTCAAATGCCTCAATCAGTGAGGTTTCGGAGTGGGCTGATAGACTACCAGTTGACATCTCCTTTAGCATCGATAGCCCATCTCGCAAAGCCTGTCTGAACATGTATGTCTTCTGAGAAAGGCACTGTGTGGTAATGACCATAAGAGCTGCCCTACAAGAACTGAATTCGGTGTAAGACGCGCGAGCAAGACCAATCGTGTTTCGCAAACAGCGACAAGTGTCTATAACTGACAGAGCGGCCTCGATGCAGTCGGCCACCAAGATTGAGCGAGTGCTTTTCTTGCCCAGAGTCGCACTCGAAGGTCCGTTCGCAGACGTGGCCGGGCTGCTGCCATCCCTCAAACCTGCCTCAGGGAAGATGAAGACGCGACCAACATACATGCGTACAAGACAATATTCCAATTGCAGATGCATATGCTTGCGAGAAATTTTCGACTGGGACGTGAATTCTTTGAAAAATATGTCATTCGGTAGAGCATCCCACCACGTCTTGAGCTCACGGTGCAGCTGTGCGAGCCTCTTCAGTCCGTCAGGTATCTCGTGTTTAGGCACAGATCTCAGGGTTGCTCTAGATAATACTAGTTAGCCATCCGACTTGATGCTCAACTGTCACGAAGTAGCTCACATTCCACGAGACATTTTACTTAGCTGCTGATTCAGCTCTAAAGTTGCCAAGATATGTGCAGTATCGGCTTGCGAGGTCGAGGTCCATATATCAGGGCGATGAACAGGAAAGTCGGCATCCACATCATCACTAGATATAGATGTAGGTCTGCCATGAAAGGTACCAACACGCCTAAATATCGTCAGTTAGCTCATTGGGTATTTCTCTCCATGTATTGTCATAAAAGGGAAGTCATTTAAGCAAAGCATACTTTTCGATAGTGTACACGCTCCACCAAACCCGATTCCTAGTTTCAACAATATCCGCATCTCGATTTTCGACGGGGTATTTCCTATGCATGCCGTTCTGTATCGCAAGTTTGAGAGCAAGATTGAGATAAATGTACGACAGTCCGGATGCATCAACTGGAAGTGTATATATGCCAAGCAATAAACAGGCTTGGACACTCTCCAGCGATGAGGCCGTGATCACATCTGGAAGCAGTCGGCATGCCTGTTGATAAAAGAGTATTCCAACGGAGTCTTCGGTAAATGCATCGGGTCCCTTTTCCGTGGGATTCTCGACACCATCAACCAGCGATTCGAGGTAGGCGAATTGGGTTCCAATGGCAAGGATGGCAAAGATGATGCACACTGATCCTACGTCCCGCCGAGAAAATGCTGCCGAGTTTTCATACGCGAGGTCAAGCTTGGCTTTGAGCCAGTTCTGTTCAACGAAGAAATAGTTGGTTTGCGCATGTTTGAAGAAGGAATAAATGAGAAAGTCAGCGATAGGTCTCGGCGGCAAAAGTGATAATGCACCTATTGCATCCGAATGTGACTGTAGCTCTTCAGCGCGGTAGTATTCCTTCCACGTTGTTACGGATTTGGATGAATGCTACACAGGTTGGTCAGCTTGAATGCTAAATATCAACGATAGGCTGCATTCACATTTAATGTGTCGTTTGGAGCGCTCTGATCGATCCAGTTCTTGATCCGCATTGAAAAGTTCCAATGCGAAAACTCTCCGGAATAATCTAGCAGCCAAAGTAAGCATCCAGCTTGCTGGTAAGAGTGACAAGACTAAGTTCGTACGTGTGACATTGCCGTGGAGGGGCCGCATTTCAAATTTATCATCCACGCCCTCAAATTCAGAGGATTGAGAGGAAGCGTCCGCCGGACGAGGGGAACTCCGACGTTTCTCTGTGGCTTGAGCCAAGCCCTTGAGGGTCTCGAGATCTAAAGCATCCTTGCTGCCGACGTAGCCCTTGACGATTCTCTCCAAGTACTCGAGCCGCTTTGCTTGCTCAGCGGAGCTGTACTCAGATGCGCGAGGTCTTTGACTGTCAGAACATGCCGTCTTAACCAATTCCGCGTCATATCATGGGATAGTTCTACCTTCCGGGGCGCAATCCTGAGCCAGTCTGTGAATCCGTCTCGGTTGAGGCCCTGCCCGAGAAATCGCATGGGCGACCTAGCCGGAAGCATCTCCGACAAGGCACGCCGCCATCACATCTTTCCTTCTGGCGGCGGCAGCCATCACACCTACACAAAACAGAGTCAGACACCAGGTGTTCTAAGCTTCATGGCCGCGGGTCTACGCCAACATACGCTCGAGCCGCTCGTTTCCTCTCTCTATCTAAATGACGGCTTGGCTTTGGCGATTTCTGAATGTCCATGAGGGTCACAGCGATGACATCAATGCAGTGACAGTCCGAGAGGCCGCAGATTTTTTCCGGTTTCGATGTGAGATGATGAAGCCCATCACTTTATGGAGCAGGAGAGTGGATTGCTTTGACTTATCGCGAACCCCAGAGGGCGATATGAGAGGGCTGCTAGTTCGGGATGACTAAGCGACGGGGGCGAGACCGAGCAAGCCGAGGTCGGGATTCTCGACCTTGCTATCCTCATAAGCCAAGCTAGAAGAGGAAGAGGATGATTATCGTCGTCCGGAATGCGGGGACTAGCTCGTAAATTGAAATGGCGCTGGAATATTCATTTGCGCTGTTATACGCTGTTATGCGCTGTTAGAGGGCAAATTCTCGTGTCTACAGAACGATGCATCATTTGTGGGGGGGCAATCTATCTTGCATATATGTACCTAGCTAAAAAGCAGATGCATGGTGGCGAGAGAAAGGCGTTGATGTGCTTTAACTGGGCGGAATTGATGCAGATGCGTGCAGAATACAAATGGTAGCTGGAGCTTAAATTATGCAGTTGGATAAGCATTTATACGCGCTATGTTGTATGAGGCCTCTAGACTGATCCCCTGTTAAATAGACCATATACAGGTGCAGGTAGCCGTCCATCGGTATCCGGCAATCCATCATCGCATGTCCAAGCTCTATGTATATATTTAATTCCCGTTGTAGCTCAATAAATGTGGTCCCTTCTTATCGTCCTGTACATCTTCATCGCCCGTGATTATATCGCAACTCTAGAAACCAAGCCCTTGGTGGTTTTGCATCTATACAGGTACTCATGACATCAATAACAAACCTCCCCCCACGTTATGAGATTCGACCGCTCGAATTGAAACACTGCACCTGGGCCCAGGCCATTGTGGCTCTCAGCAACGTCTATCAAACAACAGTATGGACAGCCTCATGTCCAGACAACTTGACACGTCGTACCTACGATGCCTACAAAGGCATGGCGTATCTGATCCAGCATCAAATTGAATCCGGCCACTCGTTGGGAGTGTTTGACAAAGAATACGAGTTCAAACGATCAGAGTCGGCCGCCACATCAGGAAGACTCTACTGGAATATTGATGACGAGGCTGCCGGCGTCTCCAAGTTACTTGAACAGATGGATTTCCCTCTGGTGTCGGTCGCCATGGCATACGACAGCTTCGATCCGCTAGATCCAGAAAGACTGGTGGATATGATGGCTGCGCTCCCTGGTTTCGGGTCTGCAATGGGCGCCTTGCAAGCAGCCGATCAACGAATTGACAGTTCCTGGAAGGCTACTGGCCCAGGACAAGTATTATTTCGGGCTGCGACAAGCACGCGGAACGAATATGAGGGCAAGGGCATCATGAAATCACTGGCACACTATCTGATGCGCACCTCGGCAGCAAAAGGGTTTCGAGCGATTCAAATCGAATGCGTGTCCGATGCGGTCATCCATGTCTGGAGTCATCCTCCAGCGCCATTCCACACGGACCTAGTGAGCGAGATTAACAGCATGGATGTGGTGGCTGAGGATGAATCTGGCAACGAGTATTATCCGCTTAGGCCATCAAAGCAGCGGCTGTGCAAGTTGTATTGTAGACTACAGGATTCCGCCATGTAAGTTGCCTGGCACTGTGTTGCTGTACGCCTACAACACGTTCCAGTTCTGAACCACGTTGGCCTCGTCTCCCATGCCATCACTGCCAGAGTTTCTCGATCTATATTGACATGATATAATACTTTGTAACACAAGAGATAATAAAGAATAGTCTACCTCTGCATTACACTAAGGCCATAGTTATTCCTAATGCGGCGCATTTGTGCATGTGTCGGAGCTTTGTCGATGGTCTAAACTCGATTTGAAATGTGAATAGTAATCAAGCCATCAGTCAATCCCTTGGACGCGCTTCCACCCATTCGTTTCTAGCCAACAAAGAACCTTGCGTATGAATTGCAATATTGGCCGAGAAGCCGATTATTGGTGTTAAGGAGCACGTATGACCTACTGATCCTGGATCAACCCACTCCTACTTCAGTATCCGCTTTTCAGCCATCTGAAGAAGTGAAGCCACAGAGAGACAGTCAAGATGCCGCAGCAGGCCTCGGCCAAGTCATTCTCCTTTGTCAACTATGATGGGCCAAACCTCGCCACTGATGCGCAGGTCCGGCGTCGCATCCGACAGCAGGCAATGAAAGACACCGCCATAGCCCGGAGGCAGAGGGGAGATTACGGCAAGCACAACATGAGGCAGTATCCATTGTTCATGGGGCCCAAGCCGTTGCGTGACGATTCAGAGGCTGATCACGATGTTTCAAATCCGGATGAATGGAAGCGCTCTTACCAACCTCCCTCCCTCTCCATGCCCTTTGCCTTCCAAGACCCGATGATGCCCAAGCAATTCTCTGTACTTCTTGATCTCATGCCGCTAACCGGCCTCCGTCTTGGTGTCGGCACCCTATCACATTACTTATACGAGTCAACAGAGCCCAAAGATCGTATCATCACAGCACAAGCCTCAAGCCAGAGGCTCTTGTCATTTATTCCGAGCCGATATGGTCACGTATCACTGCTCCGTCACGCAACCGACTGTGTTATTGCAAAGCTTCAGTATCAATCGCAGCGAGTGGAGGATAGATCACCCAAAGGCGATGTGAAGGCGCTGATGCACTATCATAAAGCACTTAAAGCGCTGCAGCAGGCTTTGCTCGATGAGCGCGAGTGGGCGAAACCAGAAACTCTATGTGCTACACAATTGCTAGGGATTTTCGAGGTTCGTATCTCTTGTAGAGCTGTGGTGGTTCTAGCGTGGACTATGCAACCAACTGACAGAATCCCTGCAGGCTCTTAATGGAGAAGATATGGAGGATTCTTGGATGCACCATGTTGGCGGTGCGGCTCGACTTGTAGAGGCCCGAGGCGCCCACATGTTCCAGTCGGAATTCGAAAAGGCCCTATTCCTGGCACATATTGGACCAACAGTAAGGACATTCAAGCCCCAAGCAAATCGCGATTAGTAAACTCATTTTCTCTCTAGGTAATGTCAGCATTCTTAAATAACACACCTTGCTTTCTGGAACAGCCCCAGTGGCAAGCTGTCATTCGAGAGGCTGTTAACGAGGAGACGACTCTTACGAATGATAAAGAATTTGCGCTTGCGCTATGGGGTGGCCTTATTGAGATGCCAAGGTTGTTCAAACGAACAACAGAATTGCTGCTTTCGCCGTGTCCGCCTCCGCAGAAAGAGATCGACGACCTCACAGAACGCCTGTTGGCAAAACGCAAAAATCTTGTGATATGGCTATCGATGATAAGGAAGCATCCCATTGTCAAAACAGGAGGCCTTGGTGAAGATGAATACGGAGTTCTCGTCTTTCCTAGCGACTTTAACTATAGGGAGTTAGGCCCCTGGTGTCTAACGCGTCTAGCTTTGCGAGGAACATATGCAGTCTGCCGAATGGTCAAATCACGGCTCTTGTATGCCGTTTCTCCAGCAAAGTTCCATGACCTGGAAGTTGAGGCTCAGGACATAGCCCATAGAATTCTCAGTCTGAAGGAAGGGATGGCCTCTTTCAAAGATTCAGCATTAGTATGGAATCAGTTCATGGCTCAAGGCAGCTGGATAGCTAAGGGTATAATTGAAACGAAAGATGCATGGGGTAAGGAAGGCGAGGGACACGAGGGCATGCTTAGCAAGTCCAAGTTTGAGAAATGGAACAAAGTAATTGGAAGGAAGATATCTTAATAAGGATAATATGGTCTACGTTATTCGACTTTTGTAAATACATTGATAGTTTTCGGTGATCCGGCGATTAACTCCTCTCAAACAGACACCAAATGTTTCATATTTATCCAAGCGCTCACTTCAGGCGTAGCACAAATGTAGAATCACGACTTTTAAAGCACTCCTTCAGACACCTTTCCGTTTTTGATCGATCACCGTGCAGTAGAGCTTTGATTTCACCATTATTCACATTAACGCATATTATTTACATGCACATAAATCATAGATAACCCCAAATTAATTGCAGGTGTCGGTATCGCAGCTGGCACGGGGGTCGTTGCAGCTGGGGTCATTGGGCTCAACGCAGAAAGAGGTGGGGGTAACTCCAAAACCGCCAAGGTGGTTGCAAACTTGGTCTCCAGGGCAGTCCTTTAGGATTGTTAATAACACACGCACATGGCAACAAATAGTAGGTAAGGGAAAGAATTATGATAGACATACGTGGCAGGTGTTGCAAGCACTGGCCAGAGCAGCAGTAAGGACGAGAAGAGCGGCGTAGACCTTCATCTTGCTTGTAGATTGGTTGGTGGACTGTTTAAATTGCTGAGAATTGAGGATTATTGTTTGGAGGGTTGATTGGGATGTTCTTCTGAAAGTTAAATGTTCGAGGGGGTTGAGAGGAGTATTTATAAGTTTTGCAGTCTATGATAGACTCTCAACAAGATCAACTCATGATCTGCTCAACCCTCTTCCTAAATTGTCTCATTGGTTCAACTTGATCCATGTACCTTGCATTGGGTCACTCTCAGGGATTTACTGCGATGGCTGACCACATCATCGACGTCAGTTCCATTAGCCGACTCACCGACTTCCAACAAACTAGGGGGGCTTGCTCTTGGTTAAAGTTGGTCACTACCCCAGTTTCCATTTCACATAGAGGAACTCGTTCTAATAATCCGGGGAGTAACATCAGCCTACATCGATACATCTGTCAGCTCGGACCAGAAGTCTTTCGTCACAGTCATTTCTTTGCTATTAGCATTTCATAAAGTAGCAATTATTTTCTAACAAGACGTGGTTCTCGTATTATTATCTGACATTTGCAGGTTAAACATAGTATCCCCATATTCTGGAGTAGTGATACGAATTCTTTGGCATAGACAAACACCCTCTACTGGGGTCGGTATGGGCCCGACGACCCAAGCTGACTGAGTGAACAGGGTGTTATTGGTGGGCTTGATTTTTTGTGATACAAAACTACGTATATTTATAGCGTCCTTACGAAGAATTGGGTCCTCCTCATAGGGTATCGGGCATCAGCCGATTCCCAATCTCTTTCCATATCAGGTAATAATATTTTGTCTAATGCCGCCTCCCGTGCTCGCGGAAAATGACCGGCGGGATCTTTAAGCATATATTCAATAAATTGCCTATGTCCTATCAATCTCTAATCGTCAACTTTCCCCAATAACAGGGGAGATGTCTCATGGAACCGCTTATGAACGAAATTACCGAGCTCCTTGTATCTTCAAACTATCCAAAAACTATATCTTTTATCCGGAACCAACTATTTTTGCCGTATTATCTGACTAACAGCACTCAACGTTCAGTTCAAAGCCTGTCCGCTTAGGAAGATCTGCCTTCCTATTTCGTCCACACCCACTCTCGTGAGCATGCTACAAGATTAACTATAAAAGCTAACTACGGGAGTCAACTAAAACAACACGGGCTCTAAGGATTTCCCAATCTGGCTTCTCATTCGAAGGCTAATTATTGCGAATTGCCGACGCCGGTTCCGATGCACGCAAATTATTTACCAAGTGAACTCAATACATAAGAAGTCGTGTCAAGGTACCTTGTTTTCTCCTGCATTTACATGGGTACCATAGCAGGAAAACTCTTATTACTCCGGTAGCTCGGAACCTAACACATGACTTGATGAAAAGCATTACGAGAACGACATGACAACATGCGATCACATTGAGCTATCACAATAACTAATACAATATGAGATCCCATTACGGCAAATTAATAATCATCTTGCATTATTGAATAGAACAAATCAACTCGGTAGTCATTCTGCCTTTTCAACTAAAGACAAAGAGCATGAAGCGTACATGCAAGTAGAAGCCTTCATAGACCTTCATGCCTGACCCCTGTGAGCTGGGAAGGACTTTTGTAATCGTTTACTTTGCAGCACATTCACATAGTATCCTCGGCAATTTTGATTCTCGTATTATGATTTATGCTCCATTCTTTTCCTGAATGCTACAATCCATCGTGTGCTCGGCATTGCCAGATCGACACCACCATGCCATCTAAGGCCCCTTTTTGTATAAGACCACGCACATATGGCTTTTCTTTTGCATCTCTTTTGAGCTAAGTTAAATTTACCGACCGAGGGGAAATTATATGTGCTCTATTATATCATTGCCAAATTGAACTAGCGAACTGGTGGCGCATTGGTTCTAGATCTATGGAGTACTGTTAGCTATGTGTCTTACCACCCGAATACAATTATTCATCTATAAAAGTTGTCACTACGTTTATATATTCTACTTCTGGAAAATTAACTAGTCTGCACATTGGTATTTCATCTTCGTTAATTGACTAAGAGAAATTTAAATACCAGCGCAAGCAAGTATACCTACAGGGACTATTTTCTGATATTTTTGGCTGCATAATACGGAGTGCTTTCACTTTCCATCCTCTAGTATACACCCGATAGTGTTATCTTGATGTTTTCAAATGTTACTTTACTTCCATGACCTTCAGTGCTTCTCTACCCTAAACTATATTCGGAGTATAAACTGAACAACAGCAGGATAGATTTCTTACGGCATATTCAGGAAAACTTCCTTCAGCTTACTGTAGTCAGGCGCGCCCAGGCCGGTTACTGGATCCCGGCCCTTGACCGCACTGAATCCCGCAGTATTGCAGCCTGGGTTATTGCCAGTGGTGATGTCGTTAAATATTTCTTGGTGTTGATACAACACTGGGTTGATAAATCCAACAGGCTTCTTGCCCGCATTCAAGCGGAACGAGTTAATACTTGTAATAAGACCCGCAAACACAGGGGTGGAGACAGATGTCCCTTCTGCGAGCGTGAGACCGTCACCAACCCAAATAACAAAATTATGCCCTATAGCGGAGATGTTAGGATATCCACCGCCACCGCGGTTATACTGACCCGTCTCATGAGTAGCGTTGAGCGTGATGTTATAATAATCGTAAGGCGGTGGGTGCTTATCGAATTATGAGTGGACAGCGTTGGTCTGGTAAGTCGGTGTTCTAAAGATGTTGGAGAAGCCACCGCCACTGAACCTTGCCCCCTGCTCTACTATCTTCAATTTACCACCAATGCTGCTAGTTGTGAGATTCGTCGTACCAACTGCTGTAACAAACGGGCAGTCTGCCGGTGATACCGTGCCAAAGACACCACCAAGGCAGCCAAACCCACCAAAGCCGCCCACGCCTCCGTCTCCCGTGGCAACGATAACGGTGACGCCCTGTAAACCCAACTTCATCCACTCGTGACACTGACGTCGCTGGTTAGTTCATCGGTAGGCTCAGACCGTCTTCACCTTAAGAAATGGAGATAACATCGGTCGGGGTGTAGATACCACACTGTTCTGTCTGATCATAGCCTCCTTCTCTCGTGTCCGGGTAGCTTGGGTCAACACCCTTGAAGTCGCCTGTTTTACCAAACGCGGAGTACGTACAATATGACTTATCGAGAGCATCGAGGAAGATGTTGAAGAGGCCACTAACCCCGCCGCCGCCAGCTTCATAATAGAAGTCGTCAACTAGGTAGTTCACCACCTTGTCTGGGTACGCTAGAGGGTATGACGCCTGAAAGTCAAGATCGGCCTCTTTGGCGGCGTCGTATGGCAGTGGAGAGGGTGCCGGTGCTCCGTCGATACCTTGAAACTCTGGCGTCGTACCCTGTGGAATTTCGAATGCAAAATACTTAAAGAAGGTGTTGAGGCTTTCCGGGCTGTAACGCTGCCTCTGGTTTGAGTATATGCTAATTGAGTTGTTTGGGTCTCCCTTGGATTTATCTGCTACTTTGTACACAGCGCGAACGCAGTTCGGGGCGACCATTAAAGAACAATCCGAGAGGTTGTTTGAGTATTCCGGCAATAGATCCGGCATGGGTGTAGGTCCAGGCAGCATGGGGCCGAAGCTGCGAACAGTGTCATCAGCCCGCTTCCTGATCTCGAGCATCATAACGCCAGGTATGATGAAATTGACAACATCTCGAATTTGAATTGGAATGTGATATTCTTCGCAGCCAATGGCAGCCCTGCCTTATAGTTTGTACGTATACTCGTGGTAATCGGTATGGAGGAGATCCTGAAGTTCTGCAACTGTAGCATTAAACTCCAGCCATTGACGGCTCCTAGATAACGTAATCTTCCTATCACTTAGAGCGGAGTTAATCCATATAGTAACAGCATCAACACTCTCTTTTGACGGGGCGAACATCTCGTCTACCTCGGACGCCGAGAGGTGCTTCCCATAGTGCTCTGAGTTGGGATGGGATATATTCATCAACATAGCTTCGCCCATATCCAGGTTGCTTTGTGCCAGGCCAACTCAAACCGGAACTATGGTATCTCCTTCAATGCGGTTCTCCTTTGTCCAAAGGCTGTCTAAATGCTCGTCACGCAGAGCATGCCGTACATGACCTGATGGTGCCACACGAGCTGCAGCCACGCTGAGCAGAACCGTCACAACAGTAGCAACAACGGGCCTCTTCATTCTGAGTTTGGTTGATAGCTGTTGAACTCTAGCTTTGTGAACTTATACTTTGAGAATATCAACATCTTACAATTTATATGCCAAGCGGGGTTAGTTTTCGTTTCTCTCTCTTAAACTAAAGCATACTCTCTAAAGCATGTTCTACCTTCTGAATACGGATACGAACTACTCACGGCAGTGTATAATATAACGGCTAATATCAGAGACAAACAGGCTCTTCTTTGATTGTGGGGGAACATGTCGCAGGGTATGGATCGGTTGGTATACCGTGCGTGAGTGGTCAATATACGAAGCTTGCAGCACAGCCTTCGTGCCCTGTAATCTCTAGTTCCAGGGTATATGTGGCTCATAACTATTAACTACAAATTAATTACCTTGTAGCTCATATGCTTCATGGTACTTATGAAATACGAAGCATGCAACTCAAAGACGAAACATGAAACAATAAGCATGCAGCCTATATATTAGAAGCATATAGCATCACCTTCCAACTTTGTAACGTATAATAAGAATCATAAAGTTAATCATTACACTATTTAGTATCATTAGCCTTGTCAAGGTGTTGCGAAGGTGACTATCTAGGAAATTCTTTGAGAGGCCTAAAGACGCGGTCAACAACTTGGTTGACCGCCTTACACCTACGCCTGTAATTCAGGTAGATTTAACGCTTATTTGTAGATACCATGAACAGTAGAGTCAAGTTGCATGTTCTGGCCTCTTGCACCCATGCAGAATCGGAACCTCGGAACTCACGCCATCTTGTGATACTAGACTATCAGTATAAGATGACAAACTGGTCGGCGAAATGCAGAGCTCCGGGGCAAGAACGGCAAGTTCCATGCGGGCGTAAAACTCAATAAGTGATACTCCGAGAGAGAGCTTTCCGTAGAACCCCTTGCTCTTATAGGACTTGATTCATCTTTGCGCACGTGTGTGGACGGGACCCATGTTGTATGCACGATTGCGGTTGTTTCATGATAATCATATCGGTTAATACGAGAAGTTAGGTGCTGGGGAGCCCTGTTCGGTACGGAGGCTCTGCTCTATACAGAACTGGATGAGGCTGTGCTATATGACCGATCATGTATCTAGGCTAAACGATTGAACCTATATCTACATTCTTCAATCGCTCTCTTTCTTCAACCCCTCTGCTATACAAGGCGGTTTCAAAATAATAAGTGAAAATATGCATGTGTCACGCACATCTTTGGCGTATATTTACGCTGTAGCGGTGACGTTTGTTGAAACTTCGTTGGCCAAACATGTCGTTCACGAACGTGCGGTGGATTCTCTAGGCGGATGGGTCAAAATAGGCAACATCAATCGCAATGGCCTACTCCCTGTGCGCATTGGCCTGACTCAACAAAATCTCAATCTTGGCCATGAGTTACTCATGGAAAGGTACGTGAGGATACAACCCAGCAGCCTTTAACATGACTGACTCCCCTCAAGATCCAACCCTGACTCTCCAAAGTATGGCCAGCACATGACCCAAGATGAGGTGAATGATCTGTTTGCACCCCATGACGACAGTGTTGATGCAGTCCACAATTGGCTTGAAGTCGAGGGTATCAAATTGGACCGCGTGTCTCGATCGGACAATCGTCAATGGATACAGTTCCATGCCACGGTAGGGGAGCTTGAGAAACTCCTTAACGCAACCTATGACATATATGAGAACAAGAAGACCGGCATTCGTCAGGTTGGAACGGATGAGTACTCAATCCCAGCTGATCTTTTGGATCATGTCGATTACATTACCCCAGGCATCTCAAGACTTCAGATTTCCGGGGACGTCGAAGAGCGGCGGATTCGTCGGGATGTCAATACAAAGAACCCGGACGATGTCATTCCTGCAGCTCCGTTGTTTGGTCCAAACGTAACGAGCAACTGCAATGATTTCATCACGCCCCGTTGTATCCGCAACATGTACAACATCCCTTTCGGTGATTCGGCCGTCGAAGGCAATGATCTGGGCATCTATGAGCGGCAGCCATACAACCAAACCTCATTGAGTATATTTTTTGAGAAGTTCTCGTCGTAGGAATCTTCACTATTCTAGTCTAGGGAAGAATGCAGCTGACATCCGTCTTAGAAATATTCCTACCAACACCACGCCTCTGTTCACTTCGATTGATGGCGCTATGAGGCTCAGCAATAACGATACCCCAATGACCACGGGCGATGGCGAGGCTATGCTAGACATAATCGTCGCATACCCGATCGTTTACCCACAGAATGTCCGTGTCTACAATGTTGACGACCTCTACTGGCAAATAAACACGACCCAAGGCTATTTCAACACCTTCCTCGACGCACTTGACGGCAGCTACTGCAACCGCACCGCTTTCAACATTACTGGAGACAGCCCAGAGTATGACCCAACATACCCAGACCCAAATGGCTACACGGGAGAGAGGATGTGCGGCCTCTTCAAGCCTACAAATGTCATCTCCATCTCCTGGAGCCCAGAGGAACAACAGCGAAGTGTCAACTACGACCGCCGCCAGTGCAGTGAGTGGATGAAGCTCAGCTTGCAAGGCGTGACGATAGTCGGGGCAACGGGTGATTTTGGTGTCGCTGGCAACGGTGGCGACTGTATTGAAGACGCGGACGGCAACTTCACCATCTTTAATCCATTGGCACTGACCAATTGCCCATATGTGCTGGCAGTTGGCTCGACCCAACTAGCACCGGGTCATAGCGACGGCAAGGAGGGTAATGAGATTGCTACCAGCAATCTATTCTCCAGTGGTGGTTTCTCAAATATTTATCCTACTCCTGAATGGCAGAAAAGTGCCATTGATACGTACTTTAAGGAAAACCCAACGCCCTACAAGTACTACAACACCTCTGAGGGCAAGAATATTGGTGCCGATGGCGGCATCTTCAATCGTGGCGGCCGCGGATTCCCTGATGTTTCTGCAGTTGGTTATCGTATTGTGTCGATTGATTTCAACTCCATCTTCCTCGGCGGCGGCACGTCATCAGCTGCTCCGATTGTCGCTGCTATTCTTACTCGCATTAACGAGGAGCGCTTGAAGGCGGGCATGCCCACTCTAGGCTTTGTAACTCCAGCGTTGTACGCTAATCCTAGCGTTCTAAACGATGTCACAGTTGGTAATTCATCTGGCTGTGGAACGCCGGGCTTTTTGGCTGCGAAGGGTTGGGATCCGGTATCGGGTTTGGGGACTCCAGACTATCCCAGGATGTTGGAGTACTTCATGAGCCTGTGTTCTAAATAAACGTGGAACGGCAACAGCAATGATTTGGTTGGAGACCGTCAAATACGGTGTAGTAGCCAGTAGAGAAAGCCATAAGGAAGTTCACACTCTGTCCTATTTTAGGACTTATTAAAGTTTTAAGAGTTCCTAGCCACTTACGAAATGAATTACTTCTGCTTTCATTGTGTAATTGTCTATTTTTTTATGCGCAGTAAAGGTTTTTTTTTTTTTTTTTTTTTTGGGGGGGGGGGGGGGGGGGGGGGGGGGGCAAATAAGAGGCGTTTGCTGCTTGAGACAGATTTACAGAGACGGCTGCCAACCCCCCTGTTTGTAAAGGGATGGTCGTGCAAGGAACGATATCCTAGAATCACTCAGGTTGCACTCAACAGCTACTCACGATAAAGCAGCGTTGGCTCATATATCTGGATGATGGGAAAAAAATTCAACAATTAGATTCGGAGAGTGTCTGAGTTATCATGGAATTCGAAAGAATAATATAATTACCAGAGACCTTTTTGCTCCAATTTTCGTAGGCACTGTTGCAATATGCGAGATCTATATCTCAGATCGGGGTCTTTATAAGTTTATTGCTTCCAATCCCTTCTCACCCTGTCGATCTTCTTTTTAAAATATTTTTTCTTTTTTTAATTTTCGTCTTAAACACTCGTGGTGGTTAATTCTCTTTATACTCATCCAATTGGGTTGAGTTCCAACACCCAAAGATATCTGATCATCTCCCTTTTAAATCAGCGGCCATGAATTGAAACAAAACATGTTCAGCTGCCTCTCGCTAAAACGTTTTAGCTCATTTCCTGACATGACAGCAATTCCCCCTTGCGTTAATCTCAGGATAAGACACTCTCACCGACACCAGTCTCACCAACGTCCAATCCCTTCCTAGGCCGCCCAATTCGCTACACAAACTTTGTTTGCTGTCAGACGCCTACTGGTCTACACACGTAGCGGCGTTGGGAGCGGATATATCTTTCTAATACATTTTAAGGTTGCGCTGACTTGGCTTGCCTTCACCGGTTAATTTCGTGTCATTTGATTCGGCTGGCGATCCGTATACTGACGTCAACATTATGCCGTATGACCTTGTACAACAACTCTGCAAGGGATGAATTCAAGACATGTTTACCCTTACGGCTGAAGTTTATTTGTATAAATACCCCCTCAGTATCCCGTTTCTCACATTTCCGTGGGTAATTTTACATATAACTATACCCTTGAGTGAAAGCATTTGTAGATCCTTGTGATACGAAAGAGTGTTGAGATTTCTCCCATTTGCTTGCTGAATTCTCACATTGCCATATTTCTGGCTATTTATCCACCATGACACAGCTATCTGCCTACGAAGAATTCAAGCCACGACCTAGCTTGAACTTGAATCGGGAAATTGGATCATTGGTCAACTATGTCAAGAAGCTGGAGTTTGATCCCAATACATTTGTGATTATTGTTTGCCGCCATGGTGCCATTGAAGGCTTGACGAATAAATTGAATCACAGGAAACAAGAGAGGGCTTTTAAACAGGTTAAAAGTAGGCATCTCATGCAGGTATTCAACTCAATGATTTCTCTCATCTAACTGCCCACAAACCTCAGATTTCGAGATCAGAGCGACAGACGACATTAGACTCAGCGCAGTAGTCGCTGCCGCTGAGAAATCCGGACTATATGACAATCTTGTTATCATCGCAAGTGGATTTGTTAGCCACTTGTATTTCGAGATCGGGTCTAGCATAATGGACTTGAAGATATATCGATGCGCAGCCAATTACAATCCTGACGAATACCTTCACGTCGATGGATTCTCTACTTTTCATGGACAAACCATTCGATCTTGGGAGGGAATGCATCATGAAGCCAAACTTTGGCTTGGACCTGGAGTCGTGTTCAATCTCGGCTCTCACATAGGTCAATTAGGGCAACTATCTGCAGTATCTACTGCCATCTCGGATTTTGATCGAGATAAGCTTCGCGCACACATTGAAAAGATGGATGGTGTGAAAATGGAGGGCAGTTGGTGGGACGACTTCCGGGCCCCCATTTCCGCGATCGTTGGTATTCTTACAAGTGCCGCCAAACTCGCTTCAACTGGGTTCGTTAAGATGTCTGCAGGGGGTATGTTTGTGCAGTATAAGTTTATTGGGTACGCCCTTAGCACAGCGGCAGCAACTTCAATGACTGCCGCCTCAGCAGGTAGCGCATTGCTGGTTGCGCCAGGCGTGGCGGCAGCCGTCTATTTCATTCCCTGGGGGTCAATCTTTGGTTGGCTGAACACCGTTGTCTCATGGTTAAAGACAGGGATCAAGAAGATTTGGGAAAAGATCCAAGATTGGTTGGCTTCGTGTGCGAGTACGATTCGAGATACTCTAGGACTTGATGGGAAGTTACATGGCCCACTCGGGTTTCCAGCATGAAGGCGTATGGGCTGTTTACTTCCTTTACTTCAAATGCATATGCAAGTGTTTGGATTAGACGATTAATAGCTGTAATATTTAGAAAAATTAAACAAAGATACGTTGGCAACCATGGTTATTGCGCGTGTTGCTAAGATGATGCCAAAAAGAAGATTGAAGATTCATGAACGAGAAAGCATCACGGTTGTTGACAAAGTCTTCACAATTAATATACTCTGCTAGACTGTTGACTCTTTATATGTTGCTAGACGGTTATCATCAGAAATGGTGGAGTAAATGAGCGCATTGTATGCAAAATTTAGATGTACTCACCACCCACTCGCCACCTCTGCGCGAATTCATCTTGTGCACGGCCCAGAGCTTCAAGCTCCGGAGTCGTAAATATTCCTTCTTCACACAAGCTGGGAGTAGTCCTGGCCAGTAACTGAGCGGCTCGACATGTTGTAGACAGCCCAATAAGGGAAAGTCCTTTGACACCCTTCTTTGGCACTATCTCGTTCATGGACTTGCAGATATCAACCGCCATTCGACGGGATGAGTCTATGGCGAGTCTATCCGCCATGCTGACAGATTCTTTGGATCTTGTCAAATGAAATGCATTGAGTTCAAATAAAAAACTAGATACATTTGGTTAGTTTCATGTAATTGCTTGGTGATCGGTCCTGTAATGAGTATGGTACCTAAGCGCAAGAGCGATGCTGTCGCAAAACATAAGAGAATTAGGACCCGCTGCTTGGATAAGGGCATAGCAAAGATTTCTAAGCCGCGATTCGACTACGGGGTATGAATTTTCAGGAGATTTAGACGTTATCTCATCTTTGATATACTGTATTGCCTCTCGGACGACCCCAGCAACTTGGAAGAGCATCTCGAAGTTGGACGATGAGCCACAGCTTTCTTTGAAGTGTTCGTCATCCAGCTGTACATGTTCCGCTACTGAATCTGGGCTGCTATCGTTTAAGTTTTGTTCCCTTGCCGAGGATTTCGGTAATTTTACCAAACTGTTGTCTATAGTTCAGTCATTGGCCTTCATTCACAGATGGATGAACGCGTCTCCTCAGCACATACCAGTCCATGATAATGACTGCCTTCCGACACGCAGCATCTATGCCTATTTCTGGAACATCTTTCCTCTCAGAATCAGAAGGCATCTTGCGTAATTTGCAAATGACGGCACAAGCAGCAACTGTCAATTCCGACTCTTGGTCAAAGCCATGGCCGTACTCAAATAGTGACAGCAAAAGTCCAATCTGAAGAACCCTTAAATGTGATCTTGAGGCTGTTTGTAAAAGCAAAAATGACTGTTTTACTGCCTTGTATAAATTGCTGTGCATATTAAACTCACAATGTCCGCAAGGCAATTGAGATACTAGCGCCATGGATAAAAGAAGCATTCCGTCAATGCCTCGACAATTTCCCTGAGCATAAATCTCGAGAAGTTGATTAATTTGATCATCGCCCACAATTGGAAACCAGCCATGAACCGTTTCCCTGTAAGTTTGAACAATGGACGTGGCGGTCAGTGCTGCTGACTTGAGTGTCATACGAAGAAGTGAAGCATCTTGCTCAGCATCATCAACGCCGCTAAGCAGGGCCACTGATATCATACCAACGAGCTTGTAACACATGTCAAGAGGTACTTCAGAGAGACAGCAGGCCTGAGCATCTTTAGGTGGCATGATGATTTCTCCGTCTCCTGGACAAAGTCCGCCAGCGGAGTTGCTGGTGGATATTTGGCGCCCGTAGACGCAACGAATCTTTTTCCTAGGCAAGTCTGAGTATGGGAAGGAGGGCCGTAGTAACACTGTGCCGGGAGATGAAGACTACATACAGTAGGCATCGATCACAGGTAGGAAGGGTTTTATCGCAGCGGGTCTTGGATCTTTTGCACTGGTAGCAGACCCCAGCCGCTCGACTGAAAACTGGAAATTGCGGCGGAAGATGAAGAGGAGTGGAATCCGATGTAGAAGCCGATGCCTGCATGGCGTTGAGGCTATCAAATCATATACAGCTGTGCTGTAACGTTCAAGTCAATTCCCCGTGGATGGCTGCAATATTATGACATCAAAGATACAAAGACGGAACTGAGATTCTGTTAAGGGGGATGTCAGCTATAAGATACACGGAATAAAGCTCCAGAGGTGTTGCTACCGTGGGGCCGGAGGTTTAACCTTCTGCCAGTATGCGGAACTAAACAAATTATAAATCACGAGCAGGGTTCGGCCGATGCATTAGCGCCAGTTTGTAAATCCGTTTTGAGATCCCTGATGGCAGTGTCATCCAATCAGAAGTTGCGCTATAGTATGAATGTCACTGCGGTTGTCCATGATCATGCACCGGGAGCTGGGAAAATGAGTTGTAGATGCGTTGGAACATCATTGACTGAATATCTATATAAGCCTGCTGTCTCTCTCTGTTTCTCTCTCTTCTTCATTGAAACCACTTACACATTATCAAGAGTAAAGAGCGTCTGGGCTTGTTGAATCTCCAAACCTTGAATCTCTAATCCAATCCTTTGCAGAAAAGATGTCGCCAATTAAGACCGTCGCGGTTCTTGGAGTAAGATTTCCATTCTCTTCTGTATTGGAGATTAGTAATCAACTAACAAAACTAAATTTCTAAGGCCTCTGGAAATGTCGGCAAAGTTGCGGTTCCAGCTTTGCTTTCTGCTGGTTTCACTGTGACTATCATCGCAAGACCAGAGAGCGCCTCTAGCTATCCTAACGGAGTCACCGTCAAACAATCATCTTACAATGACCTAGAGGCTCTTACTGAAGCCCTGAAGGGCCAAGATGCTCTCGTCGAAGCCTTCAATCCTGCTGCCGCTGAGCACCAAAGCATTATCGTGCGAGCCGCTCTGGCTGCTGGCGTGCGTCGCCTGATTACGCCTGAATTCAGCACTGATTCCTTTTCAACCCATGCCGCGGAAATTAGAATCTTTGAACCTAAGCAGAAGGCACAAAAAGAGCTTGAAGAGCTCACCTCGTCGCCTGGTTGTACCCTCTCCTGGACGGCCATTATCCCCGGAGCATGGTTTGACTGGGGCATCGAGCTTGGATTCTTCTGGATCGACAAGAAGCAGCGGACCATTACTCGTTTTGGATCGGGTAACCAAAAGGTGTCCATGAGCCGCTTAGAGCTATCAGCTGAGACCATCGTATCTGTTCTTCAAAACCCAGAAAAGTATCACAATCGCGTCACTTACGTTGCAGACTACGCCGTCAGCACAAACGAATTAATCGCTATCATTGAAGAAATTTCATCTGCCGGAGAATGGACGGTTGTCGATGTTTCTGTTGAAGAATTTAGGAAAGACGGGTTTGCGCTCTGGGATGAAGACACGAAGAAGGGTGTGAAGACTCGGCTGTTCAGCAAGGCATACACCATGTTGGGGACTGTGGCACTGTTTGATGAAGAGAACCGCTATGATGGAGATTACTCGTACAAGCAAGAGCCTGGAACTGGTCGACCAATTGAGAGCCTAAAGGAAGAACTCAAGAAGTTGCTTGGATACAATTAGGGCGTCGCTATCTTTTTGCGAATGGTTCGGAATTACAAGCCCAATCATTTGAATCAGATTACAGTAGCTGGACAATGGCCATAGATGTGTGTATTTGAATCGAAGATGATTATTAGAGAGAAGAAGTTGATGTGCATAAATGTGATTGCTAAACTCCATGGACTATTCAATCACGAATATCTAACATCATCGGTAAGATCTGGCCCACGAAGTGAACGGTCTTGGACTGTTATGTATCGCGACAATTGTAAAGCCATCATGGCCATTTAGCAGCAAACATATGCGCAGCACTCTGGACAGCTCAAGAAAGAACTTGAAACAGCGATTGACGTTTCATATCTTCCTTGGGCCTTTGACAATGACGGGCTCCAGGGTAGTCCAGGGTAGCTCCAAACCACAATAAGCTTGCTTAATCGGAGCTATGCGCCACACACGTATTTTTGTCGCAGAGCAGCAACAAAACAGCAACCAAAGTGCATCAAAGCCATGAGCCTAACAACATATTTGCAGTCCGAATGACTTCTACCGCAGTATGCTCATTTAAACAATGATGACACTACAAGACACAGCACAATCACAATCACAATCACACAGATGAGCTATCGACGATGGAAATGTAGATCTCAGAATGAAACGGCACCGGTACGGAGGACAACCAAATGCCGAGATTAACGAAGGATCCATTCAAGAATTCCTCTCCAAACATCCTCAAACCAAAAAGGCCTTGCCGGAATCGATGTCCATAGTAGACACCGCGCGGCGGACATTCGTGACTATCTGGAGAAGAAAGAAAAGAGAAAGAAAAATTCCACGAGCGAAATTTCCTGCCAAAAGTAAGGGCCACCAGAAAAATCAAGATGAGTCAGCAACTTCATCTCTAGCACGTGACGGCGGAACATCTTCCAAAGAAGCAAACGGCTCTCTCTCTCACGTGAGTTCTGGAGATGATGAATTGGAGCTACCTGATTGGCCCACCTAAACCGAGGAACCGACGCAGTTCCGTTCCGAAGAAGCTCGTCTCCAAACGCCTGCCAACCCGCAAACCGACGAAACCACGGCGACCGGCTTTCTCTTTTTCGTCTGGGGAATCGAGAACAACAATTGAAATCGCCGCTCTCCCTCAATCCAGCCTCTTCGCCCAACATGATCGCCCACCGCCTCGGCCTCGCTGCCGTGCGCAGTACGTCTTCCCTTTTTCCCCTCCCTCGGCGAAACTGGGTTGCTTCACATGCAACCACTGCGAATAGCCTCATCATGGACGGTTTCTAACCACGAAGCTCTTTCTTAGGCGCGACGAAGCCCAATGTCTTCTTCAGCCAGAACATCCCGCGCATGGTTCTCGCCTCCGCCATGTCAACCTCACAGGCCCGGTAAGCCACGCCCGCCGCATCTGCCCCTCCATAAAGGATATGAAGCCGGAAGAAGAAACAGCTTGCTGATATAGGCCCTCTTTCCCTCGTCTCTCTTCTACAGACCCGTATCGACCCAGAAGCTCTCCCAAGAAGAAGGCCAGCAGGTCCTCGTCAACCAGCGCCTTAACCGCCCCGTCTCCCCCAACCTGGGCATCTACAAGATGGAGCAGACCTGGTTCGGTGCCTCGGCCTGGACCCGTATCACCGGCTGTGCTCTCTCTGGCGCCGCCTACGTCTACTTCACCGCATACCTCGCCTCTCCTCTCCTAGGCCTCCACGTCGAGAGCGCCGCGCTGGCTTCCGGCTTCGCTGCCCTGCCCTTCGTCGTCAAGGGCGCCATCAAGTTCGCTCTGGCTTTCCCCTTCACTTTCCACTTCATCAACGGCATCAAGCACCTGGTGTACGACCTGGGTATCGGATTTGCCAAGGCCCAGATTAAGCGAGGAGAGATTGCTCTGTGGGTATCGAGCTTCATCGGTGGTGGTTACCTGGCTTTTGGCTTGTAAAAGAACATCAATGGAAGGCTTGGAGGAAGCAAGGGAAAAATAACACCGGACAAGCAGCGGGCGGTGCATGTAAAATAAATGGCCTTTAAGGGGCCTTTTTTGATTAATTGTCCAAAAGACTTTATTAAAAAGTTTACAAACAATCCGAACACCATGTATCAATGACATGGCGTGTGAGCTCATCTCTTGGATATCAACCAATCCGGAACGCCATGCGCCTTCTCATATGCTGCGTCAGCTGTAGCTGTTTTCTTTAAAACTCCCTACCAAGAGCACTCCTTATTCCAAAAACCGGGCATCAAGAATGGTCTTGATCAGCTGGTGATTGCGAGCAGATGCAATCTTCTCGCCAACAATGGGCCCAATGAAATCATTGAGGTCAGAGAGTTCCGAGGCGGGGGCGTTGCCGTTCACCCCGTTCATCTGCGAGTCGGTAGCATCCGTAGTGTCTGTCTTGTGCGCGAGAGAGGCTACAGCCTGCACAAGCCCCTGAACGAGCATCTCATACTCGATTGAGCCTTCAGACTTTTCCTTCAAAGGCTGAAGAATTCCAGAGTCAAAGCTCTTGAGGTTTCTCAAGACCAATACCCGGATCGCCTCCATTCCTCCCGCCTCAAGAAGGCCGTGGATTGCACCATACAAAACTGCGGGAGGTTTCGTGGGGTCTAGGAAGTATTTAAGACATGTCCTTGTGAGCTTTGGTCGGAGCAACGAGTTTGAAGCCGAGTATTTGCGTGCAATGCGGCCGAGTAGTGAGGCGGCCAGCTGTCGAAGATCATACTGTTCCTTGAGAGAATCCTGACCGTCCTCCGTGCCCAGTTTCCTCGCCATCAAACACGTCAGCACAGGTGCAGAGAGAGAACTAGCATACGGATCCAGGAACAAGCTCTTGTTCTCGATCAAAGCGTTCGTCAGTTCCATCATCTGTTTCAAGGTGAATGTATCGTCAAGTTGATGCGTGACTCTGTCCATGATGAAGTTGATAAAGTAAGGAACCAATTGATGCAAGCCAGGGTCGTCTCTAACGGACCCAAGCGCCGCCTGACGCAGTCGTATGACCTCTTCATCTGGATTATCGTCGAGGATAGCAGCCTGGATCTTGTCGAAGTAAAGGATGAGCTCCTTGCTCACAATGTGCTTAACAGAGGGCTGGCCAGAGGCAGCATCATTTCCAGCCAAGGCTGACAGAGCAGGGTTAGCGCCCGGCCCCTTGGGCAGCAAATCTTGTGGTCGCAACTCGGCCGAGGTCGGGTTCTGTGGGATAGAAGGCTGAACGCCCTCAATGGCGAGCCAGTGCGCTACGGTAAGCAGTCAGCGGTGTGATACAGAGCTGCGTTCATCGCGCGCAATGGGAGCTCACCAGTAAAGTTCATGTCTCGCGGCACTCTAGGCAGAGGTGCATTGATCAGTTTCTCGAAATCCACCTCTTCGTCCTCGATGTAGAACAGCGGTTGGCCGGGCCCCAAGCTTGCCTCGCCATACCGAAGAGGCCGCGTGGAATCGTAGCCATACAATGGCTCAGCGTCCAAGACCTTGAGGGCCATAGAGACGTCGTTTACGGTCATCGTCGTCCGTCGTGCAGCACGCATGAGGCGCAGAGCCTCGATGATGACCTGGCCAATACGGTATTCGACATCCTGCGTGAGAGCCTTGAGGGCCTCGTCGCTCATGGAGCCAATGCCCACCGACTCAGCAACATCCTTAACATTTTCGGTATTCCACAGCAATTTGGGCGTTTCGCTCGCCATATTGGTCGTCTGCTAGGCGATGCGAAGCTGCGAATACGGTCGAGGCTGGGTGGCTAGCTGGCTGCAAAGCGATTCGCGTGCGGATTGACGTGAGGCTGAGGATGCTTGAATTGCGAGCAACTTTGGACCACTACCGGCGAATTGTGGGGAGAGAAGGCTGGTGCAAGCTATGGCTTAGATTAGTAAGCGAGAATCAATTGACTGCCTGTACTCCGTATATCTACTTCACATCCCTGGCATTATAGGTGTTGAATCAAAGGGTATAAATATATAAGTGTAGTATAAGATAATTTTATTTGATCCTTCAACTTCCATATCAAACAATATTGCTTCGCTAACATAGAACGAATCCTCTCTAGCATAAAGAATTGAGACTGGACACCGCATTTGTATTATCAGCACTGAATCAGCACATAATGGAGACTCTAGGGACCCCACTGTAACAGCTAGTGTTAAGCTCTTACAGCGCAAGTTCCAGCGTTTCTAGTGGAGTTTGGTGCAGTAAACTGGTACGTCATCAATCCCTACCGAGGCACCAGATAGTGGTGGTTTGGTGGGGTTTGCTTCTTTGCATCTCGACACAGGCATTGAAACTCATGATTAGCCAATTTATTGTAAACACAGTCTTCATTTTGGTCTTAAGCTATAACTTTGTTTGATGCTACTCATACCGCGGGCAAGAAGTTGAAAGTAATTCTCATTTTCAAAGTGACACGCCAGTCAATTCACTCATGAAAGGAATGCGACGACACAGAGGAGCGAGAAAAATCAGGTTATAAGTGGCATGGATATTTAACAATTGCTACTATATTGCGAGCTGCCTAGGCGACAAAGAAAACAAAAAAAAGACATAGCAACGACCGCTTAAGCACCAATGGCCTTGGCAATAGCCTCACCGAGATCCGAAGCAGAAGTCGGGTTCTGGCCAGTAATGATGGTACCATCAACAACAACCTTGTTGCCAAAGACGGCCGTCTGGACAAACTTTCCGCCAGCGGCAATGACACGGTCCTCGACGAGGAAGGGCATGGCGCTGGTCAGCTGAACGGCGTCCTCCTCGGCGTTGGTGAAGCCGGTGATCTCCTTGCCCTTGATAAGGGGTTCTCCATTGACCTTTGCGTTGACCAGGGCGATTGTGCCGTGGCAGACGGCAGAGACAATCTTGCCGGCGTTGTAAAACTCCTCAATCAGGGCGATGGAGTCGGCATCGTCGACGAGGTCGAACATGGGGCCGTGGCCGCCGGGGTAGAAGATGGTGTCGAACTCGCCAGAGCGGCCAACGAACTGCTTGATGGGCAGTGTGTTCTCCCACAGAGCCTTGTTGTTGTTGAGGAATGCGACGGAGACGGGGTCCTCCTTGGTGAGCTCGATGGAGCCGGCATCCAGAGGGGCGACGCCGCCCTTGGGGGAGACGACGGTGAACTCGACGTTCTTGCCGGAGAGGACGTGGTAAGGGTGGGCGAACTCGGGCTGGTTTTATGTGGTCAGAGCTTGATGTTGAGATGGGAGAGGAGGAGGAGAGGAGAGAGAGAGAGAGAAGCTTACCAGGTACCAGCCAGTGGGACGGTTAATGGCGTCAATCTTGTCGTGGGAGGTGAGAACAACGAGGACCTTCTTGGCAGCCATTGTGTCTGAGGTGTAGATGAAGTTGTTGTAAGTTGTAAGTTGGGTTGTTTGAAGATTGCTGTAGTCTGAGAGTGTTGGAGTGCTTGTTTGCTTGCTTCTCCTCAACTAGCGACAATCAACAGCATGCTCTTTATATATCCCTTTTCTCGTTCCATCGCGCTGCCACCTCGTCGGCCTTGAGCTCTCCACATGGCGAAGCGATCGCCCCTCATTTCCTGCTTCAAGTTTCATGCGAACAGCTTCTGCTGGCTTCTTTCGGCATGTTGTCCGTCCGCCTTGACGCCCATTATTGGTCCGCCTGCGGGTAGCTCTTAGCCCCTAAGCCGCGGCAGCATCCAAGGGTCGATTGACGTTTGAAATCGCGTCACAGAGTTCGTCCTGGAGGCTCGACGGAACATTTTCCGAGTCCTGCGATTATCTAATGCCCAAGTTCCCCATATTACTTGTCCAATTCAATGCGCAAAAGCAGAGAAAGGCGACGCAGGCGAGAGCGCACAGCTGAGCTGAGTCAGCCCCAGCGCGGATGATGCCGCAGGGTACAAGGGCCCTGTGCCTGGAGGGCGGCGGAATCTCCCGCCCAGCTGCTTACCTTATTACGTAGGTACTATGTACGCAGAAGGACTTAAGATATTCTCCGAGCGACAACAACAGGCAGAGACACAGAAGTGTTGGAGATGATGCTTTGGCTTGGAATAGGCGTTAACGCGTGTATTCCTCATTTGCTTTTTTTGTTTTGTAAGCAGCGTCGTTTCTCACCATCTGCTGCGATGGATTGGTGATCAACGGGATGGGCTCGGCTTCTTTGTTGCAACCGTCCCGGATATGAGAGACGGCAGAACGCAAGTTTCCGTACAGAACCGACGATGCTGGGGATCTTACATGGAGAGAGAGACATCTCCGTCGAAAAGTTTCCGAGGATGAATGAGAATCATGGAGTTGCTATGGTTGTTTAGACCTGCCAAGTCTTGTTCGAACACTGTCTCTTTTCGTGTAGAGACGTATATCAAAGGCTCGTTAGGATGGGACGAGGGCGTATACACCAGCTCGATCCACGCAATAATAGTTGCCCGAGATTTGAAATCAATCCGTTATATCATTTGTCTCTCACTCCTGAATCCAGGGGAGCCTTGCGTTTGGGGTGCTCTAATAGCAGCGTCGTCAAGAGCAACTATCCATATATGCAGTTTACAATGGCAAAGCAACGGTTATTCTACCCTCGAACAAAGACGCATCATGATACCAAAAGACGATGAAATATGACCATTATGGAAATTGATTGCTGTCTCGCAAGTAATGCATCCCAACATCCCGCATTCCCAAAATCGCACAACCCACACCGTCATTTTCTCTCTTTCAAATCCTTGAAACAACTAGTTACAAAAAAAGAAAAGGAAAGGAAGACAAGATAAGAATCGCTCATTGACTAAAGCTTTCGTATTTCAGAGAGCCTCGCAAAGGAATAGAATGGAAAAGAAAATAAACCAGAGAGTAAAAAGGAAAAATAAAAAAGGTACAGTCAGCGCTCAAAAACAAAAAGAATGTCCCTGTAGGCTCCTTGCCTGACAAATCGTAGATTACACATTGAGACACCATCTCGATAGATTGAACCCCCCTCCTTAGTTGATAAATGAAAAGCCTTATGAGCGAAAGAATATGTGTTGGTTATCGTGGGAAAAATAAAAAAAGTAAAATGGTTAGGTTTCAGTAAAACCATTCCAACTCAGCCTTGCAAAAGTTAGTCGCCTGTAAAAATAGACTCATCAAAGCCCATAACCAGAGACTAGATCAAGTCCTGTTATTACCCTCTCACATCTTTTGCAATCTGTTGCATTCGTTGGGTATCTCCTTGCCTCCTTGAGCCGATTAGAGGCTGCCCGTTGAAGGATTTCTCGTAAAGGTTGCTTTGCTTATCCCGCCATGCGCCGTCTCCCATTCGGCATTCAGTCTCACCCCGATGGGAATTTCTCTTCCCTGTAATTTTTCTTCTTTTCCCCATTTTTCTCTTCACTTCTCTCGGGCTTCCAGCTTCAGCATTAGCCCGACTTCATATCGGTGCTAAAATCAACTGGCTGTCCCGATGTAGCCGCCTCTTCTCTCTCTTCCCCGTCAGGCTTTCGCCTCTTGCCCATTCTCTCACACCACTGTTCGGCGCTCACAATGGTCCCATCCAAAACGCCCGTCACTTGCGTCACCATGTCGAGGCCCTCCTTGGCCAACACCAACACCTTTTGCGCTCCCTCACGCATCGCTGAATCATTGTCTCCGTTGGCACCCCCCGACTGCCTATCAGACATGGTTGCAAGGCGAAAGCGCTGGGGGAGGCTGGTTAGGTGGCGGCGAACTAGAACCCGTGCATTCTCGGGAAGGGCGCCGCCGGCGTATTTGGAAACGTTGTTGATGACGTCTTGAAGCGTCTTCAGAATATCCCCCTTAAGGCTGTTGATTCGCGCGGCAAGTTCGCTTCGTGACGGTTCCGGCTCCTGTTGGCTCTTTTCCGCGCCGTCGACATCCATGGCTTCACCATCGCTGGCGTTATTGGTAGATGAGCCCCCTTCTGACCATTCCTTCTTCTCTGCCTTTTCATATTCCTCCAATGCGTGCTTCAAGTTTAGAATAGCCCTGTTCATATGGTCGTTTGTCCATCGAAGCCAGCGCAAACAGTACTTGAGGCTACGTAGGCTCTCGGCGCTCATCGCAACGCTCAGTCCCGACGTAGACATCATCAGGCGGGTCTGCCACGGCTGGCTACTGGGCGGTTTGTGCGTTGCGGGCGCGGTTTCTGTGTATGCGGGCGAACGTTGGTCATCGTAGGCCGGTAGCGTGTCCACCGTACTGGCAGTCGATAGGCGACGAGGAGTCTTGGACATGACCGATGACGAATCGTCAAGACCGTTGATGTCGGGTGATCCATTCGCATCGCTGCTGCTGCTGCTCTCTCCCGTCCTCCGTCTCTTGTTGGAGCCGTTCGAATCGGGGTCTGATGTGGGCGCCGGGTGCCGACGGCCAGCGCCGAGGAACCATCGAACACCACCCTCAACACCGGTGACTCTACCCACGGAATTGACCGTGTTGGCGAGAGGAGTCAGGTAGCCCTCAACATATTCGGCACCCGACTTGAATCGCGGAGAGAAGTTCTTGGCGCCGCCATAAGCGGAACTGGCACCGCCAATTGTCGACGCGACGAGGGGATGAGCGGTTGTAAGGAGAGACAAGAGCGGCTCGGGCTTGGGTGACTTTGGTTTTGTCTGCTGAAGTTGGAACGGCGCAATGGGTGGGCTCATGGGCGGCAGCGAAGAAGAGTCGGGCGGCGATGATACGAAATCTGTGCAAGACGGCAGTTGGCATCAAACATTGGCATTATAATTGGGCATTTCAACATTGGAGATTGATAAGGGCAACGTCACTCACCTGCACGTAAATCACCCAGAGCCTCGGCCGCAAGCCGCACGTCTGGGTCGTCGAGCGTGAGACTGCTCGGGGTTGGTGTTCCGTCATAGATGCGATCTGGCGACGGCGAGGCCGCACTGGCAACGCTTGCTGCGCCGTCCATGTCCATGATTGTCGCTGGACTGTCGGGCGCGTGGAAAGGCGGTGGTTGTCGGTACGAGTTCAACGAGCCATTCAAGGACGACGGCCAATGGTTCTGGTGCTGGTGCAGGCTGTGGAGATGCTGCGGAGGGCGATGCTGGTCGTCAGCGCGCATGGCGACGTCGCCGGTAATGCTGCTCAGCGACGGCAATGTTCTGCTATCACCGTCATGGTGCACCAGCGGGGGAAGCCTGTCGTTGTCGGACGGGCTGGGGAACTGGTGATGGCTGTGCATGGACTGCGAGTAGTTGGGGGGCGATGGCGGTAATGGCAAGGGCAGCGGCAATGGCGCATTCGACGGCCGCGAATCGACGCTGCTGAAGCCCGGGATGGGGTTTATCGAGTGGCTCGAATTTCTCGCAGGAATGGGCTGTATCGAGGCGATGGGCGGCAGGCGAGGGCGCGGCGGAAGAGGTGGTGCAAGTGATGGTGATGGTCCGAGGGGGGCCGAAGCTGGACTGTTGGAGAGCGTTTGGCGATGCATGGCATGTGATTGCGGTCCAGACGCATACATGATATGCACATATGGGAAAACGGCTGATAAGCACGCAAGCACTCCAGTGGCTGGCTGGCGCTGCGGCAGGGGTTTTGGCGGGAATAAACGCCGGGGCTGCGAAGCTCAATCGGCCGGTTTTGCGCACAACTGGATGGGAAAGGATGGGAAAAGACGAGAGAAAAAGAGGCGACGGTGGAAACGGGTCGCGAGAATAGCTTCAGATGGGGGAAAACGAGCTCTGATACATACTTAGGCCTTCTTCTTGGGGCCAGATGCCCAGAGAAGGGGAGAGCAGGGTGGTCAGGGCACGTGGATGGATCGTGATGACAATGGATGGGATGGCGATAAGACGACGGCAATTACATCAAGTGCGCACAGAGCATAAACCCGCCGACGGCATATCAATGACGGTCAAGGGTTTGCCCGGCTGATTTAAGAGAAAAATTGGAAGCCAGAGGGTAAATCGAGATAAAAAAAAAAAGATGCAAATCCACTTGTGCCTCTGCCCTTGTGCAAGCGCCGAGTCAGGCCAAAGCAGCATCGTGATTCTACCTACGAGCACAGGTACTGTACCTAGTCTACCACTGTACTGGGCAGGTATCAACGGGCAATGCTGCAATGGATCAATCCCTTCCTTTGCATTCATAATCCGGTAATGGATGACGGCTCTCTGCCACACCACTTGGTGCTGCTAACCTGCAAAAGAATTGCCTACTGCCACACACTCGATGCTACCATTTGTTGGGGACTCAGTGACGGCGTGGTGTGGTCCATCAATGGGCTTTTACGTATTGACAGCAGCTAATGCGACGGCCAAGTACCTGTACGCGGTGCCGAGGGCCCAGGTCAGGCGCTGGGGTTTCTGCAGGGTCTCCAGGGTTTCAAAGTGCTCATGCTTTTGATGCCTGGTGCTGCGAATGGGCCTTGATGGGGGACTACAGCTAGGGTATGGAGCACCGGGTGGGCGCACCATGTACCGGTACACCTGGGCCGGTATCATCACAGGCAGTGGATGGCAGAAGAGGCGGCGAATGTTCCATTTACCGCGCTGCTGCAGATTTCGAGACGGCGATGCCGCTACACAAATCTCACCCTCGTCTCGTCTTGTCTCGTCTCGACGCTTGACTGGTGCCCTCTCCAGCCTGGTCCGGGTGGAGCAGGCGGGCAACTCCCACATGGAGGCAAGACATTGCGTTGGAAGTGCCGTTCTGTACATACATAGTACTCCGTACAGAATGGCAAAAGCATTCAGCCATTAACCAGCAGGCCTGTGCCATCCTTGCAGAGCACATCCAGCAATGATACGCAGTTGAGTTATGGCTGCTGTGACGAACTGCTTGGCATCCCATCATCGCCTCATCCCATTTGTCCATCAATCCATCATCATCATCATCATCAACAACAACAACAACAACAACAACAATAGCACTCCGTACATACTGTACTGTCCAGAGAGAAGAGGAGACGGACAAGACAAGACAAGAGGGCGCGCGGCCACAGCTCTCCCGAGGACATGCCGAATCCAGCAATGGATCAAAAAAGTGCTGGTGCCGTCACTGCTGCTAATTTAGAAGCAAACCCAAAAACGGCCCTGCAGAAACTCGCTACAAGCACGTGCCTGAGCATTGCAAAGCTACAATCACATGCAATGTGACGCCTCGCTGTGCCCCAACTTTTTCGCTTCCCCACCGAGACGTGTTGCTTCCCATCCATGTCGTCCATGGCATATTTCATGTGCTTTTGCCCCCTCCCGGCCGAGCAACCCACCGCTTTTCGCTCTTCATCGTGCCCTTGTCGTGATTGGAATGTCCACATCCTTTCCAGTGGGGGGCTTAGGGGTAAGTGGGAGCCACTAACTGTGCCAGAGGAGGGTTTACTGCTCACATGGCCACGAGAATTCTCACCAAAACACGCGCCGTGTGGGGAGCCACAGTTGAGTCCGTTCAATAGACTTGCCTTTGCATCTCCAAAATCGTGCTGGGCGATAGCGATAGCGAGGCAAACGAGGCTGGTAGCCCACCTGGTCATCAACAGCCACGTTCCCAACAGAGCTTAACCAAGCCACGCATGTGTGTGCCAATGTGTCAACAGGTACGGTACAGTACTTGCAGCAGAGCTTGTAAGGACGGGCATCGGTATAGCTCGAGCAGGCTTCATCAATTACCCCGAAACCTGATTCCAAATGCGGGGACCCCGGACAAGACCTCTCGGTGTACAGTACGATATACCGTAACCTTCGCTGCTGTCTGTGTCTCTCTCGGGCAAGGACACCAGGCTCGCTCCCCTAAACCACACATTCCGACGCACCCCAGATTGTTTCTCGACTTCACATCATCAGGCAGTGCATTGGGTACTAGCACAGCATCACAGGCACCTTGACGTCTTCCCCAACAACGGCAGTGGTCCTGTCTCAGACAGTAAAGCACCTATTCGCAGAAATGCTCCGAGCAGTGCTGGCGCACACCCATCACATGACGCCTTTTACGTCGCCCCCGTTCAATTAGGCAAAAAGCACTGTAGCTCGTGTACTGTATCGTGTCCTGCGAGGCTGATGGTTGCTTCTGGGATCTGGGCTCGAGCTGCCGTCTTCCGCGCAATGCGCTACAGGGAAGCCATTATTGGTTGAGGCCCAGCAGGCTCGCGCACGAAAAAAGCCGGGCCCGGATAGCTCTCCCATCAAAATCACTCTCTGCTTATCCCATGCCTGACACATGCCTGACACATGCAAAAAAAAGGACAGCATGCCGTAGGGTCGGCGTTTGATCTTCTCAGACCGGCATCACACGACTATTGGAATCATCATCCGCCGCTAACAGAACATTGGACAAGATCCAGTGCTGGTGAATGAATGTGTGGCTCCTCTGACGCCGCCCAAGCAATCAAATCCTGCCAAAGCAGAAAACACACGCGGGCAGCTCTTAATGAACCAAATGAAACAAGTTTCCTTCCTCTCCGCACCGCCAAATCGCATCCTCATCCACGGCTCTGCAGCTGTCATGACAGAAAGCCACGCGGTCGCAGGTAAAAAGATGAGTTGCACTGTCTAATGGGCGCGTTGAAGAGAAAGGAAAAAGAAGAAGAGGGAAAAAATCCACTGCATCTAGGATATTGGTTTTTTTTTTTCGGCATGGTGGGGCAGCTCAGGAACAGACAAGATCCATCGCACGTGACCTCTGCTGTGTCCATTCTGTCAATTCTGTCCATTCTGCCAACGGAGTACAGCCACGGTTTTACCGGCCGTAGTTGACCCCCTGCCCTGTAATAGGCCTATCGCAGCGCATACGGTGAGCAACCAGTTGTCCGATTCGTAGCAGCCTAAGTTGAAGCTACATTGTCGCGAACCAGCTCTCCAGATCGCGCCATCATGACCCTTCTTTGAGTCTCCCATATCTAGCCGTTGTTCGTGTATGCCAGCATCTTCTCTCGTCCTCGTCTCTCCCTGGCCGCCGCGCCAATCCCCGAATTCGTCTCTCTAGCTGCCCCTCCTCCCCGCCATCTCTCCTAGCCAAAGCTGTCGTCTTCCATATAAACCGTCGCCATGGCATCTGCAATCTTCTTTCTGGATCTCAAGGGCAAGGTACGGAGCCTCTTGTAACGTGTGGCATTTAACGGATCGCCGGGTCAATCTAACATGTCTTGTCCTAGACCCTTCTCGCCCGAAACTATAGGGGTGACATTCCCATGTCCGCCGTCGAAAAGTTCCCCGTCCTCCTGTCAGAAGCCGAAGAAGAGTCGTCAGCCGTTCCACCATGCTTCTCCCACGAAGGAATCAATGTCCGTAGCTCCCATGGAGCATCTACATGGAGCTCCATGCAATCAGGGGTTTGAACGGGGAGAAATGGCTAACGCGCGCGACAGTACCTATACATCCGCCACAACAACCTATATCTCCTGGCGCTGACGAAGCGCAACACCAATGCCGCCGGGATCCTGCTCTTCCTTCACAAGGTCGTCGAGGTCTTTACCGAGTACTTCAAGGCTTTGGAGGAGGAATCCATCCGCGACAACTTCGTCGTCATCTACGAGCTTCTCGACGAAATGATGGACTTTGGCTACCCGCAAACCACCGAATCCAAGATCCTACAGGAGTACATTACTCAGGAATCACACAAACTCGAGATCCAGGCCCGCCCACCAATCGCCGTGACCAACGCCGTGTCCTGGCGATCCGAGGGTATCCGTTACCGCAAGAACGAAGTCTTCCTCGATGTTGTCGAAAGCTTGAACCTCCTCGTCAGTGCCAACGGAAACGTGCTGAGGAGCGAGATCCTTGGTGCAATCAAGATGAAGTGCTACCTCAGTGGTATGCCCGAACTGAGACTGGGGCTCAACGACAAGGTCATGTTTGAGACGACGGGCCGGTCGACGCGAGGCAAGGCCATTGAGATGGAAGACGTCAAGTTCCACCAGTGCGTACGGCTCTCGCGCTTCGAAAACGACCGTACAATCTCCTTCATCCCCCCCGATGGCGAGTTCGAGCTCATGTCGTACCGCCTCAACACCCAAGTCAAGCCCCTAATCTGGGTCGAGTGCCTCGTCGAATCCCACTCCGGCTCCCGTATCGAATACATGCTCAAGGCCAGAGCTCAGTTCAAGCGACGAAGCACGGCCAACAATGTCGAGATCATTGTCCCCGTCCCCGACGATGCCGATTCCCCCCGATTTAGAACCAACGTCGGCTCTGTGCATTACGCCCCCGAGCAGAGCGCCATTGTGTGGAAGATCAAGCAGTTTGGTGGCAACAAGGAATTCCTCATGCGCGCCGAGCTTGGCCTCCCCAGCGTGCGAGGAGACGACGAGCACGGCGGTGGCATGACGGGCGGCTTCGGAGGCAGTATGGGTGGAATCGGTGGCAAGGGCGCCAAGCGGCCCATCCAAGTCAAGTTTGAGATTCCATACTTTACGACGAGTGGAATTCAAGTCCGATACCTCAAAATCACTGAGCCCAAGGTAAGCTTTGCTGATATCCTCTCGATTTTTTTACGGCATGCTGAATATATGCGCTCTAGCTTCAATATCCCTCTCTCCCATGGGTCCGATATATCACACAATCTGGTGATATTGCTGTTCGACTGCCCGATGTAGTTTGAGCCATTGCCGCGAGTTGACGTGCTATATAATCATAGGCGGGATAGCAGAAAGGTGTATTAATTTAAGCGGCTGGCCGTTCGTTTTGCAAAACCAGCATCGTGATATTTGGAAAGGGGAGAGAGAGCGCGAAAATGCCGTAAATATTCACGTGGAGTCTTCAAATTATAGCGATTGACAGGCTCGTGGGGGTGACAAGAGGAAGTATATTACATGGCTTCCGCGCTCTATTTTCTTGGAGGGGAGCCATGTAGAAGGGAGAAGGGAAGGCGGATCTAAACATAGAGAGCTATCATCTTGTCATCACCGTAAAATTAGCTGGATGAATAAGATTAAATGAATTGAAATTGCCTTAATTTTTTGGATTTCTTCTCCCACTACCTAGTTTCGGCGTATCGTTGAATCATAGCCCTCAAATTCATTGTAGCGGAAAGAAAAGCAGAATACAACAGGGCATGTAACAAAACAAAGCATGTAGGAGTAGACAGAAGAGGAGGATTTAGCCCCATGCGCTCTAAAAGGAGAGGAGCCAGAGAGTTCCACGGTCCTCCTGCATGGAGCTGTAACGTATCAAGTGTCGCTCATGGACAAACTTCAACGACGGGGATGACTCAACGTATTTAGGGAGAATAGAGGAGCAAAACATCGAATACAGCAGATAAAGCAGTAAGAAAATGGAAACGAAAACGAGCACCCCGCGCCCTCAGCGTAACGAAAGATCAACAAACGGTAAAGAGGCAGATATCCAGAAAGACAGAAGCCAGCAGATATGCCATCTCAGTACCGTCTATCGTCGACTTTCTCGGACAATCACACCACTCCATTCCATTTGCATGAGGGTCTCTTCGTTGGAGTCTTCGTTCTCGGGATCGCAGAGCACCGTAACGAGGAAGCCTCGGGGAGTCTCCTCAGCGGAACGCGGATCTACACCAAGATTAATATCCAAACGATCACATCCCTGTACCAAAAACGCAGAAAAAGAGAAGAAAGAAAATTATACGAAAAATGACAACGCAGAATTTGAAAGGGTGGAAACTTACATCCCTGAGGAGCCTCCGTGCGATGCCATTGCCCATCCCGCCATCTGCCACGGTGTCCACCCTCTCCCAGAAAAGTGCGAGTCACTGCCTCTCCACCCGGGTTCATAGGCCCGCTAAACGCCATCAGCCCAAGAACGATGGGAAGCTCTCCCGCCAGGCCTCTCGACGGATTCGTATTATAAGGGTTGCTGTACGTCGTGGGAACCAGGCTGGGCATCCAGCTTGGATTTGCCCCGGCCACGTATTTGCACGGTCCGGGACCTTGCTCCATGGGACTGTCCGGGTGCACTGCTTGCGATAGCTCCGGTTGACTAGGAGGATGGAAGAACAGTAGAGGCGTTCGAGGAAGCGAGAAGGCGGACAATGGGTCTCCGTTGAAGACAACGATCGGGAGTAGGGGGTTGCATGAGAAGACTGCGAGCTGTTTGTACGTGAGAGCATATGACAGGCTTTCTCCCTCGTTACTGAATGATCCGTCGGAATTGCACACCTGGACATAGCCAGGAGGCCACGCAGGCTCGTTGAAGCCCCCTCGGTACCACCGATATCCAAGAGCTTCGGTTACTTGGCCATTATGATACCTCATGACCCTGCCGGGGATCTCGCCTGCATATTCGTTGGGCTGAGCAGGCGGTAAAAGGTTGTAAAACTCATCTCCTTGGTGCCAATTGATATCACTTCGCACGCGAAGCTCGTTGATCACAAAGAGAAAGCTTCTGGGATCGTATTCGAGATGGTGATTGCTGGCACTCGCAGAGGCCCCCGAACTGCTCGAATGCTTGCCATGGCCCCCCGCATGCTTATGTGAGCTTTTGGCCTATGGTATAAGATGGCGAGTCAGTACTTTGTACTTCTGGGTTGAACCCCCGACAGGAGATCGTCGAATATGCCAGCTACGCCAGTCGGAAACTTAAAAACTCACATATCCAGACATAACAACCGCTCTTTTCACCGATGTACGCTCTGAATGGCTGTGTGATCAAGGCTGGCGATTCAGAAAGGTTGCAAGTCAACAATACAACAAGCTTGTGAAGGCGATACACATGGAGCTTCAGGTGTGGCGTAGAGCTACATATTATCAATTCCGCTCCTCATCATTCTTTTTCAACCCTCCACCAAATGCCAGAGGTGTCGCTGCCCAAGGCCAGGTATCAAGTGCTTAATTACCGGTCAAGTTAGGCCGGGATGCTACGTATCCAACGTTACAGCACGATGAGGGCAGTTGGCCACTAGCATAGAGATCGGGCCTGGGAAAGATGGTGTTCCGCGCTGGCCACTCGCGCGGACTTTGCGGCTCAAAACTCTGGAGAGGAAGGCTCAGGATAAGCTTGACGTCGACATACATTAGTAGCAGTGTCTCGTGGACGCTCAACTTCCGAGCCGGTGAGAGCAAAGTTCGATTCCATTGGGTCCCTAACGGCCACTGTACCTCATCCTCTTGGTTGTCGCTCTTCATTCTCTGCGCTTGAGTAGAGTTTATTGGGCTCTCTTCGAGTGTCCCACGACTGCGTGCCAACTGGGCCCAACACCGCTTTCACCAGACCCTGGTCACAAGCTCTCCGAGATACTGGCAACTCGTATGATAGGCCGGTATAAGATGCAGGGCGTATGTCTTGCTCGGTTTTGTAATCATAAGGCCATAAAGCGCATATCCCAGCCTGGCTGTACACCCACGCCACCAACATGCGGTCGCCGCAGGCTTTGAGATCCTCTTGGTGGAGGCACGTAATTGTTGGTTTCCTGGGCCGACCTAAGCTTGAAAAATATCTCAGGCAAGTTGAACACCACCAGTCACAGTCGTGGACCAATAAATCACGAGCTCTGCGGGCCAGGGTAGAGGGGTTACGGGCCTATATTTGGGCTCGTAAACCTTGAGCCTATCGCTGCTCACAGCGCTATGTGCTGTGTGGTGATGACGAGGCTGCGATGGGGTTCCAAATTACGGCCCCCTCGGGGAGTAAATAGCCGCGATTGTCTGATGGTATCATAAAGCACCACCATGCACGGTTTGCAATCCCGGTTTCAATCAATCTCCAAGTGTGGGGGCATCAGAAGGGATGATACGAGTATGCAGTGCGAGGGTCGTGTAATGTCCATTTCGAAACAATCGCTGCATTATCGACGGATGTGGCAAGACACCGTGTCCCAGGCAGAGTAACACCTTAGTACTAGCCCAAACTGGAGGCCAGTTGTATGTTTTCTGTGCGAGTGGGAAAATAAGGGGCCAGAGGAAAAAAGTCTGTCGGGTGAAATGCAAAATGGTTGTAGATTCGCCATCCGTCAGGGTTTCAGCAGCCGAATGGCCAGTTATAAGACAACAGATCTGCGGTCCGTCCCCAACAATGGAGGGTCACACAATGCTGAATTTTAGCACTATGAAGCTCTTTGCTTTATGCATGGCGACAAAAAAAAATATCGGGTAGAGCACTGTCCGCTCCCGAGAGCCCTCTTCCCATATGCCAGCAAGAAGGTGAAGACTCAAACGATCCGCAGGCAGGGATCCATAACATGGATGGATTTGGCGGAGCCAAGGCACCAAGATGCAGTGAAATGAAACAACTTCCATGTCATAATTTAGTTGATCGTTGTATTCCACGCCATCTTTGCGACGACGTTGACTCTCCGTTTGGATGGGCAATCCCAACGGCTACCCCAAACAAACGCAAGCCGCTTTCATGCATGAGCTCAATCGTGCGACTTGGCAGACATAACAAGACGCATTCCAAGGCAAGTCATAGACATTGCGACGATGCTGATAAAGCGGTGAATGAATAGCGCAGCCAAGGCTTCATCCAAATGTTAGTCAAAGATGCCCAACTAGTTGACACATTGTCGGCTTACCCAGTGTTTCCAAACTATCTCAGCAAATAACATGAAAGGTCAATGCTGCGAAGATCAATTACTGGTAAATTCAATGCAATAGCATGAACCACGAGAAAGGTAGCAAGAAGATGTAGCATGTGATGCTATTTCAAAGGCGAGCATGGAAGAACGAGGACCGTGGCGGCCTCGCACTTCATTGTGATGGGAGTAAGGTGACTGGGTGAAATAAATACGTTCCGAGATTCATGGAGACAGAGAAGGAGAGATATAAAGAATTTTTCTGACAAAATCACTGACGGGTTGCCTTATTTTTGGTTGCCTTGCCAGGTAGGTACTAAGTGGTCCGCGCGACCGTGTGGACCCTAAAATTGAGGCTCTGTATGAACATCTTGATCGGGCCGCCTGGTTACGCATGTGATATATTGATTTTTTTTTCCCTTTTACCGCCCAAGATTCCAATGTTGATCCGGTTGGTTCCGGGAATGGTGTTATCCTACGCATAAAAGCTGAGCGGTCTTCATTGTGAGGGGCCAGCCACCATAAATCGATATGTCGTTTCAATCCGACCGCCTGGCCCTCTTATTTGGCGCTGAAGTCTCCTCCAAAGCGGTATCCGAAGCAATGCCTGACAAGTAGCTTTTAGCCTCTTCGATCAATCGCTTTTCCCCTAGCCTCACGGTAACAGCGGCTCTTTGCCGCTCGCTAATGTCGCTGCCGGAAAGAATCCGCTCGTCCTCAGGAATGGTCGTTGGATACTGCGACGCCAAAGCATCAAGCGCTTTGATGAGCACGGAATGCTGGATCTCATCGCGTTTTCGCTTGTCGGCAACACTTGATGGATCTACTTTGCGAACAGCTTTGAGAAGCAGTTTGAGCTGATCCCGAAGATCCTCTGGTATGTCGCTAAACCTAGCCGAACCAGTAAACGTGCCGTCCGGGTTAGGCTCGTCTGATTCTCGGTCCAAAACAAACGTATCCTCGATTTCATCCATGTCCAAGTACTCTCGCTTATCTCCTATCAGCCCCAGTCACGATAATGAAGCACGCATTAAAGAAACTCACTGCATTGTCCAACTGCTGTTCCGACAAGCCCAGGCTTGCTGCCAAGGAATTCTCGACCAATTTCCATGGAAGCTCAACAACATCATAACGAGAGTGCTTCGGCGTTACGTAGCCATAACGGCGGAGAAGCTCTGAGTTGGGGTGAGGGCCATAGTAGTTCAGGATTTCCTCTCCGGCCTTGATAGTCCGTAATGCTGTCACGGTAAGAGCATCATCTCCATAGTTGACGTGTGCCTGTATAATGCGAGTCAGCCACCCGCAAATCGTTTAAAAGCGCAATGGCAATGGGTAGGATCGCACATTATACTCGGCGTCAGCATTGAGAATATCAGCCATCGGCACCATACCCATTGTAGACTTGGACTCGCGATCCTCGACCCATTCTTCTTCGTCTTCTTCGTCTTCTTCATCCTCATTCTGAAAGTCGAAAGCGTAGGACATTATGGTGCTTCCCATGCGGTGAGCCAGTTGGACAAGCTCGTCGTCACTGTAAGACTGGCTAGATGGAAAGATTTCGTGATTTGCACGGATGACAGGCAAGACCTTGGCGTGAAACATTTCCTCAGCATCAGCCTTGCCGACCTTTGTCCGCGTAGCGCTCGCCTGAAGTTCGTCGAGCTCAGCGCCAGACCAAAACATGGGCGTCTCGAAAGATGCAGGAAGGACGTCCATGTACGGCTTCCATTTCGACTCGTCTCCCTTAAAATACTCAAACATCATGATAATTATCAGGATGCTCCAAGGATCCTGCTGCGGCTTGTCATCCACTTCCATAGCCGTATCCTGGTTGAAGACGTCTGGGAGCTTCTCCTTGAGCTCAGACGTCTCCATGTTTATTATCCCATTTCTTGGGACGGTAAACAGAACTGTGTCAGCCGGGATATCCTCCAGAGCCACTGCAACGTCATTATTAGTCACTGTACACGGCACAAGAAGACGACTTGCCCACACACCTATACCGCGGCCGGCATTTCTCGCTCGGAGGTCAGTGATCTCAATAAGCTCAGAAAACGTTGATCCAGGAAGCGCCTTGAACCACTCAAGGAACGCCTGTGTTTTGCCACCAAAATCTTCCTCAGACATGACGAAAATCCGCTCAATTGCACAGAACAATATAAAATACCAATTCGGAACGTACGCTCTGCAAGAGTAATGGATTGTTAGTGGTGTTTTGGTGAAGGTAGGTAGAATCTTTCAAGAGGTACCTGCCTAAGCAATTTCTCACAGTGCGTACGTCCGTGGCTTGCGCCTTGAAAATTTTCGCTCGCACGGAGCACTTTACGCCCTTCGTTAGAGCTGGTCTCGATATCTCCTTCCAAGTGAGCTCCTCGATGAGCTTCTTGTTTATTATAGCCTCAACACAGGAAAAGAAAATGGAAGAGTATCACGAAATCTACGTTCCAACTTATCTCTCCAACAGTTTTGAATCCAAAAGATATCTCAATTTTTACCTGCCATCCTCCTAGATGTTCTCCGCTAGCCTCCCTCGTTCTCGAATCTTCTACAAAAGTTCGCTTCTGTCGATACGGACCGCATCAACAATATTTCTGTCTTTACCTTGATGTTTCCTCTTGTCATGTATCTTTACCGCTTTTGTTTTACTCTTCATCTTCAGCCTTGCCTTTCTTGTTCGTCTCTCTCTTCTTGGGTCGGAGCCATTCCTCCATGCCTGGTGGCCAATATACGCGGTTCTGCTGTCCTCCCATTCCGTACTCTTCCGGGCCGATAGTACTTACAGCAGCTTCCTCTCCAGCCTCGTCAGTATTGCCGCTCTTCTTCTCCTTCTTGGTTCTTTTCGACTCTTTTCTAGGCTCATCGTCCCGTTCATAGGGAACGATATCGTTGAATAGGTTCCATCCGGGAAGTTTGAACGTCCTCATGAGTTCGAATACTGCCTGCTCCTTGTCTTTCGCCTCGATCATCAAGTCCATGTCTGCTGCACAAGGTGGCAGCGTCTTAACGCGCGCTGAATGCTTACGCCGATCTCGTGGCGTGATGGCCTCTGCGGTTGGCTCACTATAATGCATCTTCTGCTTGATGTTTTTTCTCGTCCAGGTTTTTGCGATGCGATCATAGAGATCCATGATATCCAATGTCCCCTCGCGAATGCTGGGGTCGAAAATTATGTTGTGATGATGATAATCCAGTACCAGAGGAATGTTGAGCTCTTCACAGATCGGTAGCAGATCATGGACACTCCAAGAGACATCATCATTTTCCAGAACCAGCCTCATCTTCACCCCATCTGACAACGTGGCATAATTTTCGCGAAAGCGATCCAGAGTAGCCGCCTTGTCACCATACGTACCGCCCATGTGCAGGATCATGACAGCGTCTCGATCCTGCTGCTCCGGAAGTTTTAACAGCGACAGCATCTCGTTATGATACTCGAGGTCCCTGATAGCAGCGGTGATGACCTCTTTTCTGGGGCTGGCAATTTGCGTATACTGGCCCGGGTGTGTTGTCAGGCGATGGCCAAGCTCACCGGCTACTTTGCCCGCCTCTGCCAACACATCGGCCGCGAATGGGGCGAGCTTGTAACCATGTTCCTCATGGCTCGCAAAAGGGAACATTTCGCTGCTAAGTCTCATGAATTTGATGCCATACTTTTCGTTCCATCGCAGCATCTTGACAATATCTCTGGCGTTTGCAAGACCCAGCTCCTGGACAAATTCCCTCCCGCGCTGAATATCTGGCGACTGTGTCTTGTCGGGCCGGTTTTTGGTAGCATGTTCAGGCTGCGTTGGATCTTGAAGAGGATATCTATGATCAATGATCGACGCAATGCGGCAGGTTCGGGACGAAAAGACTGGAGTGCCAGCTGATCTAAGGTATGTGTTAAGACAAGCCTATTGGCCCCTTGCATTAGCTTCGGTGTGGACTTTGAATTGTGAACTTTGGAGCTCTTCAATCAAGGCCCTTTGAAGAGCGAAAGACAAGTATATCTATATCAGCACTCACATATCCTAATCGGCCTTTCCATGGCAGTGGCAGAACGCCACTGTTCACAGGCGGTGGTCTCCTTGCGGCCCTTTCACTTTGAATAGCCTCGGAGTCCACTTTTTCTTCAGCTACATCAGCCGGTTCCAAGTCGACATCGACGCTAGATTGCTCTGCAGTCTTGATTTCGGCTGTTTTCTCGTGGCCAGCTTTTGCCTGTCTCATTGACGCTGGTCTGATCTTAAAGGCCTCCTCTCGAACCTTCTCGGGATCACACTTGGACAAATCGGACGTTTCCACAGCTAACCGCTGAATTTTTACTGCACTTTGAAGCTTCAGTCCCATCTCTCCGAGCTCCCTCATAGTGCGTTCAAACGCCTCCCGGGAACCATTTGGGCTTCCCGCCGGGCCCAGGGGATCCTTTGGTTTGTCTCCTTGCCGAGCGCCATCTTGCTGCTGTCCAGCGGCTCCATTGCCTCTTCTTGAGCTACGCCTGACCTTGGCTGCAGGGGGATCGGCTACGAAAGCGTCGGCTTTCTTTCTCTTGGGTGCCATCGTGTGGGAAAAACGAACAAGCGGCCGGTATGATGCTGGCCGTGAGATGGGTGGAATTTGTTAGGAGCCACTTAGCAGCACCGCGGTGATGAGTTGCAAGAGTGAACGACGCAGCGGGACGTGTCAGGCACATGAACCATCTTTGAACAAGGTTTTCATGTTAGTCTTTCCATATGGGCACTCGTATGAGTGTGTGTGTGTGTGCTGATCGAGGGGTATAGGAACAATGGCTTCTATTTTGCACACTGAAGCATGGCAACTGGGCTATTTCTACAGCCAGCTTTGGCCAGAGAAGGGGGAAGCGGGTGAGACGCCCAAGACAAAGCGAGGGAGGGCAAACAGGGTACCACAGCAAGGCCTGAGGCCTCGATCCGTGCCCAGATGCCAGATTTAACGATTCCTGGCTATGACTTCGATGAAGTCATCAACCGCCAATTCATCTCGATCGGGATCGCGCGAGGGTGGAGACGTACCGCTCCACTGCTAGCAGTAGGTTGGGCGAATGGCCATCGGGCTGCTGTCTCAAAGGCGCAACTGTGAGTCTCCTTTGGGGATATCTTCTGGTTCAAGCTAGGCCGGTTTAACTCTGCCTTTGCTAGATGACATCTTTGATGAGCCTGGAGAGTTGCCATCAATAGCAGCCGTTGGGCTACAGGCACGAGAAACAAAGGGTGGTTGGGCTTCTTGGAGCTTCTAGCGTCAACTCTTAGCACTTAGTGGTGATGGTTGGGGACAGCACTTGGAGCACCACCGCATCACACTGATGTAACCCTCCCTTGTCGGTGCCTGGTGCCGCGGAGCAGTGCGTCCGTGTACTTGCAACACAAACAATAGAATGCTGATTCGGAGCTCAACTTCCGCCATGGCTGTCAGCAGCCCCGAAGAGGCAGGGAGTTGGAGGCACGATATGGCGACACACGATGCTTTGTTTTCATCGCCCTTGGATACCACCCTGAATATGATTTCATCTGGGCCAAATTCCACATGTTTGGATACGAGTTAATACACACAGCCTTCCTCTGACGCACAATGGATCAATTGCTCCGGGCGTCTGTATGCGGGGAAGTCTTGCCACCAACAGCCTTTCCTACATATTGAGCTTCACTGCCCTTACCCTAGAGTTAAACAGCTGCGGGATGGGCTGCATCTGTTCTATACGGACACCTGGGACACCTGGGAGAGGCAAAGAGGTGAGCACTTCAAAAGTACGGAAGCTCTCTTTACAGGGAATTCCGCCTGCTCAACTAGTCGGCAACTTTGATTCAACCAACTACCGAGGAGACACGCCACCGCCCTATGAAATCATCAAATGTGTGGAGCCGGTAATTTCCATCGTCTCTCGTGAACAGCACATACAAGGAAATGCAAGGGTAGATCTTTGCCCTGGTTGGGATTACGGGATTTTAGCTCTTTAGCATCAATATTAGCTCGGCTATGGGGTTGAACCCATCCATCCCCGTGGAGTATTCGAAGGAGAATTCCTTACTGAACATGCTCATCCATCTGCTCCCAAAACATGAGCATTGTTACCGCCACCAGATGATCTCGAGATTATTATAGCGGCGAATTTCACCCTTCTTCGCCTTTATTAGTCATCCTCCCTCCTCGATGCTACTGAATTACTTCTCGTCAGATCTTCTCTGAATCTCTCTAAAAATAATAGATTACTGTACTGTATTGTCGATGCCAAGCCTCGCTTTTGCTAAGACACGATTCCTCCCCACAGTTTGGGCGATCGAGATTTAAGTTGCATATGAGCTCACGTGTCTCAACTTCTTTCGCAGCATTATGGCAGTTTGATCTTCAAGACGACGAATCCCTGTTTATAAGCTACGATGAGATAAAAAACGGATAGAGATTGCTGCGAGGTCGGTTGGTATAAGCGAGGACGATATACTCGTACCCATCGTATATTGTATTAAACCAAGGCGCTAACATACCTAGGCACTTTGGGATATTCCGTGGGTCTTATACCGGGTATTACCTAGTTATTATGGAAATTGATAATGATAAATATAGCATTCTGCGCTGAAAAATGACATGCAAGATAAATTGACTTGGCATCTTGTCGATTCTCAAGGGCCTAGCCAGAGGACCGCAATAGAGAATGCCAAGTTTCAGCACCACAAACCGCGAAACATGACTTGCATGCGAGCAGAAGCCAAATACGAAGCGCGACAAACAAGAAACAAAGTGCCTCGGACCTAGAAGGACTTTCCAGGACGTACGGACAGTAGCAGGAAATAAGATGCTACTAATATGCTTGCCGTCCCAGGCGTCTTACCCGCACCATCCAACCCCTGATAAAGCATGGCACTAACAGCCCCTGATAGTACAGTAGCTGGCGATGAAAGATCCTCGTGCGCCATTCTAAGCCCTGGCATCTTGAGCCGCTCCTCTGTGGCTGCATGTACGAAGTTGCACTCCGTACTCCGTACACATCTACTAAGCCAAGCTGCTCATCTGTCATCACAGGGTTTGGAGGCAAGCCCTGATCCCAACGTATCACTTGTCAGATATCAGGGCATCTGCGCTCAACGCCTTCCCTGGTCCCAATTTCAATCGATGCCTGCTTCAGCAGAGGGAACACGTGGAGCGGGTCTTCGTAGTGCTCGCACATGTACGAGTAACTACTGTAAGCCCCAGCTTAGACGCGATGGACTGCCTGTAAATGCTACTCCGTATTTTCCAGACGACATTGTCCTCCCTACATAGGTAGCCGGAGCGTTGCTTTGCTGGCACCTGTAAATCGGTATACAGCCCTGTTTGTCCTAGTCGTGCGTGCATTTGAAAGCAGGGCGATGCCGAGATGAGAATTGCATGTGGACAGCCACAACAATGATGGTGAGATGACTACTCCGTACCTAGTAGCTGTACTCTTCGCCAGGTATTACACCAATGCGGACGAAAGATGTCTCAGGTTCGCCAACGCGGACACTTAATACTTCGTACTGTACACAGTGTGCGAGGTCCAGGGTTGGTTGCATGCTTTCCATGCTGCGATGGACATGGGTATGTGATTTGATTCATGCGCTATCCACGGAGGGCCAAGTCCGCCCGCTTCCGTTATCGTGTACTTGTACGAGTACTGTAGTATTTACCCCGTAGAGATCGAACAGGTAGTAATCAAGTAGGGGCTTTGCTGTTTCAAACCTATGGACTTCATGATACTGTATCTGGAGAGATAACCCCTGACTTTGGACCTCGCAATGGCAGATTAGTGGCGACATGTTGAAAGGCTGAGAAGAAGCATTTAACCGTGCCGCAAGACAAATATTTGGTCGCCGGGCCGAGAAATAAGTAATCGTGCCGTGACCTGGAGACATGTGCCCATCCAGGTACTGGCACACGGGACGTAGCAGAGGGCGCACAGTTTGGGCTTATCACAGCTCGAGGTTGTAGTGCAGTTCAACCACATGTACTATGGAGGCTAGTACGAGTAGTAGCGCTTCGTTTATGGACGAGTGCTCGTATGGACGGTACGCGTACGCCCTGATTTCCCAGTCGTTGATACTACCTGCTCGACGCAGCACCGAGCGCAAGCACGAGTACAGAACGTACCTGTAAAGGCGCCCTTACCCGTCCAGAGTGGCCAAAATGGCGAATGTTTCGACCTGCACGAGTCGGGAGGCATCCCCACGTTGTCGCGGTGGAGACTCTCATCTGAAGCCAGCAGGGTCATGACTCTCCTCCATCTCCATATACAGGCGCTGTATGGTATCACAAAACCAAGGGGATTTTTCGTGCTCTGGTTCTTCGGAGCTTTCTTCCGGTACAAGGAGCCTGGCGATGCTCGGATACAAGTGCAGTATGGTTGGTCGTCTATGCAACCCCCGTACTTGTGTGATAGGCAGATGAATATCGTGAGCCTGGCCACATGCAGGCAGGCAGGCAGATGAGACAGGGCTAATACTCGAATGCAAAGAGTGTCGCAGTTTCTCGCATTCTCTCTGGCCCTCAGTCTCTCTCTTGATGGGGCTGTGTCTCATTTGTGTGATCAACAGTCAAAGCACTGCAATGGACAGGGGGGACGCCGTTACACACCGCAGCGGGCCAGATGGTTCTTTTTTTTCGTTTTCTTTTGGGCATAATTGTTCCCCTATGTGGATGCCATCATCTCGGCCATATTTGCTGGCTTGAATCGCCTCGCTAAAAACAAAGGGCAAAGAGAGAGCAAGAGAGCAAGAGAGCAAGAGAGGCTTTTCTGGCCCGTTGCGCCCAGAGCAACAACAGTCTTGTTCCTCCAACGGCTCCGGCACTTGAGAGCTCGCTGGTCCACGTACGGCATATGTCATGTATGACGGAGTTCGGGGCTGTGATACGGAGCACAGGTGCATGGAAATCATGTAGTGGATTGTGATATCACTTACTGTATTGCTTGATGCAGCCAAGAAGGAGTTGCATGCGCATGAGTACGAGGTACCAGACATGATATAGGCAGCCAAGTGTACATGTTGGGGCTGCAAAAGTAGAGGCGATGGCATGTATTTTGGCCTGAGGCCTCGCGGAGTCGCGGTCCCCTCAACTTGACTTACGCATCTCCCCTGTCGCCAACCCAGTCACTGCAGTCCACATACTGTACCTGGCTGTACTCGTACTTTGCACATACGAGTACTTGCAGATGCAGTGCTCAGACTCGCACTTGGACGAAGTATATCCTCCCTACCTACGAGTACATGCTGATAACCACTACAGTAATTGCATGGTGGCACCAGGCAAGGTAAAGCAACAAGGCGGCTGTCTTTTCACTTTCGCGGATATTGGAACTACACGAGACACTGTCGCACTGCTACCACATCAGCAAGACCTCCTGGGAAACGAGATCTCTATTAGGTGACGGGCTGCTGAGTGGCAACTGGCGTCTGAACAACCTCTGGAGCGGAGAGATCGATTCACCGCGACTAGGGCCTGCAGCCACCACGTTTTCGGACCATGGCCGGGCCTCTCGATATGTGAAACCCGGCGTTGCAGTGCATTCCAGCGTCTTCCCGGATCATCCGCCCACCTACCACATGCACCGTACAGTGCGTGTAGCTGGACGTGCAAGGACGGAACCGAGGGCTGCCTGAGCGATTGCGAGTGGCATCGGCTGCTTCAGCCTTACAGGTATGCCGCTCCATGTCTTGTTCAAGAAGAGGAAGGCGTATGCACGGAGTACGAAGGATGATGCTGTTTAGCCAAAAGGCTGCCGTTCCTAGCGGCACTGACACCCGCTTGATGAATCCTGGCATAATTGACGGTACGAGTACAGGTACTGTACAGGTCCATGCTCCCTGGCGTCCGACGTCCCAGCCATTTGATCTTGTTTCGTTTGGACAGACGGCCTGGTGAAGTCAAGAGAGCGCAGGCGAACTGGACTCGACTTGGCTAGAGCTTCCGCGCCTTATCCACCTCGCTTTATAGCGGCGTCGAACGCTTCTCCGCCTCCCTAGGGCCTCCTGGCTCCCGTTCTCGATCAGACACGGACCAGCAAGAGAAAGTGCTGTATCGTACAATCAGCAAAACCGAGCGGCAGTGCTTCTGTACTGTACGAGTAGTATGGACTTGACATGTTATCGACGCGCCTCGATTCACTTGCCGATGCTAGTCTGCGCCAAAGCTAGGCCCGGCGTAGCCATGCAGCGGCCTGGACCCTTGGCAGGTCACATCGAGAGCTAAGCATGTCTTCTGGTTTCTGCTTGTTAGCTGCCACACCCTAGCGCCTGGTTATCCCAAAGCTTCTTTGTGCGGACCAAGCAGCGAGGAGCGAGAGTTCCAGAGGGCCAGCGCCGGCTTGGCCTCATCTGGCCAGGCTTGGCCCCAAAGCGATCCCCCTGGTCGGCCTGATCCTAGTCTGGCAGTTGCGTGCTAAAGACTGGCCATTTAGAGGTGATGGCGACCCTCCTAATTAATCCGTTTTCCGCATGTTGGTCAGCCCTGGTTAATAGGCCCGGCCACATCTCCACCACCTCAACTCCACAGACGCGATGGAATGTCCATGGAGTTGCTGCCAATTTTGGGGCGGCAAGAGGCTTGGAACTGACGCGCGCTGCTTGCCAACTGCAGTGCCCAGCGATTACCGTATACAGTACCCCGTACAGTGGACGATTCCTTCGCACGAGTACCTGTACTTAGTTGGCGTTGGTCCTGACGCTGCTCCCGACAGACGCAGCACGATATTCGACGCAGCACAGCCATTCTGATCTTCCAGCTCCCGGCACCATTGCATCCGCCCCCCGCAGCCGCCCTACATACAGGAGGACAGGATACCGCAGCGCTAAAAGCTAGCGGCCTAGCGCAGCAGACGCCCTCCAAATCCAGTAAATTTGAGCAGCGTGTGGCGCCTAGCTTGCTTGCTCAGCAGGCACCTCGTGCTAGCAGCAGCAGCACAGCACTGCTCTGCTAAGAGAGAAAAAACGGCTCCTAGCTCGGCCCAGAGCCGGCGATATCTGCGGCCGACTTTGCCAGGTCCTTAATCCTTCTCGCATTTAACAAGGTCGCCTCGCTGGTTTGGCCGCTTACCGCCGACTCCTCATCTCTTTTCCCTCATTGCCACTCCCAACCGTCAATTGACTGCTGCATTACCATTATCTCACGCGCGGGACGTTGACGCTGCGCTTGCAAAAAGACCACAGCAAATAGTCGCCCAAGCGGGACAGCAAGCGGGACGACCAGCTCCTCGCTAACCAGCTTCTCCCCTCTCGCCCTGAGCTTGATCCGATTGACCCAAGCCGAGCGAGTCTGAGTGCTCTGTGCTGAGCTGAGCTGAGTGCGCGCGTGTGCGTCCCCGAGGCTGTGTCTAAGCTGGGGGCCAGCATCTGCTCTGCGCGGCTGAACATATTCTTGAAATAGCCTGGTTTCAGCCTGGTGGTTTCAATTCCATTTCGTCTGCCGCAGCACGGCTCTCTCGACACTGGACAGACAGCACAAGCACAAGCACAAGCATCCAAAACACGTCTCCAACAGTCCTCCGATCCAACATCTTAGACAAGGTGCAACGCACGCCCTCCCGTCTGCCACCCGTGGGAAACACACATTCTTCGTCTGTCCCCCCCCCACCCGCTCATTGTTTCGCCATCCCGAAGGCGAGACATTCGTCGTCGCTTTTGTTGCACCGGCGACGAGGGAGAATCACCCGTTGACTGCCCTCGCTTGGTGTGAAGAATAGCATGCCCCATATGCGCGAGGTTAAGACGTGTGACCGCTGCCGCCATTTCAAACGGCGCTGCGATTTGCTCAAGCCTTCTTGCTCACGATGCATTCAGGCGGGAGTGCGCTGTAGCTTCGACGTCAATGGCGTCGCTGTGCCCGGTGCAGTGGCTGCCGCTGCCAATGGCGCCGCTTCTGCTTCCCCTAACTCATCGCGACAGGCCAGGGCTGCAACTGCGCTGGCATCATCTCCTCCCGTCAATGGCGACCCTGCCCAGGGCGTACCAGGGCAGAATGGGTTGATTTCTCCCACTGCGTCGACTGAGAGCCCTGAGCCTCACGCCGGAGTTGATGCCAATGGCATGCCGATCGACGGTGCCTCTGCTGCTGGGTCTGCGGCAAATCAGTTGCGTGTTGTCCGCAAGCGCAAGCGCAATTGCCTGAGCTGCCTGCGCTGCCATCGCCTCAAGGTAAAGTGTGACAAGGAGCTGCCGTGCGGTCGCTGTAAGTCGAGCGGCAACGGAAGGGAGTGCTATTACAGCTACAACAAAGGTCCCAACGGCGGAAAGTTCCCTTGTCCCACAGCCCCATCCAGCACCAGTGAAGAGACAACGACGGTTCTTGCTACTTGGCAAGTCCAGCACAAAGTACGAGGATCTAGCCATTGGCGAGACCTCATGACCAAGATTGGCACTTTGACGACTTTGGAATCAGCACCACTGGCTGCCGCCCTTGAGGATGTGGCTACAAATGCTTGCTTGGCCAACTTCACGCTGCCGGGCAATTTCCCCTTTGGCACCCCTGGAGCAAGCAAGTACTATACCCGCGATGCCGTTACTCGACTATTGGCGAGTGAGAGGGCAAACCACGAGAGGTACCTTGAGCGGTATCTCGAGCTGCTCGACGTGGTAAATCCAATCGTGGACATTCACATCTTTAAGCGTGAGATAGAACGCTACTGGGTAGATCCCAACGCCTCAGATCTATGTTGGCTGGCACAGTTCCTCATGGTCATGGGCTTAGGCAGCTTTGCCTCTCCGGAGGGAGAGCCTCCCGTTGCCACAGAGCTTATGATGGCTGCCGAGGCATGTCTTATGCAGACACCATTCTCTTTCCGACCGACTTTGCTGGCCCTCAAAACGCTCGCCCTCATGGTTGTGGCCAAGCAAGTCTGTAATCCTACCTGCTGGTCTGTAGATTCATGCTGGTCCCTGCTCGGAATGCTCGTTCGCACGGCCTTTATCTACGGCCTTCCTCAAGACCCGTCAAGCCTCGAAGACGAGGGGCGTAACCAGGAGGAAAAGGATTCCCGGCGAAAGCTGTGGCTCACAATCCTGTATCTTGACGTCAAGGTGGCCATGTGCACCGGTATGCCGCCCCTTACACGGCCCGACGAACTCGGCAGCCTGGAGAAGATCCCCGATTGGGGCCCGCCGGACAGCCTGCAGATGGTGCTGTACCAGTCACTGCCAACCGTGCTGGCCGTCATGGCACAGATCAACTCCAACAAGGAGCAAATATCCTACCCCGACGTGCTGCGATACAACGCCCAGCTGCGAGAGCTCATGAGCCACGCCCAGCGGGTCTGTACCGGACAGCTGCAACGCGTCACGGTCGACATCTTCTTGCGACGATGCCTTATGGTTCTTCATCGTCCCTTTGCCCTGCACCCAGAGGGGCCCGTCATGTTTCCCGAGTCGTACTGGTCATCCTTGGAGTGCTGCCTCGCGCTGCTGGTACACTACCGCGAGATGTGGGCTGGTGAGCCGCACCTGCGCCTGGACTTGGTCGGACGAGCTTTCGTGCTCGATTTCTTCTCCGCAACCTTGACGACATACATCCATGTCCTTCGCGCAGACGCACCTCTAACTGGCGCTGCTGCGATGGGATGCGCCATTCCGCCTCGGCAGATCATTCTCGACACACTGCGAAGCTGTGTTGACATTTGGAGCTCGGAAAAGGATAAAAGCGTGTGCTACCGCACTGGGTACAATTTGGTTGTTGCCGTGCTCAACCTGGTTCCTAAAAATAAGATCTAATTTGACCGAAGTGCGACGGTGGATGTGCTGTCGATCACTCTTAAGCATTGTCTAAGGCTGTCATGAAGAGCGACGATATTCATTCGAGAGTCGTTTTTACTACTTTTTCACCCTGTTTTATCAACTCAATGGTCACTTCGATATTGTTTATATGTTGCATGGTTTACAACATCATACCCCACCTTTATCCGTCCTTTCTTCTTTCTTTTTCTTCTCTTTCTTTTTTATTCCGTTGTATACTGGAGGTTGAGATCGTATCATTTCCAACCAGATAATCATAGCAGTTGGATTCGTCTACCCATCTTACGCCGGCCTATATCCCCTCTCTTTTGAGCCTTATTTTGCAGAGCATTAGTTGAGATTCCCCTTTTCTTTGTTGCATTTGAGTCTTCGTTTCTTATCATTTGGTTTGGGTAACATCCGGATGGCGGGCTGGTCGATTTGCGTCAAGGACGAAGCAATGATGTTAAGCATGGCGGGTGGTTTGTGAAATTCGAAGCGAAGTTAGCAGGACATTGATGGTATAATGCCATGGCCAGGGTAAGGGATGCCCGTGGAAGTTAGATACAGTAATATTATTCCCGATTATATGATTCCACTTGATGAAGAAATTGGATGATGAATGGGTTGAGAGACAAAAAAGACAAAAAAAAAAAAACGCCAACCCAAGCCGGCGAGAGGTTGCAGATCATACGGCGGCGGAGGAAGCACCTTGGCCTCGCCCGCCTTTTGCAACTTAACGCCCATTGCATGAGATGATCAAACGCCCTGTCATGGTCCGGTGGCAGCAAGAAGAAAACAAAACAAGGCCTGAGCTGCTGATAGTTCCACTGGCTTGTGATCAACCAAGCCTGCAAATGGGGCGTGGCGACATGCCACCACAGCGTCATCTGGCAGTGGCCAGCAGCCACTAAATCTGCTGAGCTGCCACAGCGCTTTGCATCCCCCGCTCACAAGCTTGGGCTGCTTCTCCCCACCTCGACAAGGCACAGACTAGCTTGTGCATAAACAAAAACTTATTTCTCTCTCGTTGCTGGCAGCGTGATTCTGCTTCTGCCTGTGCCCTCACTCACCTCACTCACACGACCTGCATCACCTGCAAGCTACCAGCAAGCTACCAGCACTGCTGCCTTCCCACGAGAGCCTCAGCCCGCGCTATTGCAGCCCAGAATCTTACCAGCCAGTCACGCCGAGGCGGAAACGAGACGCCAGGATGACTTCCGTCGAGCGGTCGCCGCCCTCTCACAGCCCACCGGGCCCGGATGCCAAACGGCCCAGGGGTAAGTCTCTGGTTTCTGAATTATTCTTATTCTTCTTATTCTTCTTATTATTCGCCATTGTCGCTGACTCTGGAGTGGTAGGCATCCTCAAAAACCCTTCCTTCAACGCCCCGCACTCTCCCGACGAGTCTCGAGATCGGGCCTCCAACAAAGAGGTCACCCTCGCAAACACCCAGATCAACGCCGGACACCGTCGATCGTCCTCTGGAGCAGGGTCCCGCCGCCACTCCTCTCACAGCATTACCGACCCGTCCGATTCGGCCCAGCGTCTCAAGTGGGATGAGGCCAACCTGTACCTGACGGAGCAGGAGCGCACCTCGACTATGAAAATTACTGAACCAAAGACTCCCTATGCGAAACACTACGACCCGACAGAAGACCCCTCCGACGACGAAGAAGCGGCACAGGGTAGCCTTGACGGTGCTGCTTCTGGTCGCAAGAATCAACGTGCTGGTGCTGAAGACGACATTCCGGGCCTATCGTTGGGTGAGCCAGAGGAGGAAATCCCGGAGAGACCGGCGCCGGCGACGCGCAGCTCCAGCGAAAAGACGGTCCATGTGGACAAGGAGAGTGTCACCCCCTCCGCCGAAGAGGAGGTTGTGGGGCTCTCGCCCGAAGAAAGGGAGAAGCACCGCAAGTTCGAAGAGGCGCGGAAGAAGCATTATGAGATGAAGAGCGTGGCGCATATTCTAGGACACCCGGAGGCGATGCCGGATGATGAGGACGAGGACGAGGACGAGGACGAGGACGATGATGACGAAAATGAGGAAGAGAATGGAGTTCCGCCTGTACCCCCCTTGCCTGCAAATCTTGTCAATGGGTCGTCATAGTTGAAAGAGATAGGCTTTGCCACGCAACCGGTTTGTCTTCTTCTTCTCTTCTTCTTCTTATTGATATTATTACATTTCGGTGCACCGCTGCATAGGGTCATGGAATGGAGGGTTTTTTTTCGCCTATCTTTTTACGTATCCCGTAACGAGATCTTGGCTGGAGTTTTATGGATACGAATCTGAGGCGTTTGTTGTGGGAGTAGGAATGTGGAACGAGGAATGAGCAGTGTGCGCAAGGCAACGACGAGCCCGGATTAAGGGCGTGGTAGTTATCTCGAGTGTTTGGACATCTGGGATTTGTGGTGGTCGGAACAGGGATTGTATGTCTTTCTCATTGACAAACGTGAGCTTAGAGTTAGCGCTTTTGATTGCAGCCCTTTTTCACAAGCTGCAATTTCCATTTATCATTCTATACGCTGCCCATTTCCTATTTTCCATAATATGTCCAAACTCTTGCATCTAGTGTATCGTGTTATGTTATGTTGTGCTGTGCTATGTTGTGTTGTGTCGCATCGCATCTTATTGTGCTCCCAAAAGACAAGTCGTGCCGCCGCCTCGCCGCCACTCAAAGCAAACCCTTGCGCGCCAGTTCAATCTTGCGCGCGGCTTCTCCCTGCTTGAATCCGCCCTTTGAAACGCACGTGCGCTTTCCTTCTGCAAGCTCAAACTTGTCGTCGTTGGCGTCCCATGCGCAGGGGCAGTGGTGAGGGAAGTGGACGCAGGCGAGGGTATCGGGGCAGAGGTACTTGTCACAGGCGGCTTGTCGCATCTCCATGTTAGCTCCATATTCCTTTCCAATATTATTGAGACGATAGTAGAGGTGAAAATAGAGGCATAAAAGCTGTACTTACAATGTGTGTATTGGTGCTGGTAGTGGCGAGCGTCGCTGGGGTTGTTCTGCGAGCGCTGTTCCTGGTGATGGCCGCCGCCGCCGCCGCCGCCGCCGCCAAACATTTGGTCGAAGAAGCCAAATTGGGCATTGGCGAGGGCGAAGAGCGACAGGAGGGCTATTAGGAGGCGCATATTGAAGAGCTTGATTGGCGAGAAAGGGAAAACAAGATCGAAGTCGGGTGGAAGTAACAAGGTCGTGTGATGACGCTCTTGCGACTCGAGAAGAAGCTCTGGATGATAAGCTGGCCACTACAAATCCTTATCGATAAGAAGCGCCCCAGATGACTAAGCGGCAAAACCTCCAAAATTGGCAACTTTGACTAGGATCATGCAAAGGTGCATTGAAGCATTTTGACCTCAAACCCCTCGTAGGCCAAAGAAAAAATTCCCCCACGACAAGAGGGGAAAGTCGCATGGCCATGCGGTTCTTCACCATACAGCGGCCGATATTGGCTGCTGTGGCCGGCATTTCTAGGCCGAGTGTCGTCAACAGCGTTGTTGCTCCTCTCGGTGCTCAATTGGCCAATGCCTTGGTTGAAGGTCGAAGAAATGCTTCGGTGAAGGCGCAGGGAGCCTACAAGAAGAAGAGCAAGAGGGGAATTCCTAACAAGCTGGGTGCTAAGCGGACTGGAGGTATGTTGACTGCAATTGGGGTTTCCATGGCTGGGATTTGTGTCTTGCTAACTCGGTGTGTCTGAACACAGATCAATTCGTCATCCCGGGCAATATTCTCTACAAACAGCGCGGAACGCATTGGTGGCCAGGCGAGAACTGCATCATGGGCCGTGATCACACCATCCATTCCATGGCGACAGGCTACGTCAAGTACTACCGTGACCCTGCGAAGCATCCCGACCGAAAGTACATTGGCGTCGTCTTCAACAAGGATGACACTCTGCCCTACCCGCTGCATGCCGAGCGAAAGCGCAAGCTCAACAAGACGGTGCACACGATACGGACTGAGGTGGCTAAGGCGGAGGTTTCGCCCTCAGGAATTCCCTTTGAAGTCACGCGAGTGGAGGCTGGAGAGCCCGACAGACTGCTGCGGTTGAGGTCGGATTACAGCTACCGCGAGGACAACTGGCGCATCGGCCGGCTGGTGAAGACAACGGGCCTGAAGACGAAGGCGTTCAGGACGCGCAAGCAGTGGTTCAGGCATAGACGGTGGAGGAGGGAGCGGGAGATTGCTGGGCAGAAGGAGGCTGAGAAGAAGCGGGCGGAGAGCGGCGGCGGCGGCAAGGTGATGAAGGCGATTAGCAAAAAGGCTGCGAAGAAGGCGGCGAAGAAGGCCGGAAAGAAGGCCAAATAAAACGGTAGAGAGAGAGGGCTGAGCTGTGTGGGATTTTGTACTTATCCAAGTGTATAGTAGAAACGAATGAACGGACTGATTTGAATTAGACTTGAGACGGGTGCGTCTTTGGTTGTGCCTGCTTGGTAATGAATAGGTAGAGGTGGATGAATCTTTGTCCAATTGAGATCGATACTATGGTAGTATCACCACCCTTCTGTTGACTTCATTGGGTGGAAAGAGGCGCTTGGACAAGACAGCAAACTTGAATACTCTACTTGTATACCGATGGCCACTATAAGACTATAAGCACCGCCGATCTCAGGAACATGACCGCGTGGGAGTGGGCAGATAGATCCATCTACGTATCACATGTAGGACGACCTCCGCGATATGAATTGAGTGAAGCTTGGGGGTACGCTCAGCGATATTACCTAATCCGGCCAGCTTGCCGCGCTTGTTCCTGAGCCAGAGCCTTAGAGGTTACCCTTTTACAGCCTGAGAGCCTTGTGGTGGTGCCCCTGCCCACCGCACGTCACTGAAACTCCACTGCAGCCCTCCGTAAGGGCCGTGAATGCATTGGATGTACTTCCTCCCACTCCCCACGCTCGATCGCGGTCTGGCGCGAAGAGGAGAGGCTGCGAAACCCTGGGCTGGGACAGGTGGTGAATTGCTTGAGCTTTAAGTACGACTCGATCCTGCGATTCGATTTCCAACTTTCTATACGGACAACCAACGTGGCCGTCGCAGCTAGTCTGCGCGTCATGCCTGGAGCTTGGGAAGCTTGAGCGAGCCTCAACTTTATGATACGAGATCGCGCGCCTGGTGACACGTCCGCACCTGTACATTGTGATCGTGTATCTCGTATATGCGTATCGAACTGACCCGAGACCACTTGAAGACGAGATCCGGGCTATCGAGCGCAATCAGCGGCTCTTGTCCCGCGCACGCCCAGCCATGGCTTCCACTGCAGAGGGCGGCAATCCAGCGCATAAGATGAAACGAACTGGACGGGCTCTGTGGAAAAGGAACACCCTTGGAGTGGCATCGTCATCGTCACCGGCAGGAAATCGGACAGAGAGCCAGGCAGGCGATGTGGACGATGTGCCGATTCCCGTGGCTGTCAACGATATCCTCCCACCAGCTGGGAGCTATCCGAGCGCCCCCCCTATCGAGACGCCTGTGCCTCTTCCCGTACCTATGCGAACCCCAACTTCGACGACTTCAACACTTGGGCCGACGGCGAAACAAAAGCCGTTAGCGGCGAACAAAAACATTTTGCAGGCGCAGAGGGACTGGGAGAAGAAGCAGACGTCGGTAGAGAACCAAGGTGAGCAGTGCGGTTCATGGCGTTTGCGTTGTTTGCGTTTGCGTTTGCGTTTGCTGGGCGCACAGGGCAGGGAGACAAGGGCTGTGACGGGCTGAGCCAATGGCCAGCTCGCAGTGAATCGAATTGACCAGAGCAGCCATTCACTTGGTCTCCTCCCCTGCCTACCTGTGTTTCCTCTTTGTTTTCGTTGGCTGCTGCTAACCTTTACCCTTGCACAGGTCCTACCCAGGAGGGACGTCCAAGCATACCTATACTTCGCCCTCAGGTGCACTCAGATTTGACAAAGGCATCCGCAAGGCGCCAATCGACAGAGATACTCGAGACATCAGAGACAGATGGAATGGCTGGGCTGAAGCGCTTGCCAGAAGAAGCTCTGCTCAAGCAGATGACAGAGTTGAATAGACCTACGAGTGCTGGTTCGAGACGGCGAGACTCGAGACCTCGTGTAGTTTCTTCGTCTGCCTCTGCGTCTACATCTGCGCCTGCATCTGCATCTCCATCTCCATCCACAGAGCCATTACCTTCTGATCCTGCAGATGCCATGGATACTGGGGACGGCGAATCTCCCCGCACTGGCCTTTTGACAAATGCGGACGATGAATCATATTATACTTATATAGGTGAGTACACCATGTTGCGCACGGCACTTGTGTTCGTGTTGTGTTGAGCTGACATGTCCTGCTTCTAGAGGATGACGGGTCCGAGCAGAGCACCAACAATGCACCAATTCCACCGGGCAAGGAACGATATGACGATGGCGAAAACAACGGGAAATTGCCCTTTGTGTGCCCCGTACGGGATTGCCGAGTTCTTTCCATCACTATGAGGGCTCTGTCGTCACATTTTCACGGGAAGCACAACCGCTCCTTGTTTAACGACAATGGGGATGGCACATTCTCCAAGGTTGGCGACTACGTGAACGAAGAGAGCAGTTCTCCAGGCATCATCGTGTCTTGCAATCTTCTATCGCCGGGAGCGCCACCGCCTGCGGTTCCAGAATACTCGGAGAGCCAAAAGAAGCAACTGCTTAGCAAGAAGAGCTCCCCAATGTTTAGAGCAAGCGCTGCAGGAAGCGCTCCGCCTGATACGTCAAAGCGCTCTCTGCGTGGCGACGCAAACAATGAGACCATGCTAGATGAAAGATTTCCGAAGAGGCCAAAAACCACACCGGTCCCATTGCCTGTCCAGGCCGCCACTCTTATGTCGTCGCCGCTAACGGTGCCATCAATACCACCGCCGCCGCCGCCTCCCCCTATTCAATCTTTGGAACCTCCCATGACCGATGTTCTCCGATATTTACACAGGAGTCTCTCGCCCAGCCAGCAAGTCCCTACCCGGATAGACATAATAGCATTGTCAAAATACAAGCAGGTTCGTAACCTGCCGGGTGTATGGTGGGAGCATCATCATGATAAGACACTTGATCCCCTCCAATACGCCTGTATCCTTGCATATCTTGTGGGTGAGGCGGAAGAAATGAATCCCTGTCGCAGGTGGAAAGGGCTGTCGCGGCTGAGTGATCCATGCGTGGGTTTGCCTCGAGATCTACCAGCCGAGGCGAGAGCCGCGTTCAGTAAATCGGCGACATGCATTGCTTGTCAATACCAATTTTGCTGCTACCGACTCAAGAACGAATGCGAGTGGGCCAACAATGATGGTAAGCAGGATCTTAATGGCACGACCGAGGGGGCGGTATCCCAGCAAAATCATCAATCGGTTGAAGAGAGTGATAAAGTAGTAGTACTAGAGGATGAGGATGTGGACGGCGGCGCGTCGACCAGACGGAGCAACGGTTTGTCTACGTCGACAAAGCAGCCTGAGCAATACTCCGTGCAAAGTTCTGAGAAAAAGAGCCCCCCGCTCTCAACGACTGCCCTAACAACCTCAATAGCTGGTCAGAAGCCATCATCTGCTGAGGTGGCGGAGATGGAGGAGATGGAAGACTGGGAGATAGCCCCCGGTACTATGAAGGATGAAAAGACGAATATGAGTGAGTTTAATCTTCGCCAGCTGCCACTTCTGCATTGAGGACTCATCAAACTGACTTATTACTTTAGATGTCGGTTTTTCCAACGCCTACATGTCTAACCAGCATCCCATTACGATATCACCAGGCCTTAGCTTCAACGTTCTCATTATAAAACCAGGGCACACGCATCACTGGCCTATCGAGGCGACCAAGGTGCGCACATGTTCGGTAGCCTCAGGCAAAATTAGTGTCAAGATGGGAAACGACCAGGCGTTCAAGCTGGGCCCGAACGGCCTAGTCGTCATACGGTCAGGCCAGAGTTGCATGGTAGCAAATCGGCTTTACTCGGATGCGATCCTTCACTGCACGACCTTTGAAGATGACTTTTAGCCACAAGAAATGGGATTTATTAGCGAATTAGATTTAAAGCTTTGCGGGTCGCCTAGTTAGTTACATCGAGTTGATACCCCTGTACAGGCCGGCGTTTGGGAGCTCGTTGATTCTCTGTGTTTTGCGTTTTTTGAAATCATACAACTGTTATATAAGGGACTGGGCTGTGTATATTGATGTGGCTGCCATGAATATTGTCGATGCTGGATGCTGTCTCTGGAGGCGATGATGGAGTGTACACTCCAAAACTAAGCAGCAAATAACATAGCTATAGTTTAATTTACAAATAGATGGCGCCGCTGGCGAAGAGGTTGCATGCTGCTTCAGACGCCCAGAAGTTCCTGCAAGCTGGAGTTGAGTCTGGAGCTAGATGACGAATGCCGAGCCTGGAGATGGCAGCTTCTGATCATGTGCAGTTTTTATTCAAAGTTCGGAAATGACTGGCAAATATCGCTGATGAGCTTAAAAGCTTTTTCGTGTGGACCTTGCAGTCTTGTATTTCGATCAAGCTACTCCATGCAGGGCATGTTGCTTTGAAGCTTCAAAAGCCCATGTGCCGCGGTCACGGTGGCGCAAGTCTCATGGCCAGCTATCGAGCCGAAAGGGGGGGTCAGCTGTAAGTTCGTGTAAGCCCTGTATGCCTGTTGAAGGGGCCCCTGAAAGATGCATCAGTGGCTGCCATCCATTCCGCGGCCTGGGGAGGCTGTTGTCACGAGCAAGGCAGGGGATTTGATTTTCCACATCAATGATATCTTTCATTTTTTCGCGCAGTCAGGGGATGGTTTCAGGCTTGATTTGAGTGTAACTGCGGGCGAGGTCTTTGGTGTGAGATACGAGCGAGGGTCGTGATCTGGGGTTGCGATGCTAAGGCGAGTTAGGTACCTTCTGGTGTCTTTTAGCTCTCGGGGCCTCGGATGCTATGCTGTGTGCTGGGGCGTGGGGAGGTTTCTGGCTTCGTATTGATCGGTATCTGCCTTGCTCCGATAGCGTCTGATGCCGGCAGATGGCTTGGTCTTTGCAGGGTGCGGGTATTGCGTATTCTTGGGGAGCAGGTGATGTTGAGTCTTTGTAAGTTGAGAGTGTGATTTGGATTGTGGGGATGAGAGAAATGCTGAGGGCTGATCGTGATGGAATTTGACTTTGATTTCCTTTGCATCCTCTTTTTTTCTTATTTGATTATCCAATTTTTATTCTTCACTTGATATATAAAGGGGATATTTTTTAATCAACGAGTTTCATGATGCTGCATCTCGGTACATTGCTTCATGTCTGCTTGGTCTGAACATCACCACCTATCAGCAGACCTTAGTGCGCTGTAATTACAGCGAGGGACAGCCATGGCTCTAGGCGGCGGCCCCCCGATACAGCGGGTCACCACTGGTCTCGCCCTGGACGTGCCTGTTCCCTCTCCTACTCGGACCAGATCTGGCAGAACGAGGCCGCCGAGCACCTTCACCGATACAGACGAGACTGATTTGAAGCCTGGAGATGGCGGGCAGTTTGTCGAGAAGCAGCGGGCTGGACAGGGCGGGCTGCGGTTCACGATTGATCCGGAGGGCCGACTAACACACGACGAGACGAGCGTCGACGTCGTTACGGTTCCGTGTCCGGCCGCCCATCCGCTGCGCAGCTGGAACCGCGATGGCCTCATGGGAAGGTACTTTGGCGCGCCGTCGATGCGAGATGCCGAGGTTCATGAGGCGGAGCGGCAGAACCCGTCGTGGGTGAGGCAGGGTATCCGGAGGGAGGCCAACATGGCGCGGATTCTGCTGTATGAGCATCCGGATATTAGCGAGGGGACGACACTCAACATGCTGGCTATTGCGCTGTTGGATGAGTTGAGGGCGTTGAGGACCCGGGAGAGGCATCAGGAGAGGCCGCTGCTGTTTATTGGGCACAGCATCGGAGGGTTGGTGGTCAAGATGGCGCTGGTGAAGGCTAGTAGGGATACTAGGTATGAGGGCATCTTGCGCGAGTGTTACGGGGTTGCTTTCTTTGGTGAGTTGATCCATATGTTATTTGAGTTATGGCTATGGTCTTTGTTCAACGATACTGATGATGCTGTTGATTCAACTTGTAGGAACACCGCACCAGGGCTCCAGCTACTTTGCCATGCCCACCCTCGCGTCGAGCATCCAGCACCTGCTCCAGCTCTCGGTACCTTTGCCTATATCGTTGACGGACGATCTGCGCATGGGAAACCACCTTCTCCTCCATGTGGATGAGGACTTCAAGGTCGTGTCAGACGATCTCCGCGTGTGGACGTTTTACGAGACAATCGACTCCCGCCTCTCTGCCAACTCGGGAAACATCTACTTTACCGCGCCGCTCACGTCGATCAAGTCTGCTATTCTCGGGATGCGCCAAGAACGTATTTTCCCCCTGCAGAGCGACCACGCCAACATCGCGTCGTTTGGGAGACACAATGTTCACACTCTACGCATGTTCCTACGACAACTAGCGGAAAACATTGAAAAGGCGGATTCAAATGCTAGAGAGGACGCAAGAGGGGGCAAATGGATGCTGAACTTGGAGCAAAAGGTTACGGTAGAGGTCCATGGCTTCTTTGACGAGGCGGGCATTGAGGATGGCACCGTGCGAGCTTGGTCCACGAGGTTGCCGCTGAGAGAGTTTATGAATAAAGGTCCAGAAGCCTGTCTCAGCGAGAGATTGAATGAGGTGGAAATCCCCCCCGAAGAAGGAAGATTCCTGGCTATGAGAGGAAGGACGGGCTTGGTTGAAATGGAGGGACCGCCGGTTACTGTTTCATTTCCTCCCGATCCTGTGACTGTGAAGAATGCTCTGGGAATCAGCCACGCCGAACTTGAGCATGAACATGAACATGAAAATCCTCATCCTCTGCTTCACCAGACTTCGGCGCCCCCTGCAGTGTTGCCAGTCCCGCCATCGCCACTCATTCTTCCAGTTGACTCCCCTAGATCAAGGCCGAGGTTGAGCACGGAATCTGCACCAACGGCAATGGTTTCGCAGCCCGGCGTTGGACCCTTGACGCCTCCCTCTCGACCCAACTCGCTTCCCCCTCGGCAATCGACGCCTTTTCGCAAGCCGTCACCTCTCATGCGTGCTAGCTTGGATCAGGAGCTCGCCATTGATCGCCTATCACCTCCTTTGAGAGGGAGAGTGGGGAGAAACTCCTTCAGCCGCTCAATGAGCCTTGATAGCGACATCGGGGGCACATCTCCTCCTCGATATCGCGACTTTCCACCTTTCTCCCAGAGGAGCCGCAGCACATTCGATAGAGTTCTCACAGGAGAGGAGAATGATACTGAAGATGATGAGCTTGATGCATCCCCGAAGCTACCTGAGAGTGTTCTTGCGATTCGAAAAATGGCAAAAGAAAAGGGGCATAGAGCAAGTGAAAGCGCCATTGTGGATGATGCTCCTCAAACCCCTTTTATGAAGCCAATGGCCAAGGCGCGCAAGTTTGTTTGGATTCATTTGCCGTTTAATAATCCTACCTGGGTAACTGTAAGTGGCCTCCCATTACTTACTCTCCCCAAGAAGAAGCTATGTTACTAATATGAAATACTTCAAGTCTGTTCTTCAAACGTTGCAAGTATCGTACCAGCGAGACTTTTCTGCTCTATCGAATCACGACTTTTGGGTCAGGAGGCACACGCGTGGTAGGCATGCGCAGCATTATGCGCATTTTGCAAAGCCAGGGTGCTATTTTACGGCGCCTCGAACTTGTAAGTGGACCTTGATTCTCTGCTCTTGGAAGATTCAATACTCAACTCTCTTGGATAATTAGTATCTCCACGAGGTCATTCAGGACCGAGCCGCTCCCTTTCCCCCCCTGGCGGAGACGATCAGATGTATGTCTGTCTGTTTCTTCCGTACCTCCACTTTGACTCGTACAAGAGGCTTATTCGCCGGCGTGAACTGATTGCTAAGCGCCTGGCCCACGGCAGGGCTCGGCCCATTCCTGAATCTGTAGCCAAATCAGATTCCTTGGAGTTGCAAGTCGTATGGGAGTTCCTGGGGCACGACCCGCCAATCAATTGCCGGCGCACGCTAGATCAGTTTGGGTATCCGTCAATGAGGGATACGCGATCGCGGGATGATGACCAGATGTTGTATAAGTTGACAAAAGAAAGGTACTACGATGTAGCAGAGTATCGGGGGCTGTATAACCAGACTTCTGGCAGCGATCTCAGATCTGGAGACAGCAGCAATAAAAGCGGAAACGGAAGTGGAAGCGGTAGCGGCAGTGGAAGTCGCACATCTAGCTGGCGAGAGAGACTAAGCAAAGAGGCTGAGGAGAATGGCGAAGAGGAGACTGAAAAGGACGTGCTGAATGGAAATGTGCTCATGGTGGATCAGCTATGGCTCTGGACTATCTCAACTCGTAAGTCCATGCCGTTTTCTTGTTGGTGTGATCCAAGACTAAATCTTTACAGATACACTACTCTCATTCTTCCCCAAGCGAGAGAGCGATCCCATCGAGGGACCGCTGTATCAACAAGCAGATCTTCGAGACAGCATCTTCAACGATGTCAATGTAGATTTAACACGCCTATGTGATAACTCCCTGGACCTTGCCGCCTTGGCAGCTCTGCATGCGGTGAGCGTGCTTCTTGATCGCGCTTCTCATCCTGATTTAGAAGTGTTCCGAATATTTGAAGAAGCCATTAGTGTCTTGGTGAGTCGAGCTGCTGCATCTTGACGGTATATTGAACTTGTTACTAATATGCTTGCTAGACCGAAAAGCTTACAACATCGCTCAAGGAATTCCGCTCAGAGGGATTTCGTGACAAGGCCTTCGACTACGAGCCGGTGGAGAATAAAGCTCGATCAATTCGGGAGCGGCATAAAGAGGAGGGGCGACGGGCTGAGCAGGAGAATAGAGACAACACATCAGCGTTGTTGGAGCTTCGAGACATTGAGGACGAATTGGCAACGCTGCTTGGTCTTTTCGAGAGACAGTCCAAAGTAATTTCGTCGATGCACACCATCTACAACCGCCCCGAGATGCGGCCGCACACAGTCCATGGAAGAGGATTCCTTGCTGAGGCGCTGAAGCGACTGGCTGAGTATATCCATACGACAGAGGAAATGGTTCGCCGGGTGAAGAACACCCGAGACGAGTACGACAAGCTGCTTCAGATGGTGCAACGGCAGGCACAAGTCGACGAAGTGCGACTAAGCAGGCTGCACGCGGATCTCGCCAGCGCGCAGAGCCGAAGCGTCCTGATCTTCACCACGTTCACGGTCATCTTTCTTCCACTGCAGTTCTTCACGGGTGTCTTTGGCATGAACACACGCGAGTGGGGAGGCGGGGACAACCTGACGCTGAAGACAATTGGCGTGATTGCAATTCCGGCAAGCGTCGCTTTGATCGTTGGGACGCTCATCGTTGCGTGGAGCACCACTGCGCGACGCTTCTTCAAATGGATCGGCAGGCGATACGGCAGGATGATGCGCTGGTTATACGTGATTTTTGGGAGACCCGTGACTAGGAAGGTGATGATATTCATAGCAAAGAGGGGGAAACGACGGCAAAGGCAAGGGGATGATCGCGATGGAAATGGTGGGCTGAGTACGGAGACGAGCGACTTCTGGGAGAGGCATAGGCTTGAGAGGGAGAGGGGATATCAGATTCCCGAGGTGAATAAGGCGCCGCCGGTGAGTAAGTCGAGGCTGAAGAGGAGCCAGGGAATATTTTGATGGGCTATGTTTGCATTGTATTTTGTTTTACTTGTGTTGTGTTTGATGGCATACATATACGAAAAGGGGGCTGGCTCCCTAAATGACGGTGTCAGTACACTAAGAGATACCAGATACATGAAATCAATTCATTATTTGTTGTTTTTCATTCTCATTCTCATTCTTGTCCTTTAGTACAGCTACAATGAGCCCTCAATCATCTCATTGCATGTCCCATCCCGCTCATCTAGCACCAACCTCGCGCACTCGACTCCTGCAACAGGCAGCTTGACAACGCCACCATCATACGGCAAGTGGGTTGGCAGGATGCCCAGCTGGCGCAACACTGTTCCCTGATCCCACCAGATGTGCTCGTGGTAGAGCCTATCGCCGCGGACGTTGATGACGCCGACCATGGGGATGGCAAGGGGCTTGTTGGTGGGGGGGATGCCGGGGATGAGGGCGGGGATATGCTGCGTGTGGGTGCAGCAGAAGATGAACTCGTCTGTTTATTTATTGTGTTAGAATGGGCTCTTTTGAGGTGAGCGGGAGAAACTTGCCGACGATGCGGTCTGGGCCGACGGTGCGGGAGACGGGCTTGAGGTGCGTGTCTGGGGGGTTGCTGTGATTTTGAAGAGTTAGAAAAGGGTGTCTCGATGGCATTGCGGGTGTGGGTTTGGGTTTGGTTACCAGAAAATGAAGTGATCGCGGTAAAAGGCGGTTAGTTTCTCACGGCCGATGCCTCCCGTCATCTAGACGTGTCATGAAGAGGCAGAGGTTAGTCGTCCCTGCTTGAGGCTGTATTTGTGTATTATCTGATGGCTATGACTTACCGTTGGGACGTGATTAACATATGGCTCCGCCTATAGTGATAAGTTAGAGATCAACGGCAAATAGCGGGTTGATGGATATGGAGATGTAAACAAACTCACCACCATGGTCGCCATGGTTTTGGCCACACTTCGCCCTTCGAATTCCCAGTAGCAGTGCTCCTCCCAGATAGCCTCGAGATCAAACGTCGGCCCGCCAAGATGTTTTCGTAAAAAGACTAGACTGCGTGTGTGAGACATATTAGCAGCAGCGTTGTTGTACGCCGCGGCGGAGGGGAAAATGAAGTGAGGCGTTGTCTCGGGATAACAGTGCACCGTCACATTGGACTTTTGCTCATCACTGTCGTCGAACTTTGGTTTCGAAGCCGTGCCGGTGTGAGCGAGCAGCGGGATCGAAGTGGTGATTTCGGGAGCGGCGTTGGAGAAGGCGACGATGCCCGCGATTCCATGTTGCTGCAGGCGGTCGGCGTCGAGGAGCAGTGAGCTGATGATGGCCTCTTCATACACGACCAGGGCGAACTTGTCTTTGGTGTCGACGCTTTCATGCTTCCGGAGCGCATCCACAGCATCCCGGATCAAGTTGACGACGTCTGAGGCTGAGGCGTCGTCGCCGGTGAGTTCCATCTCAGGCTCGGGCAGGGTGATGGCAACAACGGCGAAGCCCTCCTCGGCCCATTTGAGCAGCGGCTCGGGGTCGAGCGGCTTTTCGGCGCCGGGGGCGAGTTGCGGGATGGCGCCGGGGCCTGGAAGGATCAGGATGAGGCCTGGGCCGGAGCCGCGGCGGGAGAGCGGCGGCTGGAGGACGGAGGAGGGGCCGAGGACGGATGACGGAGCGGAGGGTGGCGGAGGGGCGGATTCGGAGGGGGAGGCGGGATTGTAGGATGTTGGGGGAGGGGCGGCCATTTTATTTTAATCTTTTCAATATTATTTTTGGTGGATGGATGTTTTGGACGTGTGTGTTTATTTTTAGATGATTGTGTTTGGTGGAAATAGTTGGGAGTTGTGATGTAAGTATGAATCGATTTTATTGTTCGATTTTATGGCTGAAGATGAGGGGCTTATACAAGTACGTTTTGTCGATCCCCGCCATTTGTGAGTGAGGGGCCGTCCCGAGTATTGGTGACAGCTGTTGACTATCGGCACTCTGATTATTGATTCTGCATGCATAAGAATGTGTACATGTTGTTTTTGGGTTTCTTGCAAGATTGGGGTCATTGCTTGCAGCTCTGCAACTAGTCCAGATGTCAATGTTGATTGTTGATGTCCACAACAGTGTATGTACATGCACTCTACAACCTACCTATCCTTCGTCGCAGGTCTTTGGACTCATGTGGACGCTGAGTTGAGTATGTCATTGGCCTGCACTATTCCACCAATGTTCCGTCCTCAGTTGGTGATGGTTGAGCTTCTCACTCCTAATCGAGATAGTCAACAGCCCCGCTTTACATTGCTTCTGTCGTGAGTGCACCTACACCCATTACCAACGCCACAGGGAAGAAGAAGTGAGATGAAATAATTTATGATGGATCCAGAAATTTATAGTATTTGCATACATCAGTGGCATAGTCGGCGACTGAGCTGTGGGCCGACGATGGTGGCCCAGCCTCTTGATTCGTGTGCCGTCTGATCCCTGGTTCCTAACCAATGATTCTTGCACGACGTGCTCGTGGCGTGAGAGGCGGACGATGCTTGGTTATCTACCTCCCAAGGAGACGGACAGCCGCGCAATATGGGCCAAAGCCCGATTAAAAGACGGGAGATGCCAGGCTAAATCCATGTAAACAGCAACAAACTGAAGCTGCCTTCCGGCAAGAATGGGCAAGTAGTCGATAGCTTTCTGAGAGAAGTACATGACGGCTAATTAATCTGACCATCGTCTCGCAGATCGCCGCTGCTTTCTTGTCTCTCAGCCAATCGAAGCCGTAAGCCCTCCAACCAAAGTTACAACATGGCGCACTATTGGAAACGGCAAGCCAGTACCGAATCTCAACGAGAGGCTCCCATTCATGGAGCATTGGGCATTGTGTGTCCTGCCTTCTGGGAGTGATGCAGTTCCATCTGATCCATCAGCCCGAGAGGCCTTCTTGAATGCAGACTACTTCGATCTTGGCGTATCGAGACATTCCATCTTCCGCATGGTCAGCGGGAGTGACTCATATATGAGTTTCATTCATTCTAGCCCGAAGCGGGAACCAGCCGCAATCATGGATATCTCGAGTGCTCTAGAGATAGGGTCGACCGGAAGATCAAACGATTGGATCTTGGAGCGAGGTATATCTCACAACATTCATATCAGCATCTCCAGAAGCTTCAACTGATCTTTTCTTAAGCCCACTTCCTGGTCCATAACTGGGGGACCTATCGGCCTATTCTATGGAACTGCCAACACTTTGCCGTCTTCATCGCTCAGATCACTGTTGCTACAGAAGAATCAGCTTCAATCATAAGCAGAATAATGTCATCCAGGCGTGAATTTGTGTTCAACAAACGAATACAAAGGCATGTTGGTTGTATGGTCGGGCTTGGTGCCTCAACCTTTGTCCCCGTCGTTGGTCCAGCATTGGCTTTGGGCTTCTGGGCAACTGCACGCATTCGCATGGCCACAGATTATGTGAAAGATACACAGATTGCCTCACAATGGAAGACATTTGTGGGGAAATGCGAAGAACTGCACCAGATTTGGTTCCGGTAGCAAGAATAGAGGCAGATGGGCGCTTCATAATATTGCGCGGAACAGGTATGTCGCAATACATGTAGTGTTTGTTAATACCCATTATACCAACATCTTATTATTTGGCCAGCTCGATCCCCTTTCCTAAGAGGATCCAAAAAAAAGAACATACGCTATTGAGCAGTGTGAAGTATATATACATTTATAGAGGCTAAATTTAATATCAAGATAAGAGGTTCAACAATGCTGTAACAGCTGAGATATACATGTATAATGCTACCATTCCGAACATTTCCGGCTTTCATCTTATCAAATTATTTACCCAAAGATTTCCATGTCCATAAGCGAGTCTCATTACTATTTATGTCAATGGCGTCGGTAGTCCGCTCATAGAGCAACAAGATTGACAAATGTCAGACTGCAGACGCCATCGAGTGGGAATATTATACTGTATAGAGGGGCAGATGCTTTACTAAGAGATGAAGCTTAAGACCCTGCCATCCCGAGCAGAGGGGATAATATAGCTATTAAGCTGTCAGCACTCTTAATACTGGACGCTTTTGAAGTTTTATATAGCCGTTTCTATATTCCTTATTAGGTGTGAGTGTTCTACATCCATGTCCAGTCCTGATATACATGCATGGATGAGGCTGAAGTACGTATACGACATATGGATCAAAACATTGTACTATGTACCTGCATGCCTCTCTCTACTGCACTGTACATGATGTAAAACAACTTGGCTACTGCATCAATCTACTCAGCTTCAGCCCAAAAACTAGGTTGTAAACCCCATTCCGATTCCATGCATCAACCCGGTCATCAGATCTCTTTACGGAGCACACGTGCCCTCAAAACGGTAGGTGTGGTGCCACTCGTCCCCAAGCGCTGCGCCACAGCACTAACAGCCGCTATAAACCCAGCAAATGCTACGCTGAGTCTCGCCTGTTCAGCTGCTAACACTCATACGAGCGACAGCTCTCAGGCAGCTTCCCGTTCGTGTTAGTGCACCTGTTAGTGCATGTCTCACTCTAGCCTCCCTCTCATCTCACGACCTCATCCTCGTCGTTTCGCCTTTTTCTTCTTCTCCAGGAGCCATGCCGGCGCTTTGCTCTCCTCTTTTCACGCTGTCGTTTCTCTAAACTACAGATCCAGACTCGCTGAAAAAGAAAGAAGAGAGGGAGAAAAGAAGGAAAAATGCCTTCCCACAGCTTCAGCTCGTCCAAGTGGCTCGCGCCGCCCATCCAGACCGCATCCTTCAAATCGCTCCTCGTCATCCCCATTCTCCTCTCCATCGCCACCTTTGCAGCTCTCTTCACCCATTCTGACGTCGACATTGCTCTTCTGTGGTCGCAATGCCACTCACGCGCCCGCATCCCCGGCCTCAGCCATATCCCGCTGATTGGCACGCCGAGCTGCTTCCTCGTCAGCTTCTTCCAGTGCGCGCTGGATTCGCTGCGATCCAAGGCCGTCATGGGTGTGATTCTGGCCTATGTCGGTGCTCTGGCGACTGTGTGCACCGTGGAGTCGGCCAGACGCTGCAACAGGTCTAATACACTCATTGCGAAGCCCACGCTGTGGTGGCTGCTGTTCAACTTGCTGGGAGGTGCCATGGTCTGGCAGCTGGTGATTGTGCCGGCGTTTCTGCACCGGGCCAAGGCGCTGGTGCTGGCGGAGGAGCAGAGCCGGGGAACTGGTCATGAGGATTCGACCGTAGCTGCGGCTGCACCTGAAGATGCCAGCGAGGAGGGCCGCACGCTGCCAGACTCCGAGGCCGTGGCCATCCCTATTGCCGTTGCCGCTGGCTATTTCTTGCCCTCGATTCTCATGCTCGTCTTCAACTCTCCGGCCACCATCACTGTCTGGCTCTTCTTCCCTCTCTACGTATCTCTCGTTCGTCAGGGCGTTCGTTACATTGTTGAGAGAATCCGCCGTGTCAGCCCAACCAGCATCCATCACGAATCTCACTGGCAGTGTGTGGCTCTTGTCTACGCCTTGCCCATTGTGCTGTCCGTCGCTGCGCACATCTTCGTCCTCTGGAACCTTGCTCAGGGCGACGACCGCAAGAAGATGACCAAGCTGACGGTGAGCTTCATCGAAATCGACATTCAGTTTATTGCCTGGACCGTCTTGTATTGGGTCTTTGTAGAGGCAGGGTGGAGGGTGCCGCTGAGCATGATTGCAACATCCATTCTTGCCGGACCCGGTGCGGGAACTATTTTCGGGTGGCTATATCGTGAGAGGCTGGTCAAGAATGGTTTTGCCGACCTGTTTTCCATTATCGAGGACGAGGACAATGCAGCAGAGGAGAGGCCCTTGTTGGGATGAGCCGTATTTGGAGTGAGAGATTATGTAGCTAGGCAACATGATTGCGCAGATGCTCTAGATGAGATACCCCGAATGATTTCTTGTTTCAATACAATATCTAGCAGTCATGAATCGCAAACACCAGATGAAAGGTTTTGTACAAATCTCACTACCCAAGTTTCAGGTCCCAAGAAGCGCAATTTTTTATGTTACATGCTGCCGCCATGACGATAAACCAAGCCGAGCCAGGTCCATTCAGTTCATGCCTCTAGATTTCAAAACACGTTTAGCTTCGTCTCCTCATAAATAGTACAAGGTATGATTACACAACGCCGCCGCCGCCGTCCAATTTTTTTTCATACACGGTTCCCCTCCCGCTCTGGTCTATATCTTTCAGTTGTCCTTGGGTACTTGTGCCAATATTCTCTCCCTCACCACCTGCGCTGCCACGGCCGATCCGTGCTGCAGCGTGATGGCGCCAATGATGGCCATGAGCGCCGAGTTCAGCACAACTTCCACACCAGAGGCCTCGAGCCGTCGGGGCTACAATTGCATTAGCTCTCCCATTCTTCTTAAAAGTCGTACCGCATCACCGGTCTACCAAAACAAGGGGGAACACACCAATCGAGGTTTCCACCGCACCACGTCCAACAGCCCCACGTTGTTGGCCAGCTGGTAGAGCTTGTCCTTGCCGATCACGTCTCGGGGTCCCATGACGTTGAGGTTGTCCACCGACAGCAGCTGCTCGTCTTCCAGGGGCTTTCTGTCGAATTGGTCGGGGAGTATTGAGCCGGCGAGAGGCTCCTTGCTGACAATCTCCTTTGTCGCTTCCATTACCATTGTCAACCGTCCTGCAGTACAACCCCAAAGTCAGCTCATCATGATACGCCCATGTGTCACAGTACAATCCACCAACGAACCTAGCAGTGCCAATCGGTCATTGAACCCTCTCCTCCCCTGGTCGAAGCTCTTGTGCGTCACGGCCAGCCACTTGAGCTCCTCCGGCAGCATCTTGCTGCCTCCCGGCCCGAGCAAACGGTTATACACCTCGTCCAGCCGCGTGGGGTCGTTGTTCACCGCCCAGACCTTGTTCTTGGCGCTCTTTGCAAAGTCCAGCTGCAGCGGCGCCTTCATGCCCTCGGGCGTCTGGCTCCATCGCGGCTTCGTCTTTGTGCTGGGTGTTGTTGCGGGGACCTTGAAGGACTCTGGCGTTGACGGCGCGGATTCGGTCGCGTATGTGCGCACGCAGGGGGAGAAGGCGCGAGCGGCGTGCCGGCAGCGGGCCAGGCTCGGGCGACAGGACTGGAGAGCCATGGTTGTGGAATCAATTGTGGTTTGCGATGCTGTTCATGGTGTTGAAGGCCTCTATCGACAAACCTGGAGCATTTTCCAAGGTCACGTGTTTGGTGGCATTTTACCATCTTATCTTATCGCTTCTTATCGATTAACGATGGCGGGCGTCATCTTAACTCAATAACTAAGGTCCTTCTTAGAAACATGCGCCTTACCCTAGATGATGGCGCTGTTTGGTCCAAATTCCATCTCGATCATGGTGAATCTTTATTCAAACAATTTTAGAGAAAATCCATTTTGTACTCTTGAAATTAGCAGCTTTTCTTCTGGCTAATGGTAATGATTTGGTCAAGCATTATCCTTACTATTCACAGGTTATAGGAGGTACTTGGTTAAAAAGTGGATGAAGATGTCACTTCTCACTTACATGCTAGTTGGAACAAACAAGGGCAAAACATGGAAAATCAAAAAGCCCAAGCAAAACTAGAATTGTTCCACTGATTCACTTATCATCAACTATTCTATCTGCTACCTCGATTTCGCATACGCGATCAGCGCGGCTCGCGTACCTGATCGATTACGCCACAGTTTAGCTTCATGTACGAAATCAGCCCTATTGTTCGCTATTGCCGTCCGCTGGGGTCCCCATTCCCGGCATGTGGCGCCCTGGGTTTCAGTGGACCTATGCGCTAACTCAGCTGTAAGAGCGGCGGAGCTACTGCATTCACTCTGCGTGCGCCGAGCTTGTCGCGACTTGGATTTCAAGGGAGGCGCCAAACCTTGGTCTATGTCTGCTGCTTCGCCGTTTGCTCTCCTCTTTTGCTCTTCACCATTCTATGGCCTGTCGAGCTACAGTATTCGTCTTCATTGATCCCAGATGGCTTCTGCAGACTCTCCAGACACTAGCCTGCGCGGCCGCCTTGCTGCCGTCCTTCCCAGAGGTTACAAATTCGGCATCCATCATGTATCGACGCCTCCCACCAAGGTTGACGCGCTCTACTCTGCACCTCCTGGCGAACGGCCCGAACGAACATACTGCGAGAAACACTTCCTCAGCGTTTCAATTGACTCTCAAGACACGTTAGAGAGTGCCTCATACAGTGATAATACACCGGAGCAGGCTGCGCAGCGGAAGCGAGTCCTAGTCCTCGGGATCGAAATCTTCATATACACCACGGCCAGATCTACCACCTTATTTGTGTCCAAGGCTGATTCTACCGGATTTCTGGACAAGCTACAGCTGCCCAAGGGTGCTCCCAGTCCGATTCGAGAAGTGTGCGCGACCTTCATCCGCTACTTGGTCGACAAACGAAGGCGCAAGGACGTGCAGTTCGTAGTCAGTCTCTTTGCACGCGCGCAAGACCAGTACCTGTTCCCCGGAAGCATCGAATACCCCGGAAAGCACGTTTTGGACGATCGCGGCCTCGTCAAGTGGTGGTGTCGGGTGCTTGACCCCGTTGTCGAGTCACCTCCAACCGGCAGTCTATCGGCATGGCGAAACACCAAGGGATATCTACTTGTTCCTGGCCTTGACGCCTACGAGACTCGTGCGTTCATTCCGCGACGTGCCGGTGCTACATCTTGCTGGTCATTGAACCACCCGCTGGAGCGTATTTCACATTATTTTCGAGAGTTTGACTGGGTACCGCCACGGTGTCTCATCCCCCGGTTCCCGGATGACCCCAAATCCCGATTCCGCGACGAGCTGGATGACGAAGTCACAAAGACCAAGGCGATGAAGACTACGGGGAGCTGGAAATCAGTCAAGACACTTGACATGTTTTGGGAGATGATGGCCTTCCGACAAGAGTGTTCAAGTGGTAGGATGACGGGGTTCATATGGGTCGTGTTTGATGACTTGGAGGACGAGCCAAAGCAAGATGGTAGTGACACTGTATCGATATCTAGTGCCTCAGTCGTGACCAGTGCGGTGGGTATCGCTCCCGAGACGCCCAAGAAGCAGAGAGTTGTGTCCAATATCACACCGACAACAACACCAAGGAGACTCTTCCCGCTCAAGACAGATCAGAGTGACCACACACCAACTAAGCCAAAACGTGATTCTGAGATTGAAGACAAGAAGACCAAGAAGAAGAAGAAGAAGTCGGCAAAGACCAAGAGCAAGCTCAGAGGCCCCATCAAGCCCCGGCAGCCACGTATCAAGACCAAACAGCGCAACTACCTCCTAGACCAGCCTGTATCGTCCGCATACTACTACTGGCCGCCCCAAGGCCGAGGCGAGAGGATCGTGGACGAAGCCGATTATAAGCGTATGCATGAGCTTCTTCTGCGCTTGGACTTTGCTACCTTGGAAAAAGCCACAGGGAGCACGCGCCGCTGGCTAAGCGAGGTTGGCCTTGGAAGCCGGTGGGGATTTGACGTTACAGGGACGCGGGAGCTTGCTGTAGCAGATGGAGACAAGCCGGTTCAAGGAGTTGCACCCGTCAATAACCTGTCTGGCCTTGTCAAGAGGAAAAGGGCCGACACGGTGACGGAGGCATCACAGGGAGAGACGGCTGATGGCAGTAGCGTCAATGTGCTGAGCGATGGGCTGGTTAGGAAAAAGCCCAAGCAAGAGCAGGAGAATGATGCTCATGACGGCGATGTGAACGCTCCTACGGTCAATGTGCTGGGCGCAGGGCTTGTGAGGAAGAAGGAAAAGGCGTGAGGGCGTGATACATGTTCGTACCTACGTGCTTATTATAGATGACTGTTCGCTCTCAAAAGGATGGGAACGAGAGACGAGATTGTAATATTAATGTTTTATGACAAAGCTGTATGTCTCCCTGAGGTGTTCCGCCTCTGCATCAATTTAGTATATTTGACCGCTTGATCTTATCACCGCTGATAAAACAAGACAAAATATTTGCCGTGGAGGACTGTCTAAGCTGAAGAAGCTAGCACTTGTGGATCGTTATGGCTAGATACATGTATTTTCGTGAGATGTAGTGATGCTCTGCATTATATGGCGTTGCATTGCAGCTAGATCCAGCAGATTGACATGACAATGCAACAGGGCCGTCGCGTGTGTGATATGTATGCTTTGAAAGGACAAGAGGGAGTGAGTAGTGAGTGATCCTTGTGCCAATTTCTCTTCTATTCTTCTACTGATTGGGTATTTGGTATCGTGAAAGATGAACCTGTGGTGTAGATGGATTCACGCCCGTCTGAATAGTGCTTCGAACTTCCTACCTATAAAACCGATGACTCGGGACATTGCATATCCTCTATTGTGTAAATCATGTAATTCCCACTTGCTCGTAATTCGTATTTGACGGCGAGACTCTTCGTCTGTAGCATTGGGCAATTCTCTCTTGGCCTTTTCTAGGCCGCCCCATTTATGCAACCCGATTCTCTTTCTGCTGACTGCTTGCCCAGAAACGGCAGGATGAAGAGCGAACTAGGATATGATGGCTCAAGTGGAGACGTTGAATTTCTCATAGAGGGAGGATAAGCCGAGAAGAGAAAGAAAAAAAAAAATGGACGAGATGATGGCGAGTGTCTTGGAAGGTTGGAAATGCAGGGGTTGGCAGATGCAAGGCACTTTTTGTTCGGAAGCTGTGAGCAGGGTGTGGATTTCGGCGACATTCAGCTCTTTTGGCTCTGGATGGATTGAGATTAGTGACGGGCTGTCCGTGAGATTTACACGGCTTTTCTTCCTGTTCCAATTGACCGAGGAATGGCCTCCCCATGGACGAAGCTGAATATGTGGTGCAGCCGCGGCACGAGGAAGATGCCTGTAGGGAAGAGTCGCCATCTCGGTCTGGAACCTGCATGGCTGCAGCTTATTACCTGTACGAGTATATGTGTATTTCTGGCTAAGACTTAGCGCAAGGTGAATCCGTGAGGCCAAGCCAAGTTGTTCTTGTCTAGATTCAGTTCAGCTCGAGTTCCTTGGACAGAGAAGCACCAGATGGTGGTGATATGGAGCCTTCGGCAAAATAAGCGCCGAGAATACATGTAGCATCAAAGCCATGCTGTGTCAGTGCTGCTGCTACTACATGCATCAACATGAAGTCACAGATCCCGTCGCAAAAGGAAATCAGGGCCATTTCACAACGTTCGCCGTGCTGATCATGTGGAATACGAACTAGATAGTACGATTAATACGGAAACCTTGGCCCTACAGGGTCGCTGTGTCGCACCTCGTGATGTTGCGGTTGCTTCTAATCGCATCTCACTGGCCAAAGACCGCCTTTCCCTGATTCCCTTGGCGACAGTCTATGGAGTGAAGCAAAGGGCCGTGTGTTCCTGCTTTAGTGGCGCCCACGTTTTGGGCTCTTTGATCAGTGCGCCGAACGTTGCGAGATGGTTACAATTGTCGCCTTGAATCTGATGACGACGAGGGCAAAGAATTCATAAGTGGAGGTGAAGCTGCATGTACATGTAAGGAGTCATCGGAAGCGAAGAATCCAGTCTGCATTGAGTTGTTACGGGCATGTCGCTCAATAGATCCAGACGCATTTTTCACGCATTACTGCTTTTGAGGTGACCCCCACGTGTGTGAGATTTCCCGACATTATTGGGAATTGAAGATTGGCGAGGTATGAGCTGGCAGAGCAAACTTTGACCTTGCAGTAGTAAAATTCTAGTACCAGTAGTCGTAATGCATGATCGTCTGTGAACGAGGGCGTTAAATCTGTTAAAGATCCTCTGCCTTAGGCTGACGCCAGTGTAGGGAATCGGATACCAGATGAAGACTGGAATTGGTGTTACATCGCTCACTTGGCCTAGTTGTGGTATCACAATAATACGAGTACTACGGAAATGCCTGAATATTCCAAATGAGTATAGTGGTAGCAAATGCTACCTAGCTTGTACATACGACAATGGCAGAATAGAGACTGGTTGCTTTGACCCTCTCGAAACAGGTTCATGGAAGTAACCATCCGAATAACATCATCTGTTACCTTGGATCACCTTATCTGTTAACTCTAACATTCCCCTTGCCCGGCCGACCCTCTTGGCGGCTTTGCCGATCCCTCGCAAACCTCCACATGAGAGAGGTGCCAAGTCCCTCTGCTCTGGAAGCTCGCCGGGCTTTGCATGCAGGGGCACAGAGTTTGTCTCTGCACTAACACCGTAACTGGTCGTAGCGCTAGTTTAAAAGAAGGCCTGAGCTTGTCAAGGCACAGCGTTTGTCTTGCACGCCGTGGCGCACGGGCAACTTTGATGTCTGGTCTTCAGGGGAGGCCCATGTCGTTGATGCTGGCGTGTGGGTAGGATTCGCGTTGTTTGTTGTTTCGTATAGGTACGAGTTGGTTTTTTCTCGGGAGTCTAAATGAATGGAAGAGCTTGCGTATCCCTGTATATCCATATCTCATCCCGGATATCGATGCTAGTTAAACTAGGTATTCCGGGAGACCTTGCCGTTGGGAATCGGGGTCTCTCACATCATACACTCCTTTTCGCTGTCCGGCTGCCCAGCTCTTCTGATTCTAATTCCTTCTCTTTCTTGTCCAGTGGGAAAACGCTACGGAATGAGGCTATAGTTGGTGGAAGCAATATGTGCACTCGACGCTCAATCCGCGAAGACTAACAAGTCTGGTCAAACCACGCCATCCACGCAAAAACTCTCACATCACAGCTCAGGATTTAAAAATGAAGACAAAAAATTGGATAGGGCTTTTGCTGGCAGTGCCGCTCGCCTACGGCCATGGACTTCAACGAGAATCCAGATCATTAGGAGGTCATGAAACCATGTCACCAGAGGAGTTCAGCCAATTAATCACACACATTCCATCTTGTGCTGTAGGTGACAGAAAAGGACGAGGACAGGATCATGTCAAAAAAGTCTACTAACTTCATTTTTTATTTAGCTCGACTGTTTGAAAACGCTTGTTGTCCACACGCCTTGCACTTTTAGCGACCTGCCGTGCATGTGTGGTGACGAGAAGTTTTTCGACGCGGGGACAGTATGCGTTAGGGCAGCTTGCAAGATGTCGGAGGCCTTGAGTACGTTTTAAAAGGATAGATGGTGATTTGATAGCTAACGCCAACTGTGAACTGCAGAGACCATGAATCTTACAGAGACCGCCTGTGGCCGGCCCAAGAGGGACGTATCAGGACAGTATACTTCAATGAATATTGTCTCTGGCGTTGTCACCATTCTTCTAGTCATTGCCCGCCTATTGTTCAAACAATTTATTAGTGGCAGTGGCCAAATCGGACTAGATGATTGGGTCATCTTTACCGCCATCGTCATCGCCGTTCCTGCAATCATCGTCAACCAAGTCGGGCTCGTCGGCCATGGCATAGGGAAAGACATCTGGACTCTACCAGCGCCCGAGCTTCCCCTTTTTGCAAAGTTCTTTTTCGTCATGGAAATCTTTTATATCGTTCAAATGTCCCTGGTCAAACTTAGCCTATCGCTCTTCTACCTCCACGTCTTCCAAGGCCCGAATATCCGACGTCTCCTAATCGGAACAGCCATTTTCAATATCGTTTTTGGGGTTGTTTTCTTCATCACCGCAATGGCTCAATGCATGCCGCTCCATTATTATTGGTCGCAGTTTTACGATTATCCCCCAAAGGGATCATGTTTCGACTTGAACAGATTTGCTTGGGCAAATGCAGGATTGGGTCTGGTGGTAGATGTGTGGATGATCATATTACCAATGGTACAGATCAGAAGGCTGAATCTCCATTGGAAAAAGAAGATTGGAGTCGTTGTCATGTTCTTACTGGGAACCTTGTGAGTTATTTCTGCATCGGCTGGGCATAAATTCCGGAATTGCTAGGACAGTGACTGACTTGCCCCTAGTGTCAGCATTATATCGTGTCTCCGCCTGACGTCGGTGATATTCTTCGCCAAACTCATCAATCCGACCTGGGATCAATGGAACGTTGCCTGGTGGTCGACCATGGAGGTCAACATTGGCATCATCTGTACATGCCTACCGACCGTTCGCCTTATTCTCAAGCGCATGTTCCCCAATCTGCTATCCACTGGCGACGGACACAGTACAAATGCTGGTGTATCTGGGGCTAGAGATGTTTCTTCTAGAGGAGATGCACAAACACCGGCATTTCCCTTAGAGTTATCGACGGCTACGCTTGTGACAGATTCGCGATCTAGCTATAAGCATTTTGATAGCCAAGAGTAAGAACATGATAGTTGTTAGTAAAGGAATAGACGGGAGCAGTCTGTTTTGTCTTGTTTGTCGAATATTTATTATTATATCCATGTTTAACTTAACGATGACGGCTTGCAGGAGGCATCTTGTTTGTCTGAAGGTTTGGGTCTGGATCATGTGAACAAAAAGGATTCTGTATACGACTAAGATTGATGATGATTACGCGAATGATGGATTATGTTTACTTATGCATAAGAAAATAGTCTCATGGAAAAGAATGAAGCACGAGCGCGAAACGTTGACGCATTGCCAATTTAGGAAATTGAGTGCGTTTGGCACAAGGAATTTTAATATTTCACAACTCTTGATTGTAGGATAAGAAGTATTGAATAATATATATGTTTAACTCAAAACTTCAATCACGAGCAAAGTAGTAGAACATTACGTACAAATCTCCACATTGAGTACCTGTATGCAGTTCTTGAAAAGAGCCCTAATCCATGCCCCACAATCTGTCAACAGATCTGACAGCAACATTTCGAACCAAAATAAAAGTACAAGATGCTTTTCTCCGTCTCAATGCGATGCTGAGCTAATAATAATACATAAAGAGTGGCTAAACTGGGCCTCATGACGTGGCCAAGCAGTACGGCTTGCCAAATGAGGCACAAAGACCGGCCATGAGGCTGGGGAATCCATGTTCAAAAGGAGGAAACCACAAAAGAGGAGACAATATATGGGGTTGAGAAGACTGTAAGATCCGTTATTCCTCTCTAGACACTAGAGGATTAAAAGAACGCAAATCACATGCTATGAATCATCTTGAGTCGCTCAAAGGATTGTCAGGTACCGAGATATTTTCGATGAATCGGTGAGCATAACGAGCGAATGCTTTAGCCGCCAGACAGGGCGCATAACAACGAACAAACCCCACGAGTCTCATGACTGTTTCGGTGGCCGATCTGCCGGTCCGTTTCCCATCTGGGTATCAAGCGAATAGTTTCCTTCGGACAGACCCGTTTGGTTTGCGGGGTATTGGGCGGAGCTGGGGAAGAAGAAATGCGGGATGCATGAGAAAGCGCTTTAATTCGTTCAGTGGCTAGTCCCATCTTGTCTTTGTCACAATGCTGAAGAGCCCTTTCATATGAGTGCTGCCTATTTGGAGTTGCATAGCTGAAGGCGAGGAGCCACAATGAGGCCGTATAACTCTCCGCCGAACCAGCAACAGCGACTTCGAATTCGAGGCTCTTCTGATCGCATTTTGCTCTTGTCTAGAGAGTGCCAAGTCGGGATGTTTTCCTATTTTCCCGACTGGTCCGTTGTCACAACCATCTCTGAGGGTGTTCGCGGGTCGCAAGTGCCGTCTAGGCGCAAAGCTGTCGGCTTCTTCTTCGCTGCTTTTTCATCTTTTGGCTTGTGATACCGAGAAACTTTCCACTTAATTTGGAGACAATGAGGGGAAAGCGATACTGCCTTGCGATAGGTCGCTCGGACATGTCAAGTGTGTGCGTCTGTGTGCCAACCGACCCTTGCAAAGCCAACCGGGCGTCGATCTTGGATCCTCGCATGTAAGACGCACAGAACAAAGAATATACAAGGGTTTTCGCTGCGATCGTCTCGTTCCCGGGCTGTCAGAATAGCTTAAAATATACATGATTGGTGCTGGGTTTTACTTGATGCCATGCCTATATTCATGTTGTCTAGATTCATCTCGAATAGTCACCGGAAATTAGGAGAAGCTATCTCACATCACTTTCGTAGTCTCACAATTCTCCGAACTGACAAATTCTCTGACGACGCAGGTTTTGTCAACCCCAGATTTAATGCTCCGTCCGTATAGTCACGCATGGCCTCTGGTCCCGCATTGGCTCCGTCTTACTGGCGGAGCAGCGAAGCGCCGCATCGTGAAAACAAAGGACACTCCAAACCAGATCTGGAAGGTTCTCCTTGCACTATCGAGAATGGATGACCTGAAGAGGGTGGCTCAGCCTGAGTTTCTACTCGCCAATCGAGTCCGAGCTTGGAGCTATCGGATTTCTTGCGACGCCTGTGTGTAGATGGGCTCGGAATGAGTTTATACATCGTGGAGAAAGCATGTGCTTCGTGGGGAAGCATTCTACTAGGCGGAGATGATAAGTATATAAAGTGCTACTCGAATGACTCTGTTTCTCCCCATTCATTCCCTGGCACCTCCGAACAAAGTGAATTTTTATTCTCTCAGTATCGTATCATCTCTCATCCATCAGTGTGCAAGATGCGGTCCCTTGCTATTCTCGCTACCCTCCTGGCAGGTCATGCATTTGCATACCCAAAACCAGTCCTTGAGTCTCCCGCTCGACGAGACTGGCCCACCATCAACGAGTTCCTCACTGAGCTGGCAGAGATTATGCCTATTGGGGATACCGTCTCAGCTGCCTGTGACCTTATCGGCGATGCCGAAGACGTTGCTGCCGACCTCTTTGGCATCTCCAATACAGAGAATGATGCCTGTGGCGATGTGACCGTCTTATTTGCTCGCGGTACTTGCGATCCTGGAAACGTTGGAGTCCTCGTTGGGCCTTTCTTCTTTAGATCGCTTCAGACTGCACTCGGAAGCAAGACAGTTGGCGTCAAAGGAGTTCCGTATCCTGCAAGCGTCCAAGGCTTCTTGTCTGGATCAGTGCAACCAGGCATTGACATGTGAGTAACAATCCACCCAACCATCGGTTTTCTCCTATGATCTCAAGATGGACTGTGTGCTAATCATATTATGTCAACAACAACAGGGCCAACCAGATCAAATCTGTCCTCAGCAGCTGCCCCAACACAAAGCTCGTGCTTGGTGGCTACTCTCAAGGCAGCATGGTCGTGCACAACGCAGCAACCCATCTTGATGCGGCGACAATGTCCAAAATCAGCGCCGTGGTTCTCTTTGGTGACCCATATGACGGCAGACCTGTGGCCAACTATGACGCTTCAAAGGTTTTGGTTGTCTGCCATGATGGCGACAACATTTGCCAGGGTGGAGATTTCATTCTGCTGCCGCATTTGACGTATGCCGAAGACGCAGATACAGCAGCTGCTTTTGTAAAGCCACTTGTTTCTTAAAGTATTCTTCCTGTATGACACGTTTATGAACACGACGCTAGGGACTGGAGGGTGTTAGTATGGAAAAGGGAACCCTAAAAGTCATCAAACGGTGTACATGTATATAGCCGACCGCCTGATGATACTGTATATAAGCTAGCGTTTTGAGATTTATAGCCACTGTTGGATGGAAATATTGACAACTGTTTCATAACGCAATGTCACTTTACTCCACTTCTTAAATGTGGGATTCAGCACTGCTACTCACGCGTGTTTCGTTGTCCCAATGAAGGGCTTGCACACAATCTACCAATAACGGATTATAAATAAGATCAAATCAATTCATCGCTAATCTAATCTAAGCATATCGGATTGATTGAATATGCTCCACAAAAACATTCCAGTTATACTCCCCCCATTCTTGTGATCCCATTATTACATCGTGTGATAGTAATTTAGTTGCTACCAATGAGTTCGAGGTAGTGTCCCACAACCGAGACAGTCAGCTCCTCAAATGACTTGAACTTGAAGCCAAGAGCCTTTTCGGCCTTTGTTGAGTCGATATATGCCGGGACTGAGACGGGTCGAGGAATAGACTCGAACTTGAACGCGCCGTTGGCATAAGCATCGGGGAAGCGCTTCTTAACAATCTCGAAAGAGTCTGCCCAATCAACCACTTCATTTGGCTGTGCGCAGGCGAGGAAATCGTGGTTGCCCTTGAGAGAGGGCTCCAAAGAAAGCACGTGCATCTTTGCAACGTCATCGACGTGGACAGCACAGCCAAGGAGGGGCTGGTCGCGGGCATGGCCGAGGAGAGGACCCATCATCAGGCCGTTAGTTCCCTTGGCGATGCTGGAAACATCAGTGACGGTATCATCGCGGCCAACGACGAAGACAGGGAGGATGTTGACGACGGAAAAGGCAGGCTTCTTGTCGGCGATAAACTTCTCGGTAGCTTGGAAAGCCAGAGCCTTGGAGGCTTCATAGGCGAAAAGGCTGGAAGCAAAGGGACCCTCGGTGCTAGTGGCGCGAGTTTCCTCTAAGGAAGTAGTTAGTATAGTTTCAATTTGTAGGCTGCAAGTTGAAGACGACTTACCGTTGACCTTTGTTCCCGTAGCCATAGCCATGATGGAGGCGACAGACAAGACGGAGGCTGTGATGACAATCTTCTCGATACCCGAAACCTTGTTCGCGGACTCAAGGATGCCAACCGTGCCCTGGATGGCGGGCTGGATGATCTGAGTCTGGTATGCCTCCTCGCCCTCGACAGGGAGAGCTAGGGGAGAAGCAATGTGAACGACATACTTGACACCCTTGACAGCTTCATCATAGGCGCCAGGGATGGTAATATCAAGTACAATGATGCTCTCCAGTTGTGAGACGTAAGGGGCAAGAGGCTTAAGAGCGGTGATACGATCAAAGCCAGCTTGGTTTCGGACAGCGACGCGGACCTTGTAGCCAGCCTTGACGACTTCGACAAGAGTCTTGAAACCGATCATGCCAGTGGCACCGGTGAGCTGAAAGCGGGTAAGGCTGTTAGCAGGATATTGCTAAATGTGGGAATCTGCATATAGTGGACTTGCAAGGACAAGATCGCCAGCCATTGTGAGGATGTTGGGTTTCGAGGATTTTTTGTTTATAAGTTGATTGGTCGATAAGTCAATTGATCAGTTGATCGGTTGTCAGTGTATTACTGAGTTGTTTGTTTGTTATTGTTGTTGTTTCTGTGTTTGCAGCTGAATTGAGTCTGAAGATGGAGATGAGAGTCTCAATAACACCGACCGGTGCCATCCTTATATCTCTATTCTGCCAGAGGCATTTCTCACGGACTCCGAATCTTCCATCTCTTGCCATGATGAAACTGCTCATGATTTGCATTTCTAATCGTTAACTGGGCTCATCCTTCCACGGCGTCACCTATGCGCCGCCACTGCGTGGTGTTGAAAAATAACGGCGCAAATACAGACTGCGGTCTTATCCAAACACCGAAACACCGCAACTATACGCCCAAATGATGTAACCCGTGCAATAATTGGCCGCATAAGAGTGCGAGGAGCCGAGGTCTCCACTTCGAAAGATTCCACACACGGTGAATCTGGCGCCACGAAGATGAGCCGCGGCTCTGGGGCTGGAATTACCAATCAGGACGCGGCCAGGGGACTTTTCTGATTACTATTCGGAATACTCGAAGGCCTTTTTTGATTAGTCGTGAGGGCCATGATTGGCCATAGCTCATTATTAATAACGCCAGTGCCTAGATGCTTTCGCATAGTTTGGGACTAGAGCTCATTTCGAACAAAAGCAGAACAGCGGGAACTAGCATGGCTGGATAATCGGTGCGGACATATGGAGTTCTCGCACTAACAATCGCTGGAATGCCATAATCCTCCCGAATCGGCATAAAATCTATACCGTTTGGCACAGATTGGGTGCTCGAAACTTTGCTATTACTGTTGTAACCGGGCTTGAACCAGGAGATTTTGTCAGCTGAAGCTGCGTATGACAACTGTTGACTGGTATGTATATTGGACTACTCCATTTTAGGATCTACAGGCAGCCAAGATGATGCGAATCAGACATGTTTACTCAAGTAAAAATGGAATCCCATGATCAGAGGATTAATCTAGAGTATCTAGTATAATTGATAATAAATTACTAAGTCCTATTAATGGCAAGGCAGGTTGTGCGATCCCGAAACGTCTTTGTACACATTGCGTCTTGGCACCAACGCAACATCCAAAGTTCGGGGATCTTCTCACAGTCTCTACCAGTTTCTCTAATCTCCCTAATCTCCCTCTATTTCCTCAATCTCCATCAGTCTTCTCCTGGGATTACTTTGGGCGGAAGAGTTTGGAATGGTAAGAATTAAGCAATGGTTGGATAGCGATTCATCAACTGCCCAAATATGATTAGAAATTGAGGATACCTTTCAATCATGTAGGGCTTTTGATAGATAAGTTCGCAAGATGGTAAAAAGGCTTCACCTGATGTGGCCGAATTCTAGGCAAGTTCTTTTTATGGTATACTGTGGTGCCATCTCATCAGTCAAAATCTTGGCACAAAAGAGAACAAGAGCGGATCTGGGTAGCCCCAAGAAACTGCAACCACGGAAATAATGGAGATAATCGACAGAAACGGAGTTTTGGGGAACTAGTCAATGCAGCGTTTTGGACGGCAGTCTGTTTACCCTGACAGGTTGATTAGCAGTCCCCATTCTGGACTATACTCACCTTTCCTCTATCAGTTTGAATATTCGATAGTTCTTGCCGGAAGCTCCAATAATCCTAAATAATTGGTACTAGTATTCTGAGGTCTTTTTTTTCTTGGTCGGTCGTTGGATACCTGCTTCGAGCAGAAAAGCACCCGTAGCCTCTGGAAGAGCCGTAGGCATATGTAACTAGGACTGACTGACCGTGACTGCTGGGGGAAAAAAAAAACTGCAAACTGATGCTCTTCCTCAATGAGCATGAGGATCATCATGCGACCAAGGTCTTTGGCGTCAAGAACCCTCTGGTTTCCGTAATGCCGCCACTCGTCGCCACTCTGCGGACTAACAACGCCCGCCTTGATAACAACCTACCCTTATTTGCCTTACAAGTATGTAGGAGTTAAGCCCTTTTAAAGAGACAGCAGGCCAATTGCATCAATAGCTTAAGTAATTCTGGGGCCTTGCTTTAGATTCATCAGAACTAGACCCTGCATGGAAATAGTAGCATGTCCATAGAGAAATTTGTCAGCTTTAATTCATTGTGGGCTATCTATTTAATAACTCAGCAGCCTTCATATCCTAATAACAAACTAGCGCTGCGAAAATTACACCCTGACACTCTCAGTAAACAAAACATGGCCCTAATAAACGTTCTTCAGTGGATGCGCCCAAGCAATCTTTGTTTCAAATGGTTCTTCAGCATCTAGAAAGTTAAACGCTAAAGCTTTGCTTCTGGCTGGCGCTTCTACCCACTCATTTATGATATAGTCCATAAAGCGCGGCACCAGCACGATACGGGCAATCAAGTAATACCACGTATTAGCCCAGGCATGGATACGGGCAGTGTGCGCTGAAAGAGAGGCATCCAAGGACAGAGCATCCCATCGTTGGCTTTGATAGCTCTTGTACATGGCCTCCAAGGCAGAGACACTAGGCCCCGTCGACGGCTCCGAAGAGACGACCATTTGTCTCAAATGGTTGACCAGCGATACAACATCTTGAATTCCGTTTTGGTAGCCTAGGCCGGCGTTAGGGCACTCTTTGTGAATGGAGTCTCCCACAAGCGCGATGCGACCCCAACCCCAGTTGTTGCAGATGCCTTCTTGCAGATCCGACATGCCGCCCGTCATTCTGTTTGGGAACACATCCTTCACCTTGAGCTTTTCGGTGATGGGATACTCGGCAAATCGGTTGGCCATTGCTTCAACATCTTCGGCGGTATAGGATGTGCGTTTTTTAGTGGGCTCTGGAAGCTTTTCGTAAAGGAATATCCAACCACGGTCCTTGCCGGTAATGTACATGATTGACGTATCCTTGTGCTGGGTTTCGAATGCATCTCCAATAGCTGAGGGTCTCTTGAAACTCGCCCACAAGCATCTATAATATGACGTGTAAGGCACTTCAGAATCCCAAGTAGCATTTGGATCTGCTTCCAAAGCAAGCTTTCTCATGATCTGTCGAGTTTTGCTATGCACGCCGTCGGCGCCAAGAACTAGGTTTCCCTCATATATGCTTCCGTCGTCACAGAAGACTTTGACTTCATATTCAGTGGACTGTATATCCGTGACTTTTTTGCCCATCAAAATATTGGGTCTGACCTCTTCGGGAGTAGATCGTACAGGAACTGAATCAGCTCAGATCGGTGAAAGGCGCAAGGGGCAGTGCCGTGACTGGAGGTTTGCAGTGAGAAAATGTATCATATGTATGGCGATACTATCCCACGATGGAAAACTTACTTCTTCCTTGCGCCATCAAATAAGCTGGTGCCACTCTTAAAGTTGTGGCCATCTATGGTGAAGAACCTTTTGAAAACCACCTCTCCACCCATATCTTGCAGTCGATCCAACAAGCCAAGCTGATGAAGGACTCGCAAACTCTGCGCCCCCAGAACCAGACTAGCGCCACCATCCGGGGCAATTTCTTTGCCGCGCTCGAGAACGACAAAATCAATCCCTGCCTTGTGCAGAGCATGGGCGGCTATCAATCCTACTGGGCCTTTTGAAAGGGTTAATCCGTTGGAATTAGAATGCTGAAATGCAGGTTTTGCTTACCGCCACCGACTATGATAACTTTAAAATTATCGGCCGCCATTTTGATGCTTCGATGCTGATCGTAAAGAGTATATCCTTGAATGAGTGCAATTGCCCCTGGGACTGGAGGGTTTGAGTGAAAGAAAATATCTGCACTTTAATGGAGATATAGTCCTTGCCCTATACTCCGTTTTCTGGTACGAAGTTGGCAAATGGATGTAAAGTTGAAGAATCGTGATGGGCGAAGCTTCGTTTAAGGGAGGATGTGCCAGCTGCAAGAATGTCTCCACATATGTGCCGTACTGACTTTAAATGAGGTACCCGCCGAGGAGCATCTCTGCCGAGGGCGAAGTTGGTTTTATAGGAATACAGCTCACCTGTATTTGAATATGGCTTCCATTGAGAACTTATAAATGGTGCAACATAAGACCTAGGAAACGGTGTCGGATGCTATCTCCTCCATAGCAAGCCGAAGCTTGGCAATATTCACCCAGTCAAGGAACCAACACATTTTCAGTTGCATTAGCTAGGGCTACTGGTTGAATAAGCGAGTTGTGGGAGCTCAAACAGCCACAATGTAACCCTTGGAGCGTGACCGTGTGCATGGTAATATAAATCTGATAAAAGTGCAGCTGAAGCTGGACATGGGAACAGCAACTTAATGGTACAGAATGCTAGATCGCCAAAGCATTCATCGATCCACGGGTTTCACGGAGTGTGCTTTCGATCGGGTATACGCGCCCCGTGCAAATTTCTGTAATCTGATTCACGGATCAGAGAATACTCCTCGTTTGCTGTGGAGGGCTGCCCGAAGGATTTACCAATGCCTATGCAAGCAGTTCTGCAAGGGAGCACAGAGCCCCTCAATGGTTTCACAATGTGCAGCAACCGCCAGCCAGTTATGTCGCCGGATTAACAAAATTGAAATGTTGCACAAGCTCTTGTTTGGTGCTACAATATAATATGCAAATCTAATTCTCCCTTCTACCACGTGCTGAATCAATCAGTGTTACCAGTCGATAACCCTTGCAGCACAATCAGATTCTGCGAATAATACTGACTCATTGAAATGCCTAATCGGTTGACCCTACAAACAGAATATTTTGAAGAGAGTTATTCTCGACTTGAGCGGTGGATTGACAAGATTTTTGGCTACGCAGTCGGGTGTTGGATTCAGTGGAGGCGAGGGAGATGAAAGGTGCCTCATGCCGATTAAATTACGATATGTAAAATGACTGTTACATATTGTTACGACCCGTTCAATCGTAACAGTAATCCCTTATAAATAGCTGGTTCCGTTACAATAGTTGCTATAATTGCGATTATTGGCCTAATCTTTTGCCCTGTTGGCGCTACGGTATAACGGAACGTAACACATATATCATAAATGTCATACAAATAATTTTGTCGCATTGTAGCGCCGTTTATCAGCCAGCCCGTATGTGGTATTCTTCGTACCTATACTCGTAAGGTATAAGGGGATCTCAGATATAGGTATATTAATACACTATATTAATATTAACTTTACTATATTACTATATTACTTAATATTATATATAATATTAAGTAAAGTTTTTTTTTTATTTTAATATTATAGTTAATATTAATATAAAAATATTTTTTAAATAATTAATTAAATTTTATTAATAAATTAAATATTAAATTTTTTTATTTTAAAAATATATTTTTATAATTATTTTATTTTATAATATAATATTTTATTTTATTTAGAAAATTTTTTTGTTTATGTTATAATATTATTTTAATAAAATATTAATAATATTTAATTATTTATAATAAATATTATTTTAAAATTAATATTTTTTAAAATTATATTATTATTTTTTTAATTTTAAAACTTTTTTTTAATTAATATATTTAAATAAAAAAGTTTTTAAATATTTTAATAAATATAAAATAATTAATTAAATTATATATAAATATTTATATTATTTAAATAATAAATTATAATATAATATAAAATAAAATAATATTATTTATTATATATAATAATATTATATATATATAATTAATAATATAAAAATTATAATTATTAATAATAATTTAAATATTTATATAATTAAAAAATATATAAATAATTATAATTTAATATATATATATATTTTTTTTAATTATTAGATTTTTTTATTATATTTTTAATTATTAAAAAATATATATAAAAAATAATTAATTTTTTAATATATTAAAAATTTATATTTTTAAATATTAAATAAAATAAATTATAATAGTTTATATTTATAATTAATTTTATTATTAATAAAATTTTTTTTAAATATTTATAATATTATTATATAATATATTATTATAATTTTTAATTTATATTATTTTTAATTAAAAATTATATTAAAAAAATTTATTTTAAATTTTTTTTTTTTTTAAAATTTTAAATATTATTATATTATTATGGAAATTAAATTTAATATCAAAATGAGAGGTTCAATGCTGTAACAGCTGGTTCAATAAAAGGCTATGCCCCAGCCTTTGATTATATTATTATAAAGTTTTTATTATATATATTTAATAAATACATAATAAATATTAATTTAAAAAAGCTTTTTTTAATAATATTAAAATATTATTATAATTATAATAAAAAATATTAATTATTATTTATTATAAATATTTTAAAAATATATAATATAATTAATTACTTAAGTTATTATATAAAAAATAATATTACCTTAAATAATATTTATTTAAATTACTTTTTTATTTTATTAAAACTAAAGTATAATATAAATATATATTTTTTATTTTATAATATTTAATTAATAATTTAAAATTACTTTTAACTTTAAATATTATTAAATTTACTATATTATTTAGATTATTAACTTATTATTATAGATTTTTTATTTATTTTATTAAAAAAATATTTTTTATTATTTTTAAAATTATAATTAATATATTTAATAATTAACTATTTATATAATTTTATAATATATTATATAATATAATAATATTAAAAAATATAAATTAAATAAAATAAAATTTAAAAAGGAATTAAAACTTAATTAAAATAATAAACTATATATTAAAAAATTTTATTAAATAATAATAAATTATTTTTTATATAAAATTTATAATATTATAATTTAATTATATAACTTTACCATTTATAATAATATTTAAAATAAAAAAGTAAATTTATAATTAAAAATTAACAATATTATATATTAAAATTTATAATATAATTTATTAAATAATCTTTTTATTAAATAATAATTAATTAAATAATTTTTATTTAACTATAATAATTTAATTAATAATAATATTTTTTTATATAAAATTTTTTAATTATTTACTTTAATAATATTATAAATTAAAAAGTTATATTTAACTTTTTTTTAAATATTATATTATATTTAATAATATTTTAATATATATTATTTTTTTTTAAATTTTTTAAAATAAAATAAATATATTAAATATAATTAAAATAAATTATAATATATTTTTATTATTAATAATATTTATAAAATTTAAAAAAAATATAATATTATTATTTTATTAATATTTAAAAAAATATTTAATAGTATTTTATTTTTATTTTATAAATAATTTAATAAATTTATAAAACTTTAAATAAAAATTTTAATTATTAATAAATTATTTAATAATATAAATAATTTTAATATTTTTATTAATATAATATTAATAAAAATTAATAATTTTTTTTTAAATAATAATATTATAAAAATTAATATAAATATAAATTTAAATAATAAATTAAATTAAAATAATATTATTAACTTTTAATTAATTAAATTTTAAAATTTTATATTAATATTAATATTAAATATATTATATTTTTATAAAAATATTAAATATTATATTATATTATTATATAAATATTAAATATATTATATTAATATATAAATATTAAATATATTATATTATTACATTAATATTAAATATATTTTTCTCTTTTACATTAATATTACCTTTAATATCTATATTACAGGTGATATTAACATACCTATATCTATCTAAGGGTTATTTCTTTACTAAAGGCAGAAATTGTATACCTTCGCTTTCTCAAAGTGGCTAAGAAAACCATCCATCAGCCGTGTGTACTACTGAGGCTCGCTTTATCGCCTTCTGTTATTAAAATTGCTTCAGTAAAGGGCTGGAGGAAAGTATATGTTTTTAACAGTATATCCCAGTCAGCGCCCGTTAGAAGATTAGCACAGCCAATGTCCTTATCATGGTCTACTATAAACTGGACAATCTGCACCTTCTTATCGAGGGCGACATTAATAACTTTATACCATGATGACCACCGTGTTGCATTGTCAATCCCGAGACTGCGACCTACAGCTTCACGCCAGTAATCGCTATGGATTGGAGAGCTTCGGACCCAGACTGCAAGATAGTGGAGCTTCTGGAGAGCATCTATACCTTCCCATCCACTAAATTCTACTTGCTGAATAGTTCTCTCCCTTGTCTGAAGTCTCTGCTGTCTCCCCTGGTTCCAGTGATGTAATTAATCGGGGCGATTAATTAGTGATTCATTGAATCTGAATCCGAGGTTTGGATTAATTATCTGAATCGAGCCGCCCAGGATTAATTAAGTTTCAACGATTAATTAAAGTGGAGTCAACGGCCAGACTATGGATATTATTGGCTGGTGCAGGGCTGAATTTGGCCCTTGTTAGCCATCGCCATGCACATCCTGGCCTCTAATACAAACCCACTCACTGTCTCTGTCAACGACGACTACTTTGCCTTGACAGAGAATCTCGTCGAGGATGCAGACACCACTGGGGAGTCTTCTCACCTCTCAGAATCATCCTCTCCTACGGTGTATAGAAAACGCGCCCGGACCCCTACTGCGCTCGACATTTGGGCAGTGATGGATAGAAACATAGTCGTTTCAGGTACAGTTTCATATGATATGAAACTGTGCTCTGTATCGTTTCACTGAAACGCCTTGCCGTTTCAGTTTCGGAGTTTCACTAAGTTTCAGCACAAGGTATAAATGTCGTGAAAACTCCCTATTTAAATGCCACAGTCCAACTCTCTGATTTATATCTTAATAGTTCATCTTTAAAATGCTGCAAAATTCTAGTTAGAGCGCTCTTTTACTGCCGAGCCCAACTCAGAACCTCGGGACTTCAAAATGTCAGCCCCACTTCGCGAATCGAACGATGCGGAACCTGACCACGACAAACCGCGCAATAAGGGCGCCACCGATAGAGAGCTTTGTGACAGCGATTTAGCTTAGAATGAAGTATCTAGATAGTTGGCCAAGCTCTCCAGTTTACAGCGTGTTTATACGCTGCTTCTCGGGGAGGCTCAGGAATTGTATTGAAACATATGAAACATATGAAACGAAACCGGAACAGACCTCCGTTTCAGTGACTGAAACTGATACTGAGCTCTGTTTCAGTTTCAATACGTTTCTATCCATCACTGCTCAGCACAATCATGAGCCATATCAGAGTTCTTCACCGTTAAAATCTACACATCAAGCATCTTACAACTTCAACGGCGAGTGGTAGCAGTAGTGAGAGAACGCGAGATAGCGAATCTCGCGAGTCTCCAAATCCTCGGCAAAACAGCGTCAACTCAATTTTGTCTGGCCCAGAATCACATCATTTCTCAATAGCCCCTATCCCATCTCCAGCATCGGCTTACTTTGAAGTCGACATGCCTAAGAGAGGCAGCAATTCAGGCCACTTACGGCGAGGCTCTTCATCATCAAGAGGGATAACACAAATGATACCACATCAAGCCGACATGCCACAACAGCAGCAGCAACATCTGCCATCGCTTTCCAATATGCTGGCCATTTGGCAAGGAAGATTAGACGGCCCCGTGATCGAGACTGTGGGACTCGCCCACGCATTTACAACCACTCATCACAGGCCATCTGCGTTTCAAGGAGAACATGCATTGCCGCTAGTATCAGTACCAGCTCTTCACCACGAGTCATCGTCAAGCGGCAGCAGTGTCCCGACGGTGGCATCGGGCAGAGCTGGTCGTAGACTGAGCGAAGGATCGTTACCAATCCATGTGCTTCTATCAGCCCAAAATCAAATGCCTCACCGCCGAGATGAAGATCCGTTATATACAGCTAGCTAGGTTGCTAGTCCAGTCGAGCGGGGAAGGTCAGCCTTTGGTCGGTCAATACCAAGGGCCTAAGGGATATGGTACCTAATCCTTTGAACATGAAAAGCTTGAATAGAAATGCAGCTAATATAGGCCGCTAAGGATTTCAAACCGCGTCCTCGGCTTTGCAGCACATGAGAGTCGAGGAGACAAGCGATAGCGATGTAATAATGACCTCAGCAGACGAGCCGCTATCCAGTTCTCATACTTATGAAACAAGCGGTCTTGACGGGGTGAATGCTTTGCTAAAAGCTGGCGAACTTTTTGACGATCGTCAGAGCTAATTTAGCAACCAACCAATGGCAGCAATAAGCCCATAAGGGTCATAATAGCTGTTTTGATGACTATATACCAACTTATCGTGGTCGGAAGATGGAGATGCGACGAGTAAGTCAGGCTGGCGATCCATTCCACGTCCACGGTCCACGCATCCACGCCGTGGAAATGGATGGTCCGTGCATCCATTTCCATCCTTAAAATTCCACGGGTACCGCGAAAATGACTAAGCATTCTTAGGACCGCGTCATGAACTGAGTTCGCGTTGCTACACAAGCATTCACTTACAAACGCCCGATCGAAAAATCAATATGTAAAACAGAAAAGTCATTCCCTATTCGGTTTAATAAAGTCGTTTGCCTATAATTGCTTGCCTCCAAAACTCAATTATGCATCTCGCGATGACCTTTTTAGAGCGATTAATGCGTAGGCAGCGCCACGGGGCTACGCCTTTACAACTGGCAAATCCACGAGAGCTATGGGCGGCAGACAAACGGTTACGTACGCATGTGATCGGTCCTGTCGCCCCCCAAGTGCGTCAATAGAACGCCAACGAAAGACAGCAACTCGGGGGACGAACTGTAAGTTTTCTATATTGGCTAAAGAGTCGGCGGACAGGACCTTTTGGGCTGTGAAATATCGCCCGGACCCACGCTTCTCTCAGCATAACCATACACCTAGCCAACACCCTTCTGCTCACCCAGCACATCGCAAGTTGACTGCAGATGACGCCGAAAATTTATCACGTCTATCAAATGCTGGCATAGCTCCAAAGGACATCCGGACATTTATAAGGCAAAATTGTAATTCACTTACTACCCAGCAAGATATCTACAACGGAATTGCAGCGACTCAGAGGGAAGTTTACGAAGGGCAGAGCTCTGTCCATGCACTAGCGAGCCAACTTGATCAAGAAGGCTTCTGGAGTCGAATACAATTTAGTCAAGACGGCCGGGTTACTGCTGTCTTATTTGCTCATCCAGACTCCATGCCATATCTTCATGCCTACCCGGATGTACTCTTACTAGACTGCACTTACAAGACAAACAAACATAGCATGCCGCTTCTCGACATGATTGGAGTTGATGCCTGCCAACGGTCTTTTTGCATAGCTTTTGCATTCTTAGTGGTGAAATCGAAGGCGACTTTTTATAGGCATTAAATCGGTTGAGGTCACTTTACGAACACTATTGCAATAGACTCCCCTCTGTTATTTTCACGGATCGCTGCATGGCCTGCATGAACGCTGTTGCAGTCTCCTTCCCCACGCCTTCCCCACGCCTTACTCACTTCTCTGCCTCTTGCATACCAACAAAGCAGTCCTTCGCTACTGCCAGCCGGCTTTTATACGCCAGGGCCAATCGGACTCTGTCGACCTAGCAACAAACGACACCCTGGAGGCAAATAAATGGGTTAAGTTCTACCAATTCTGGCACTTAATCATAGGCGCACCTAATAAGGAAGCATTTAAGGATCGGGTGACACAGTTTAAGAAAAAATATTTACCGGAATACCTTAAACAGGTTGGGTATATTAAAACTTTCTGGCTTAAACAGTACAAAGAGAAGCTTATAAAGGCTTAGGTAGATCAGCATGCCCATTTTGGCAATACTGCCACTTCAAGAGTTGAGGGCATACACGCATTGATGAAATCTCATCTCAAGAAGTCTACACTAGACCTCTTCGAAGCTTGGAGAGCTATCAAACATACACTGCTTAACCAGCTATCGGAGCTGAGGTCTAATCAAACCCGGCAGCAAATTCGAACTCCAATAGAACTGTCGGAACCGCTTTACGATGCAGTACGTGGTTGGGTATCTCATGAAGCCCTGAGAAAAGTAGAGGAGCAACGGAAGTTGCTAAGCAGGAGAGACCCTCCCCCATCGCTTATTTGCACCGGGGCTTTCACCAAATCCCACGGACTGCCGTGCCTACATACTCTGAAGTCTCTACAAGAGCAAGGCCAAGTTCTGACCCTTGAACATTTTCACCCACACTGGCATTTACAACGCAACGGAGCTCCGCAGCTGCTTTTAGAGCCTCGCCAACGATTTAAGCCGATGCTAAAAGACTCCAATATTCCCAAACAGAGTACTCGGAGAGAGCCTAGCGCTTTTAAGAGCGTCGAGATGGTGCCTAAGGCGCCGCCTACGTGCAGTAGATGCCATGCGGTTGGGCACACCAGGACAGCAAAGTCCTGTCCAATAAGATTCCAAGGATTGCTCCAAGAAAAAGTTCTAGCTCCAAAGCCACAATCGCAGTCGGTTTTAGCACAGAGTGCGAATCCGGAGCCACAGTTAATTCCACTGTTAGCTAATGCAGTAAAAGAGCCATCGGAAAAGGCGCAAGGAGATGTGTCGCTGGCTGTGGTCCGCGGCGTTTCAGCGGAATCCTCTGCTGCCCCATGCTCCCCTCTTACTCAATCTTCACCTGCTGCAGTAGAGTTGCCAATGGCTAATGCCTCTCGTTGCCAAATGGTCAGGCTGGACTCGCCCACCAGAAACCTTCAGCTGTCGGGAAGTCCCGTTGGCGAGGCGCCTCGTTTGCCTAATCCACAAACAACAGTGCCACCTAAGTACAACACCCCACAGGCTATCTATAAAAGGTATGTAGCCGCAAGAAGTGCGTGGTATGCAGCGCAGCCTGCTGGAAGCATCAAGACCAATCAACAATATCGTAGGGCAATAGGGCTTCCACTGAGGTATAATAAGGAGAGCTACGAGTGGTGCCTGGACTACAAGCAAATGTCCAGACGCTTTTCTACATCATCGAGGTCCAGAGAATGGACGAAAGAGGAAATGATGGCATACCTGGACTGGAGCAAGGCAGAGGACGAGCGGATCGAAGCCCAAGTTGCGATGGAAATGAGGACCAATCCATCGACTACAAGAAGAGGTGTAACAAAGATCTGGAAGAGAATAGAAACTGACAGTAGGCAACGAAATACTTTACACTCAGCTAGCATTACTGTAGAAGATTATATCGTAGTAAAAGGGTAGCAATTAATTTTATGGACATTGCATGTAACTTCTGGGTCGCGGTCGGTGCAGTTAAATATTTGGCGTGGCGGGACACGATGTGCTTAGTCATTTTCGCGGTACCCGTGGAATTTTAAATTCGCGGGTACCGCGAACCTATGGGCTCCCGCAAAAATGCCACCAACGGGGTTTTCAAAATAGAAGAAGTCAAGGTTTCCTATTCAATTACGTAAACAGGAATATATTTTAATAAAAAGCTAAGCGTAGTCAAGGGAATAAGCACCCAACATATAAAAGGAGACATCTCCCAGCGGATTCAATTACCCGTTGGTTTACTGAAAGTCATACCAACGGGTAGAGGCGGCGGCAGCGGAATTGCGGAGGCCTGGTTGTGCCGTTCCATCACCACCCAAACCAACTTGGTGCCTAGGCGAGCGAGAGCTTTTTATCCCTTGACAGACTGGGCTAGCACAAACTATTTTTGGACCTTGAAGCTCATATTTTCATAACAAAGATTGTGCACTTTTCTGCACTTCGTAGCGTTGAGTAATGCCGAACACAGAGCCTTGTGACACTCCTTCAAACGCGATGCGATGGGCAGCATAGCCTAAATTTTTTTTTTTTTAATGCAACCCTAGTCCGCTTATGAGGACTATATTCAACTCTTGGAGTAATTGGAGACATGGTTGTTGAGAAAAATTAAGTTGAAGGAAGAAGGGATGTCATGAGATAATTAAAAAACGCGACGCGGTCGCGACTTGTGGTGGGGTTGCTCGTCACTTTTGAATCCCCACTGTACATATTTTAAAAAATAGTACTAAGCCCGTTTCCTTTTGCATACCAAGTTGAGCTATATGTAAACACCTAAAATGCTATTATCATACAGCTGGGTCCTTAAAAATGCAGGATCGACTCCCAATGCAAAGGTCTAGATCTTTACCTGATAGTGTTCTAGTATATAACCACTTCAGAGCGCTTATGATGTGGCCTTATTGGACCAGATGGGTCCTTGTTCGACGTGATCAAACATTCCTCAGGGTCCTGACCCGATGGTGTGAGAAATTCCAAGACCTGGGGCCATGACCATGCAAACCGTGCCAGGCCGACTCGCTCATAGCCATCACGCTCCGACGACGCCTTTAGCAGAAGCGACTTGGACGAGTCAATAAAGAGTGCATGGCAGGGAAACACAGGCCCATGGTCGAAAGCGGCGAGCCCGCACGAAACCTCGCCACCACGGTCTGGGAGCATGATCTTCACCGCGGTACAGTCGGGCCAGTCCTCCTTCAGGCCTTCTTCAAGAAGCGAGTCGGTGGCCTGCTCCTCTTGATCAGGCCAGTCAGGGTGCTCGCCCAAACTTCTGGGCTGCACGTCAAACATCGGAGCCTTATAGTCCACATCAGCATCTCCATATCTACAACAAACACACCAACAGGAGAACTTACCCGAAGGACAATATAGCCATCAGTAACGCGGCCGAATGGATCAGCGCCTGTCGTAATCTTAAAATCCACAAGCTGTGCCGCCAGAAACTTCTGCTGGACAACCGGAAAGTCAACCGGAGCATCAATCGCAGCCCAAGACCACGTCGGAGCCCGATAAGCAGGTTTCGTGACTCGAGCTTCCTCCCTGATTCCCCAAAGTTTGTAGTATGCAGAGAGATCAGCCGGTGTGAGAACTCTCCAACACAGTTCCTCAAACAAATGGCTCTTCCATAGCCCCGCTAGATATGTATCGCCTGTTTGAGATGCAAGCTGCTTTGCAACTCCCGACAGAGCCGGTAGTTTGTCGGCTGCGTATGTTAGTCGACGCATTGTATAGCCCATGACTACTTCAAGCCATCCGCCCTTCCTTCGGCCAGGGCTTTGCTGCTGATTAGGCTCGAATACTCGCTTGAACGAGATGTACGGGGTCTCGACATCGAGCTTCTCGCGTTGTTGCTCAAGAATTGAGTCAAGGGAGAATGTTCTTGGGTCAAACCTGGTGCCATCCTCTGATTCAAAGCAAGTACAACACTGCCAGTACATTTGTTCTTTTCCGTAATGGACTGTCCTCCGTGCTAGAAGCCTCTCTTGCAGTGTCCATGCCCTCGAAGATAACGGTTCCAGCAGCAGAGGATCATGCTGTTCACCATAATTTCCAATCGAGTACACGCGAGGCCGGTTCGCGCTGGAAGCGGGCAGCCACTCTCGTCCAAACCATAGCTTAGACGTTTGACGAAATGACAAGTTGGTGTATACTTCAGCAAAATCGCGGAAATCGCGTGTGCTTGTGAACCCAGTCGAGTGATTGTCCATTGAGATGTATTCGAACATGCGCATACGCGGGAAGATCCCCGCATCAGAGCCTAGGCCTGTCAATGCGGAGATGGTGAGCCATGCGTGTGAGTAAACATCCGACATGCGTGGGGCTTCGTTGTCCCAATCTGACGGGTCATCCTGTATGATACAAAGCGAGTCTATCCAGAGATAGCGGACCCCGAGCTGCCAGCAGACCCGTACTGCATCGAAGAAGGTCGGTGGGAGCTCATCGGGCCGAATCCTGGTTTGACGAGACTGCAAGTTTACCCTTGTCGTCGTGAACGGATAGTTCGTTCTTCCCCATGAGTGGCTCAAAGCGACGTATCTCCCTGATCGACCATGTGTGTCTAAAAGCTTAATCGTTTGGGAGCTCATGCAGTCACTCCCAAGATCCAGGACGCGCGTTGGCATAGACGGAGGGGTTGGAGAGACGCAGTCGTGGAAGTGACTGCAGTTCTCTATCCACTTGCCGAGACGCTCGAAGGCCTTCCTGGATGCAGGAAACATTTCTCGCAGCCTCCCAGGAACATGCCTTGCCGCAGGATCAGCTAGTCATCACGTCTCAGCTGCAGGCTTCATTCGGATGGCATGACATACACACCTTCGTCGGTAAACACACGTAGAGAGCTGCCTCTCAGATGCGTTGCCCTCCTCCCGTAGGTTTTGCAATCGTGCATGAAGGGTAGCTTGGAGATGCGGACTCCAATCCCCACTAACTGCAACTTGAACGTTGCGTCCAGGAGCCGCGATTCCGGCTGAGCCAAAAGATACCAGTTACCGTACAGCCAGGGACGAGCTTTGTCGTGGGCGGGGCTGGCTTCTTTTGTCGGAGGGGCGGTAGATATTCCATATTTTGCAAGCTCAAGTGTACCAGGGTTCTCCATCAGACGCTTTCCAAGATCTGTCGCCTCCAACTTGCCATCGGCGAAGACACGCAGCGACTGCCAACGCTGAGTGTCCTGCAGAAAGCAACTATAACGTGTAAGTGTGAATCCAGCAGACACGGTAAAATTACGGAGAGCCAAACATACACAGATGCTCTTTCATAGTTGTTCTCCTCGGCCGCAGCCGACACCGCAGCATCGGCAGCAAATACGCCCTCGGATGTCTCGTCGTCGATGCATGCCTGGAGGTCCTTGATCGAGTGATGCAAGAGCTGACAGAGTCGACATCTGCGAGCAGATGCCTCCAGATTAGCTAGCGACTCATGGTGGGGATACGCAGGCTCCTCCTCGGACGGTAGACGGTCAAACGGAATGGATTTGCAGGTCGCGCAGATGCTCCGCGCCGAGTTCTCGATCCATGACTGCGTCTCGACATCCATGGCTTAAATGATAACGAGAACGCTGCTTCTGCTTCGTTCTACCTCTATCCGGTCTGAGGGGAACGTGGGACATTGAAAAAGCGGGACGTGCTTGGCCTGCGAAGAGGGGTACAGCTGAGAAGTTGTCACAATGGTATGCACTAGAGGAAGAAAGTCAGGTAACGTAGCTACTATGGAGCAGTACGCTTAGATATGCTGTGTAAGTACATCAACCTGTACTAAGCTTTATGTACAGGTGTACTAATATGCATGTATTGAATTCATACGCGATTGCTATAATGATGAACATTAGGGCAGCTTATAATTTGTCTATTCCTTCGTCTTTGACTGGGCATTTCTGGCAGCTTGATGCTTCCTTGATAAAGCTTATGAAAAGCTCTCTGCGGGTGATATGGGTCCCCTATTTTTAGTCTAAGTCCCTAGGCCTGAGCACCTGTTTAGATTAAGGTAATAAGGCAGTTAGCCTGCTACTGACATACAATACAATACATACATAGCAGCGAAAGGTACTGTAGAATAGCTTTATCCTTCTATCTCGGAGGAAAAACACGATCAGATAAGGACGACTGGAAACCAGACATGCGAGCAGTAAGAGCTACTATCAAATTTGCGTTTGCGACCGGAAGACTAGATGCCAACTAAAGCATACAATTAATTACTAGCCAACAACTACTATCCTGTGCCCAACGGCAGGCATCGCTTCAGTTGCTGTAGATAGGATACTGTCAACGGGCAAGATGAAATAGGTACAGTGGTCAGAACACTGTGCTATGTACCGCCCGAGATCGTCGGATAAACTGAGACCCGCTAGATTCAGGGGTAACCGCGACTGCTGTAAGATAAATAGGATCGCGGTGCCCGTAGCTGCCTTTGAGAGGGTGATGCGAATTGACCGTATCGTGTGTGGCTGCAAGGTTGACCGAATTGCATTCATTATGTGTTGAACCAATCGTCGGATCGATTGCGTGCCCCCGTTTACTGATAGATACTGAACACTTAACTAGAGAATAGCCTCTAAATAGGGATCCAATAGAGCCACAGGTACCCGTGGGATTTATGTAAGCGCCGCCGGTAACCAGGCGCCTAATGGGGGGGCGGGGCCCTATTCTTAGTCAGCAACACTTGCTGTAATATTCCCGCCTTAGCGCTGACCGCCTGTAACCCCGCTATTACATTTGCCTGCATAAAGTAATGGATTTTAATTAGGTTTTATTCCCTTACAATAGCCTTCTGCTTCAGCGATGGTATGTATTGTAAGAAGCTTTATTTGTGGATATTAATATATGGGCAGCAGCTCGAGGCTTTATGTTTATCATCAGACGGTCAACTATTGGTAAATCTGGTCGACCTACGGTTATATTCTTATATAACCGATTTTAATCTGGTTGTTAATTTTTAATACTTATAAAGGAAGAATAGTGTGAAAACTGGCTTTATAAACACTGTCTTAAATCCCGGTTTTCTCAGTATAATTACGAGCTATATCAGCATAAATTAAATTACAATCAGACTTAAGATAAGCTTTTAAACAAACTTTAAGATGAGTTTTAAGGTAAATTGCAGGATGAATGAGAGGATGAACTTTAAGATGAGATTTAGGGCGGGCTTTAGGATAAGCTATCTTTAAGTAAGCCAGTAAAAAGACTACCTATATGTAGTAAGTGTTATATAGAAGGCTATAGGAGAGGTGTAAAATCTTGTCTGATAAAATACAGCAACAGCCCTTAATAGCTGTAACGGCGAAATTATAGGCGGTTAGCGCTGAGGCGGGAATATTACAGCGTGTGTTGCTGACTAAGAATAGGGACCTGTCTGTGTACGAACCCGTCCCCCTATTAGGCGCCTCTCTATAGGCGCCCTCTCTATAATGAGACCCGGACACTAATTTCGGTTACAACTGTAGAAATCGACGGAGCCTGAAGAATCAGCTCCACAAGCTGTTGGTTTGTCTTCAGTGACCAAACCTTACAAGGACCAGATTTTTACATAGTCGGCGGGGAACAGAGTAGTAGGATCTAACGAGACGGAAGGAGCTAAAGTACTTTATCCGGGTCGCGCTTGGCGACTGCAGCTTTTTGTGAGTTGTGGGAGAGTCTCAGCCTAGGGTCGTTTCAACAGCTAAGTATAGAATTCTGAGTAGCCGGTTTTGTGGGCCCTTGAAGGCTGAATATGGTATATTACCACGGAACATCTTGGGCTGGCCACGTTGCGGTCAGGTGGTGGAAATAATTGGCTGAGGTTGCATTGTGATGTGACGTGGCTTGCGTACTCGCCAGGTCTCAATCGAAGTAGAGGGCTTCCTCGACGAATGAAGTCGGACGCTCTTTGAGCATCGAGCAACCGTCCCGCCGCATATTATGATGTAACTGTGCAGCCAACGGAGGCCTGATCCGTGTGATGAGTCAATCAGATCTGTCAGCAACTCAGGCCTGATGATCACCAATGAACTACGGACAGCTTCGATAACTTCTTGGCCACTGTTTGATCCAAAGCATAACATAGATCTCTCGTGCCACCCAAAGTATTTTCCAGGTTCAACCACTATCCAGGGACACTCAACTTCCTTCCTGTGTGGATGCGCGTCCAAATCGATCGGAATGTGATTGGCATTCGTCCCAGGCAGTCTTTTTGGCAGCTTCATTTTTCTCAAGCTACCACACATCAAGGACAAGCATTATGCTTCTAATTGGCCGAAGCGAACCCTTCTTCTCCTCAGCTGCCTAGCCTGAACAGTATGTATCCCCACCACATGTAAAGATGCGAGATCAATTGCGTGCCTATGCTATATAAGCCTGGTCTCGTAATACCATCCTTCATAACCTGTTGGTCTGCCGCTATTGTGCCAGAACGGATCCCCACACGTTGTTGCTTTTATGGAGTCGGCTTCACTATTTCGCTGCGAGATGTTTCCGCGCACAGAGAAAACGTCGACTCGAATAATACGTCGGACCCAGGAGGTATTGTGACTAAAGTGTCAATATTCAATAGAAGGTGGGGCTGCATTTAGTGCTGACCCGAGCTTGCGCCACACCAAGCACGACACCACGCACTACACCGTCGAATCCGGGCCCACGAATAGGTGTGCGCCAGGTTGCACAGACAATAGTATGTCACGGACGCACGTAGTAACCGATGGAGTTTACCCACTACTTGCGCCGAAAGTATAAAGAGCACGAGGGACTTTGACAGCCTACTTTCGTTCTTCCCCTCTTTCCTCTCTTCTTATCCTGTGTGCTCATGAGAAGCGGACATCTGCTTTGTTGAGACATCGTTGTTGGTACTATTGTTAGGGTGACAATAGAACATAGCCTGTGACGTCTTTATTACTTTGTCATGGAGGATGTGAAAGGCGTCTTCATATTGAAGGGACGGGTGTCTCGCAGTTTGGCGAGAAAAGATGTTGGAATCGGTGGTGAGACGCGTGTCGCTACTTTTCATCTGCCTCGGATTGAGGACATGACACGATTTACGCATTTCGTGCTAGAGTTTCCAGTCGAAGTGCGTGGAACTGCGGAAATTCGAGCCCAATGCGGTATCTTGGGCACGCAGGGGATTGACCTGGACGGTTTCGTGGGTCACGGTCATGGTCAAGGCGATCCGTGTGCAGAACAGCTACGTCAAGCCGTGCATGATGAACTGGACTCCAGTGGTGTTGTCGACTCCAGTGGCGATGTTATCATGGCACGGAAGGTAGATGTAATTTGTTGGGATTCAAGCGTAAAACCAGGAGTGTGTGAGGGGGAGGAATACGGCCCGGAAATGATTTACTGGAAGTTGGAAGACGAGTCGAGAAACAAGAAGGGACAGAAAGATGGCCAAATCTTTACGGTGCGAATTTGTTTCCAATTGAACTCTGTATTGGGAAACGGTAAGCACCGTATTGTGCAAAATGGTGATCCTTGTGTAGCTGCACTCAGCATTCACACTACGCCTGGTTCAACTTGCGCGGTGAAGAACGGGGATAAAGTGATCTTTTACGGGCCGGTAAAGAACTCGTAGAGTCTGGCGCGCCCAATCAGTGCTACATTCATTCATTCATTCATTTATTACGCCCGGTGGAAAGTCCAAAAGGGCAACTATGAACCTATGGCACGTGTACATTCTGAAGCTTAGCTTTTGTCTCATGCAAGCCCATGAGTCCTTGTCATCCAGTTTCTGCTCTTACAATCTGTTCTCTCGCGTCGCTACGGTTTCTATTTGAAAGTAGATTAATATTTAGTATACCACCCCTTTGCCGCTTGTACTCTGCTAGCCTACAGGGGATTGAATCAATCAACCCTCGAATTTCCTCCTGTGTAATAGTAGCCCATGCTTTCTCTAAGCGTTCGTTGAATTCTTCGATTTCCGCTAAATTTCTATTGGAATCGAAGAGAAAAGGGAATATTTCAAAAAACCTTCGCTTCAGCAGATTCCATACATGCTTAATGGGGTTAAGATCAGGGCTGTAAGGAGGCCAGTCGTGAAGAGAAACAATATGTTAGAGGAGGAAGGTTTTAACCCGCTTTGCTGTATGAATAGAAGTATTATCCTGTTGGAAATAACGCATTTCATCGTAGATTAGAAACAGGCCTTTCTTTAGGGTATTAATATACTGCTTAGAATTAAATCTTCGTTTTCTCCCAGGCGTGTTCTCTGTTACGATGAAAAGTTGACTTTTTTTTCCCTCGTAAGATTGCTTCCTAGACTATTATTAAGATTTTGGCTTTAATATGTGCGGTTTTATTTACATACTTTAGATTGTATGCTTCTTAGGAATATCTCTATACTTAAGTTCTGGGATTTGAACTTAAATTCTGGACTGTAGACTTGTCGGAAAAGATAGACTAGAAATCTCGGTTAGACCTTTGATAAACTGCTTAACTTTAATTACACATACTGCCATTAATTTTTGTTTATTTCCTTCCCAATTTTATGCAAAAGCAAGCCGAAGCTTTGCTGATTTTGATATTATAAACGGCTTCTTTTTCGACAGCCATTTGCGGATGCCTTCGTAGTTCAAAATTCGTCGGATGGTCGAAGCGCTTACTAATAAGGGGAGTTCAAACGCAAGCTGTTTTCTCGTTCCTTGGAAGTCCTGTTGAACCGTACGTACTATAGATCGAATGCTCCGAGGCGTTATAGCCTTTGGCCGGCCACTTCGGGGCTGTGAGAATACTGATCCTGTTGAATTGTAACGATTTAAAATGCCTTGGATTGTGGTCTGCGGGACCTGAAATTGGCGTGCAACCTTACACTTTTGTGACCGGAAAAAACAGCGGAAATAATAGCTGCGCGCGATTCAGGATTAATTTCCTGATTTCTTTGACGATTTCCGGATATTACAGTACCAAAACGGCGTTGATTGGATAACATAGCGATTTTCTATGAATTTTTAAAGTTGGTGGTTTGAAGTAATTCGCGAAAACGCGTCGCGGGAAAAAAAAAGCGTAAAATACCCAGACTTTTGACACCCCACTGTATGTACCTAGTTAGGTAGTTGTCGGGATTAAAGTAGAACGCTTGGCACCAAGAGGTGATGTGTGAATGATTCTTCGATGACCGCTATCAAAGGAAAGTAGGACTATTACTCGAATTCCTCAAGCAGGCCAGCCTGGGAAGGCTGCAAATTGGTCCAAGAAGGTGATTCCTAGAGCGTTTGACCAAGATATATGCTCTTTTAAGCTGTTCATAATTCTAGGCACCGTGGTGGCTGGCTTGCAAACCGCATTGCAAGCTGTAGCGCGGAATTTTGCAGTGGGCTAGAGCGTGGTTAAGTGGGGTTGACACCACGAAATCTGGCCTGGCTTGGTTAGCTATATTTGTTCTTGGTAGGCCTGTCCGCGACCTCTGTTCCCACGAACAGTCACACTCTCCACATAACTGCCTTGGGTTGACACCACATCGTCGGCTCATTTTGAGGCTCCTCATCCGGATTCGCTGACAATATTTATTAATAAACTTCATCATAAAAGTAGATTGTATTAATACATTTGTCACCTTTTCCATCGCCCCATAATCTTGTGGTTTGTCTTGGGAAACAGACTTCTGGCTCCCCAGGTGCCTGCAAGCAATGGAAGATGCTGTGGAGTATCTGGCGTGCAGACGCAAGGCAGCAATAGGGTTCAGCTTGAGATACTGCTGCTAGTTACCCACTGAAGAAGATGTTGCCCGCAGGTCGCATACCGCATCATGTCGACAGCCTCACTGCTGCAACACAGGCCATTGGCTGAATGTGCAGATGAGCCATTCTTGGTGTGCCACTGCATGAGTTTTGTACAACTGGTACTCGTACACTGCTGAATCTACTTCAATTGCAGAAACAAGTTGGCAAGGGCAAGAGATCAGACCCGGGCAGGACATTTCGGTGTCGCGGTCACGGCAATGGAAGCAAATCTGAAGACAGGAACGAACGAGAAGAGCAACATCGTTTTGCTCAATAGCGGGCAAGGCGACTTTATATCTGCCGCTGCCTGGTTGTTACTGCATGGTTGAACTTTATAGGATGAAGAAAGACAAAAGAGATGGAAAAAGGTCTGACGGCATAATTAAATAGTTTAAGAGAGAGCTTTTTCCAGAAAAAGGTCCCAAAGAAGCACGGTCGTCCTGGGACTACTTCCGCCGTGAAGGGGAAGCTGTATTCGAGGCAGTGCAACGCTTTGGCTACGGTGTCCTAGTCTTTCCACTTTGCGGGATAACTAGGAAAAGGTTTGTGCTTCATACTTGGCTGTACTCATTGACAGAGCTAATAGGTGTAGTTTAAATGAGCTCAATCGTATCTGCATCGGCGACTTCCTTGACTACATAGATAGGCACCACCCTGAGCTAGAGGCATGGATTCGCAATTTATCCTGTGTTTTGCCAAGACTAATAATTTGGGGTCTACGCCCGGGCGGGCTGCAAATCGAGACGGCCCGGCCTGAGGAGCTACCCGAATTTGACGATGACTCTTTTAATCGCTTGTTTGCGCTGCCTGCAGGTGTTGCCGTTATGTATTTGCAGCTGTCAAATCCCAGCACAGTGCTCTCACCTTGGCCGGCTGGAGACGCCATTCCTCAAAAGAACATGGTAAACAATGGATCTCCCAAACAGGACGAATTGACATCACAGTCAAGTTGGACAGAAATGGAAGACACATGACGCGTTACATTAATTTCGACGGCTGTTGAGGAGGAGGCATGTGAAAGCCCCTGACATTCTTCGAACCGGAAGAGCCACTGGCATATTTCACGGCAGAACATGGAGGGTCCGAGTTGGATTTTGTGAAATTAGGGCGTTGATAGAAGGCATGTCTCCTTGCTTTGCCTTGCACTAGACTGTACTGTACTTTGAATGGGAATACTTTTATCGCAGACTCTCAACTCATTTACATATGGTCCTATTTTGACAATAACGATTTATGGTACGAGCTATTGCAAGATGGAGGATTAACCAAGGCGCCGTGGTACCAAAACATTACAAGGAGTAAGTTGAATTTCGATAAGACTATAAAGGGTTTTGTGCAGTCATGGCTTGGTGGAACCGAATACTGGCAAGTCAGCCTCTGTACCTCTGGGTTACAGCGTGCATATGAGATATTAACGTTAGGAGAGGTGTATAGAAGTTAGATATTTAGGTTACTGTAGTAAAGGACTAAGAGATATATAAAAGATAACTTACTTCTATTTAACCTTTATGAAGGTAACTACTTAATATATATATCTATATATTAAGTACCGGAGGTTATATAACTTTATATCCCCCCAACAAAAACAGCATAGATCCCTCTATATAAAACTAATATAAACGTCTAAGTATAATAATAAAAAAAAGGTTTTTAAAAACCAAAATATATATTAATCTTCTAATAGGAGCTTATAATCGTTTTTATAAAGATCTTAATTTCCCTAATTATCTAAACCAATTTCTATTAATCTGCTGCAGTTATGTCACGACCCAACTCTTATGGTCGCGACAATGGGCCTACAGGGTAGGCGCTCCTGGATAAATGTCGGACCGGTGCACTAATTAGTATTAGGTCGATAGGAATCAGCGTCGATTTTATTAACGTATAACAAAATTAATATAAATCGATATTAATCTATATTAACTTTAGAATATATAATTAAATATATAAATTACGTTTTTACACTTATTTAAAATAGTTAAATAGCTAGTTGTAAATAATAACGTTTAGATTAAATCTACTTAATACTTTTTATTAATTAATAATATTATTATTTATATTATTTAAATATTTAGTTTAATTTATCCGCTAATATAAACTAAAATCTAGGTTTATTTTTTAAAAATCCTAACTTATATTAACCTATAGGTTTACAGCTTATTATATATTTATAATTTTTATTTAAACAGTTACTTTAAACCTTTAGGTAATAATTAATAAAGAAATTTAAATACTTAATTATAAAGTTCCTAACGATAAAATAAATTATAAAAGTAAAGCTTAAAATAAATATTTAAGTAATAACGTTAAATTTTAAAATAAATTAAATAAAAATAATAAAAACACTATATTTTAAAAACTAATTATTATTTAGTTTATAGCAGTAATTAAAAAATTTAAGAAAACTATTAAAAAATAATAAAAAATTATTAATAACTTTAAAGATAAAAACCTTATTAAAATAAAATAAAAAGGGGAAATTATAAGGTTAGAATACCCTAAGAAATTTAAAGGGGACTTTAAGAACCTTAAGAAATTCCTTATAGCAGTTTATATTTATTTTAAATATTTTTTAAAAACTTTAGGGGAATTTAAAAAGGAAGTAAAAATTTATTATATTAGATTTTAATTTAACGAAGCTGCTAAAGATTAATTTAAACTAATTTAAAAAGATTATTATAATATTAATAAAGTTAACTAAAAGAAATAAATTAAAAAAATCTTTTAATTTTATAAAAGATTTAAAGATTAGTTTATTATTTTTTTTAAAACTATTAATAAAAAAAAAAAATTAAAAATAAACTAACTATTATTAAATAAAAAAAAATACTTTTAAAATATACCGTCGCCTTTATATAGTTTTTAAGTAAAGTTAATTAAATAAAATAAAAAAAGATAGCTATATATTA